CGTTTCTTCCAAAAGATCATTATACAACCTTTTAGAAAATTAAATTAGTGAATAATTTGACAGATTTTTTCATATTCGATATTCCAACAGAATCCACTTACAATTTGTGTGACAACTTTTGACCTGTCTATGACAGACAATACAAATCTCTTAATTCCGTTTTAGTAAATTTTGCAATGGAAAATAACAGTTTAATTACTAATAGTCGTACAATCCATAATCAACGGATCATACTATCCCAAATCAACGAATCGTATAATCCATAATCAACCGGTAATATAATAAACAGGACTTTTGTTATTTTAATAGTATTTATGATTTGTTAGCTGTAATCTTTTAGCTTTAACACAATTTTTAAAATTTATAATAGCCCAAAATGGCCATAAAATAATTTTTATCCGAAGTTGAGCATAAGTGAACGTTGTATGTTGCGCGCACCAGATTTTAAACATTAATATTATTCAAATTACTTACCTTTATTTTGTTACGGATTTTTATCATCTCAAGACTATTTAATTTCTTCACAATAGTAGTCTTTCAGTTTTGAACGGAAGAATTCTTGGACTCCATTTTGAATATCATCCAGAGAATTCTGAGGTGTTCCTAAGATAAATAAAAGTGACTGGAACGGTAGACTGTAGTCGAGAAATGTTTTTAAAAGTATGTTACACAGTGACCACCAAATCCCAAAGAATAGCATCTAGTTGTTTTCCTTATAACTATTCATTAAAAAAAAAAACCGAAAACATTTTCACAAAAAACAATGGCCGCACTCTCCTAAACATGGCAGACTGACGGCTTTGTCTTAAATTAGTTTTTCGGTCACTTAGATTCAGCATTTAGCTTAATTTCGTTACAATTGGCCTTATGTTAAGGAGACAGCAGGAAGACAGGAAGTGATCATCCAACTTCAAGTTGCTGCAGGCCTCCATAGTTTAGGGACAGCCCCCGCAAACCATCCATAGCGGATCCCTTTCCGGCCAAATCTGGCAGCGTCCTACCTACCTGCCGACTCACTCGAGTTCAAGGAAAGTGACAGATCTGTCTAGATATATGAATTACGGCTGCTCAGCAGGCGCACGATGATCTTAGAACGTCTTAATTTCGTCACGATTTGCCTTAATATAATATCAAAGCTGGATAATTAAATAATAATAAAATTTAAATAATAATTGGATTTTGCAATTACAAACACCAGTAAAGTCAATTTTTTCAAATCGTTCAAACTAAAGTTGAAAATCAAGCGTCGTTTGTAAGTAAATGCTAACAATGACGATAAAAGGCTCTGAAATTAAACATCTGGAGAATACATTTCTCTTATTAAGATCCTCGACTTTTGAAATGATTGCTGAACGTTATTCCAGCCCTCCGTGGATTCATGTGTATACCGATGGATCTTCCGAACTAGCAACACAATGGAGGGGCAGGTGCATACTCACTACAATTTGCTAGTTCGAAGCCGGTTGGGAAATAGACCTCAAATTACGACAGCGAAATAAGAGCAATTTTATTGGCACTACAAGAATTGTCACACTTAGATGCCAAAAATCTCGTATTGTTTGTGGATTCAAAGGATTCTCGCTGTGTCACGGTCAAATGCCTCCTTTGCTCAGGATATTCTGAAGTGCCAAAAGATCAGAGAAGAACTACTTCTTTAAGGAACAGAAGTATTCTTTCAATGTATACTAAGTCACTGTGGTCTCCATGGCAACGATATGGCTGATAAACTCGCGAAGGAGGGCTCCACATTGAACCGGCCAGAAAAAAGAATATCGTATCATAGAGCCAAAAAAGAAATAAATAAGGCAAGTGAGGCTCTACTACTGGATTCCGTAAAGAGCTGTATAGCAGAAAAGCAATGGAGAAAATTGTTAAATGAAGCGGACGGAGTTCCCATGGACCTGCCGAGAAAGGAAGCTGTGGCAGAGTTCCGGATGATAACAGGCCACGACTACCTTAGGAAGCACCTGCATAGAAGAGGAGTAGCATAAAGTCCACATTGTAACCTATGTAATTCGGGATCTCATATGAACGCAGTGTATTTAGGTGTATCCTTGCGCTTGGTGAACCTAAGAGATACCACGTCGTCCAAATGGGAATGGTACTGGACTGCAAGATCTGTGATGCTGGAAGACGATAAAGAGAGGGATACTAAAAAAAATTCTCTTTCTAAAACACCGATCACTTTTTAAAATATTTGAAGAAATACACTTAATCATTAATGCGGAAAAGCGGCAGCGGTATAGGTTTTCTGTCACATCATTAAGTACTAATAAATATCATTGTTTGCAGTGATATAATAGCGTTTTAGTACATTATTTAGATTGCATTAACGAACAAATATAAATACAATAATTTAACTGTCCAAAAAAATTTTTTTTTCTTTTGACTTCCTATATTCTTTTATTTTAAGATAGACTCTATTGTAAATATCATATATTTATAGTAATACATACAACTTAATTTAGTAACATATAGCATTTTAACATACTTTTTTACTTTCACTTATATTAACCATATATGAAATATATGTTAAGGAAAAGTATTGCGATCCTGAAAAATTTCGAATCCGAGATTTCAACGGAAATACAATTTTTGAGATCCCCTGAGTCCAAATAACTAAGTCTCACAAAATGGTGTATGCATGTGAACAATCTAGCTCAAAAAACGAAGTCTTACGAAACTGAAATTGTGTATTTAAGGTTTGTACATGCTTTAAATGTTACACCAACTTTTTCGACAAAATCGACTAACCGGAAGTGGCACTTAATATCATCGATGTAACACATTTTTACGATTTTCTCGAAAACGGCTCTAACGAACTCGGTGTATCAATGTATAATTAATTATGTCATCTTTAATATAATTTAGGTCTTATCCCTATTGATGTTACTTAACAGAGTTTAAATGTCAGGTGTTCGAATTGTCTTCCTCTAAAGTACCTTTAATTTCGTTTATTTTAAATAATGAACTATCTCTCGTTGTTCGGAGCTATGAAACAAGACTAAATATAACTTTTGAAAGAATTTGATGATTGAATAAAATAGAAAAATGCTTATCTAGGTCGAAAATGAATCTCCGGAAATAATAATCACAAGGTATACGTATAATATATCGTTGGAAAGTGGAGAATTTTAGAACAAAATAATATCTAATAAATAAATTTGTACAATGTAACGGAGAGTGAAGAAAACAATATAAATAATAATTTCTGAGTTTTCACCGGAAATACGCGTTTTAAGGCCCCTTAAGTCCAAATAACCAAGTCCTGAAAAATGGTGTGTGTGCGTGTGTATGCGTGTGTGTGCGTGCGTGTGTTTGTGTGTGTGTGTGTGTTAACAGACTAGCTCAAAAAAGAAAATTCGTACGAAAGTGAAATTGCATATTTAAGGTTTTTATATGTTAGGGATGGTACAGCAACTTTTTCGTCAAATCGGCTCACCATAAGTGGAACTTTATATAATAGACTAAACACATTTTTACGATTTTCTCGAAAACGGCTCTAACGATTTTGATTGAATTCATCATATCAGTGTAAAATTTAGCAGTTTTAAATAAAATGTAGTTTTTATTCTGATTGATGTTCTCTAACAGGGCTTAAATGGCTAATTTTCAATATTAGCTTCCCCTAAAGTACCTTTAATTATTTTTATTTGAAACGATTGACCATTTCACATTCATCTCTAACATAAAAGATAGTTAAATATAAAATATAAACAAATTTGATTATTAACTAAAGGAGAAATAAAAGATCGTAACGGATAATGGTTGAAATGAAGGAACCAAAGGAATATGAGAGTACCTGAGCTCACCCGAGAGATTGCAACAGGCTTTCATACTAACAAGATCTTAAAACCATACGGGTGTCGGGTATGTCGTGTGTGTATATAGTGTACAGCAATGATGCTAGTACTGACCCCTGAGGTACTCCTACTAGGACTGGTCGAATAGAATAAATTTCAAGTCCCTGACGGATGGAGAAAAATCTATCGGAAAGGAAAGATTGAAGGAATAAAAAGTGTGTGCTGGGTAGTACTGACTTGAGTTTAAAAAGTAGACTCTGGTTCCATACTTTATCAGAATCTTGAGTGACATCCAGAAATACACCTGTTGCATGTAACTTTTGCTCTAGTGCTGTTGAAATGAAACCTGCCTCTCTGTAACTGGTTTGTTGTTGAATAAAATTTTCTAAATCCAAATTGGTAAGGTATTTGCTGTTTCGTTAGTATGTCAAGTATTCTTTTGTATAATAGTTTTTCAAATATTTTGGAACAAATACAAAGTAAGCTGATTGGACGATAGAATGAGGGATTGTATTTATGTTTGTTGTTGAGGATTGCTTGCATGATGCAAGTTACACCATCAGAGTTTTTAAGGAGGAGTTGGCAGGGGTACCCATTCCCCCAAGATCGATGGCCCAATAACCTCCTCTTCTCCCTCCCAATATATTTTATTGCACACTTTTCTTAACAACAGGGCAAGGGAAAGTAGAATTAGAAAAATCCTAGATCATACACAATTATACTTGCTGGGTTATGTTCCATGTTTTACTCTTGTACCTCTTATTCTGAAAATTTTCATTCCGAAAATTCATAACTCGGTTAAAATGTGCCCTAATATGAAAGTTTCCAGCATTCGTCAATGTTGCTAAGGACTCTCAGCAATAAATTTACCCAAAGTTTAAAACTAACCATAGCAAATTTAGTTGATAATTGTTTATGTCTCTTATATTTTTTGTTTAGACATGGAATTGAATGTTTTTTGAAATTTCACGTTGCTAAGGTTTGAACCACTAAATATCCATGTATGTTGAATCAAATAGAAAAATCAATAAACAGTTATAACATTGTTTTTGTTTAACTTTGTCCTAACCATCTTTTTCTAAATTACTGTGATCATATACAATATTAACAAATAATCCAATTGCTAAGCAAATGTTGAAAATAAACGATATTAAAATAGGTGCATTCGAGGATTCACAGTATGTCATTCCGTTCAGAATGCAATATATTCAAAACGGTGTTTCTAAAATATGGGACCTTGTCAGGAGCCATGGTAGTGTAGCAGTAATTATCTTCAACATATCTCGGAATGTTTTAGTCTGTGTTAAACAATTTAGGCCTGGTGTTTATTTGAGTAGTATACCTGATAGTGATAAAACAGAAACTATCGATACCAAGAAATATCCCCCAGAGCTGGGCGTAACTCTAGAGTTTTGTTCCGGAATTAACGATAAAAAAAAACCTCTGGAACAAATTGCAACAGAAGAAGTTTTAGAAGAATGTGGTTACGATGTTAGTCCCAATAACCTGATAAAAATACAAAGGTTAAGATGTGCAGTAGGCATATCCGGTAATTTTCAAACTTTGTATTATGTTGAAGTTGATGACAGTATGAAAGTAAGTGAAGGAGGTGGTGTAGACACTGAACTTATTGAAGTTACCGAACTTTCGTTAGATCAGGGAAGACAAATTTTGGCTTCTTCATCAGCTAACTCACCTGGTGAATTTCTATATGGATTACTGTGGTTTTATCATAATAAGTGTCCAAATAATGATGTAAGAAGAGTGATTAATAGTTTTAAAAGAATTTGTTTTAGACTCATCAAATGAAAATCTCATCATGCATAAGAAGCAATATAACTTTTTATTGGTTGCTATATTAATTAAAGTTTTTCTTACGCTAAAGCAGTAATTGAATGTATTTGTTTTTAAGTTTAACATCTTTACGTAGTCAGAGTAGTTAAAATTACTCATTTTAAAAAAGTGTGAACACCTTGTATTTAATAATACAGTTGACTTCTCAAAATTAAGCCAAGAAAAATTATAAAGATTGTGAAATTAATATATCTGAAGTAAAATCGAGGCCATTAACCTGGTTCCTGACAAAATAAAGTTTGTATCATCACTGTTAAAAATTAAGTGTTAAAAATTAACACTTCTAGTTTTAGCATTGTTGTCCTCGTTTAATCTTATTAGATCAATAAAACCTATTTCGATTTATATCTAGAATATCAAACTTTAAATGTAACTAATTCCAGGGTAGACCAAGCATATAGGATCATTGTTTTGAGCACTTCAGTCTCTCTTGGCCATTCTGAATTATAGACTACAGGTACCATTTTCAATAGAATTCTTAAATTTGCTTGTGTTAAGATCCTGGAATATACTATAAATGAAAACAATACCAAATCGACTTCTCATAATTAAACCTAGAAAAATTATGAGGATTGTGAAATTAATATCTGAAGAATCCAGGCATCCAGGAGTGAAAGTTAATTTTGGTCTTTACCAATTTGAATAGGTTTCTAAATAGCTTCAGGGATCACAAAGGGCAATCCGTTATCAGTAAAATGAAAAAGATTATCACGTCAACAAGCCTATTTTTCTTTGGCTGCAAAAAAAAATACCTTTCTAGCAATCTTGTTTTTCAAAGGACCTAAATGGTTATATATATATGACACTGATTCACCCAGTTGTCACTTATGATTCCGAAACCTAGACTGATATAGAATAAATAAATATTTGAAAGAGAAGTCCTGAGGCATATATATGATCCTGTTTATCCAGCAGGAGTTTAGAGGAACGACCAGGAAATATGAGATTTGTTCAAAGAGTCTGATTTAATTAAGTCATGAAACTGAGAAGGCTAAAATAGACTGGTCAAGAGTCAAGAATGTGATAATATGATGCCTCTGAATAGTGTCAGGAACCATTAATAAAAGATGTAGAAGAGCCAAGCTCGAAAAGGACATACACTGTAATTCTACACTGTGCATTACATTCTATTTTGACCTATTTTTATGCTTTTAGTTATTTTTGCTAACCTCTCTTGAATTGATATACACATTATCGAGTATCTGGACCATGGAAGAAGAAGTGCTGTCTCCCATCCTTCAGAGATGTTCAAACAACACAAGCTTCTGGCACATATACAATACACCTTATGCTTAGAATCTATTGGTTTTATTGCAAACTTGGTCATATGCAATATTTTTATAAATCCTCCTCAGGAGCCTCATCTAAACTTCAAGGGCAGTCCAGCTCTCTGCTGCACATAGTAGCACTGGAAGAAAAGCGAATTGGACTAATTGATCTAATGGAAGAAATTGATCTTTCTTGCCAGTGACGATAGTAAATATTTGGTAGAATACATCATTGGTCTTCGTCACAGTAGAAAATGATCACGAAATACTTTTTTTTCAATACAATTAATTTTTATCCCACAGTAAATTAAAATCATAAGGTGGAAATGTATGATACTAAAGTTTTTATTTGAACAGAAAAAAATTGTTTGAGGTAATTTCTTTCAAATATCCAATTACAGGTGTTTAAAATAAGGAAGCAAATTATCAAAAATCATTATCTGAAGTATTAAAAAAAATACTTTGTGTAGGTGCATTCATTTCAAATGTAAAAAATATATATATTTGACAATTTCAAATTGGTTTGCAATCCAAAAAAAAAATACATTAGCCGGATATGCTTCTTGAAGCACAAGTTATGTAATTTTTATATTAATAGATTACAACTTAATTAATTGATTACTCCTCAGTTTATAAAAGTAACAAAAAATTAATTAATTTGTAAATTGTAGATAAGTACGGTACTGTATATCATTATAAATGAAGTAAAGTACTAATAAGCCTTCTACTAAAAAATGTTAATAGTTCAAAAAGTAAAAATAATTTACTTTTAATCCAAACTACTAAGTGGAATTTGATGAAATTAGCATGGTTGTTACCTGCGCTAATGGTAAAATTATATCAAACATCACTAGAAAAAATAATGTTAGTTTAAAAGTTACATATGAAAGAAACTCACTACCATTACACATCAAACTTGGATATCTTATGAATGAAAGTGTTCAATCTTCAAACCTTCAAAAAATAAAAACAAACACTAAAAATCAGAGATAGGTGCAGGAAAATACATCTAAATTAGCGCTGTATGCATAATATGAGATTGGGAAAAGTGTGCCCACATTCAACCCTCCGAAAGGCCTTCTTTGTTATTCTGTACTCTTTGCCAACTTATTTTTTATCAAGCATAACATTTACAAGACTAAATAAGAATAAGTCAGGTGGCTTAGGGCTAAATTTTAAGGTTACCGTTTCATCCCGGATAAAAGCATCAAATATGGTATGAATGTATGATGCACAAATTAATGTTAAACTAGGTGCCTTCTGATACTTTTAAAAATTCTCATGTATGACACTAAAATCCAAAGTGGCCGACAAAATGACAGATTATAAGGGAAAACAATGGAAAATCTTATTGACCTAGGGGAGGTATTCACGTTGTTTATATTTTTTATCTAAACATTATGTAACTGTCACATTGTTCTATAGCCTTTTGTATCTTGTTCGTTCTTTCCTTGAAGAAGACCTGCTAAGTTGGATCGAAATGATGGCTTTTAATAAAATAGTTTATTTCTATTTTAGTCTTTTTATGACTGCCTCTTCATACTCAGTAATATACCATGATCAACCATCAAGTATTCAAAATCTATTTTACTGTTAAATTTTGAATTGACAGTAAATTAACACAACAAACTTAACTTGTATATATATATTGAATAAAATATGTTCACATTATTTATTGCAGTAGTATATGAAGAGGTTTGAATGATAGTAGGGTACATCAGTTTCGTTCAGAAAATGATTATTTTGTAAATGTGCTTCAATGCTGTGATGGGCAAAATTGTTTAACATCAGTAGCAGTTGCAACAGTTTCTGCTACTTTCAAAAAACAGATATGACTGTTTCGAAATTCTACAAGAAAAAAAAAACGTCATAGTATTTATAGAGTAAAGACTCTAAGAGTAAATTAGAGTCTTAACTCTATAGAGTAAATTTAAATGTTAAATTTAATCATATCTTTTTTATTTTACCATAATATATCAACTGTGGGACAAAAAAAAAGTATTTATAATTGCTGATAAAAGTCAAAGTGACATTAAAATTATAATTTTGAATTATAACATTTTTTAAAGGCATTATATAAATTTATTAGTGAAAGTAATGAACAAATGGAACTGAACTGAGGACTTTTTGAGTATCTGTTGCAAGAAGCTGTTTAAATTAAACAGCTTTCTCTATCTGTTTCAAAAAAATTGTTTACGTATCTGTTTTAATTAACTAGCTTCTGATTAAATTAAATAGCTTCTGTAGCTGTTTAAATTAAACAGATCCAGTGTTCCCTTCTTTTCCCATCGGGATCGCTGTCTCCACCTACTATACTACTAACCTGTAAAGTGAGTTGTCTTGGGTAGTTCCTAAACTCAACACTGAGTTCATCGATGGCTTTGTTTTGCTCCCTTCAGAGATCTATTCAGTGGCATCGATGAGCTCAGCGCGAAGAAAAAAAAGAAAATGGTGTTTTGATTTTCCTGAACATCTTCCTATTTTTCTACTAAATTATACAATATGGCAATTTGTAAAATAGTATTTAAAATATTTATGTGTGTATAAATAGATATACATTCTTAGATTTAGAACTCATTTGAAATAATGAAACTGTAATTTTTTTTTGGATCTGTTATTTTTATATTTCTACTTATATGTGAGGGTTAAAATGGTATTAAATTTATGCACTTCGTTTAGATAGTGATTATCTGGTAAATTCACATTAATCATATGTGCATGCTACATATATTTATCATTAAATGAGCTGTCTTACAGCACCTGACAAGGCCTGAACTTTTGGTCGAAACGGCAAAAAAAAAAAACGGTACTGCAAACCATGAAGAGTCTTGGTTTCAGTACTATTTAGGGAAAGCACTGTTTCTTGTTAAATGATTGTGCAAGGAGATGATTTGACCAAGATTATGGTCAACCGCCAGGTTTTTCTCCTCTATTAATTATTTAATTAAGGATACCCACTTTATAGAGGCTGGGTGTGCCTCAGGAGGGTATACCGACTCCAGGAACAGTCCAGAACTGATGTGTCAGAATAAATAATTTATCTGCCATAAGCCACCGATTCTGAGATTCAAGGAGAAGAACTAATACAGGTTTTATCAAAATCGGGGTACAGCCATTTTGGGGTAACTTTAAAAACACAGGTTTTTCGGCCGTCATTTTAAAATTAAATAGCGGATGGTAATGGTAAGTTCCTAGTATCATCTAAGGGAGACCTCTAAATTTCATGTAAAATCTTCAAAAAGATTCAATCGGTTCAATGTTCTTGTATTGTAGAAAAGTCATGGACGAATGGATTTTTAAAAATTCAATTTACGGATGCTATGTAACTTGAAACGTAAAACCTTAAATGTTGAGTTAGTTTCCTCATCAATTACAAAGGTTTATTATTAAAAATAATAAGTCAAAAACATGTATTACTATTCATTCAAAAGAATCCAGTATACAACAGTTATAATAAATTATACTTGCACTCGTTTAGTAGAGCATATATAAATATTTTACTGTATTTTATTTAATATTATGCTATTCTAAATTAGGTGTGTAATATACTTAGTAAGTTAAAAGCTGTAATTGAAATTAACAGTGAAAAATAGATGGTGTTAAGTCGTATTTGGTTGTTTTGATGGCCATTAGGGATTTAAGTGCAATACATGAAAATAATTAGAAATTTCGGGAGGTCCTATGCTAACATTTATAAATATACCCCAAGGTACCTTCACACCAAATTTGGTGCTTTTATCCACCACTATGTAATTAAGCCACCTGACTAAATGGGACAATCTGCATTTATCCGGACAGTTTCTGTCAATTTTTTATTGATTCCTTTTGCCAGTGAAGAAAAAAGTAACTATTTAAAAAAAAAAATTCTTCCAACTTCAAATATCCTCAGATTCAAAAAATGTTTACCCCCATGACAATATGAATTAGGTTCATAACATTGCTTTCTTCAAACTTCCGCCTCATATCAACAATATTCTTAGTCTTGGTCCAAATTTCAATACTCCTTCTCAATCCAGCATTCCTTACCAATCTAGAATATATCCATCAAGACTCCAACCTGATTGTTAATGATGATGAACGGACTATCTCCCGAACCCAAACATGCAATATTATCACCAACCATCTCTAGCACCCATCTTCAATACCATTTTCTTTTTCATCACAATTCCTAAAAGATCTATCCTCTACTTTTATTTCTAAGCTCCCAAAACCAAATCATTGTCACTCGTGCAGATAAAGGTAACAAAACTGTCGTTATGGACCGCACCAAGTACAATGAAAAATTATTTGCACTCCTTTCTGACCAAACCAACTATCTTTCCACAAAACGTGGTCCTACACCACCATCTCTCAACCAAATTCAACCAACATCTAAAACACCTTCTCGAAACCAAACAAATTAAAATTCCTACTTATAGGAATCTTATCTCTTATAATGCTACTGCTCCCTGGTGTTGGGGCTTACCGAAAATCCATAAACCAGGCAATCCTCTCCGACCTATTATTTTCAACATTAACTCTCCATCTTCTAAACTCATTTCTTCTTCCTACCATCTAGTCTGTCAGTGAAACAAATCCATTTGATATTAAAAATTCCTTCCACCTATTAGATCAACTAAAATCCTTGAACACACTACCACATTTCATCTTAACCTCCCTTGATGCAGAAAGTCTCTTCACCAATATTCCCACAGAACAGAATTGGAAAATTGGTCTACCATAGAACCACACAGTTCCCTCAATCAATCCTCATTCCTTCAGTCCCTCTCTCTATGTTGTAACTCCAGCTACCTATTTGTTCAAAACAAATATTTTCATCAAACTTCCGGCCTTGCGATGGGTAATTGCCTTGCACCAGACCTCTCCAGTATTTTCATTAAAAAATATGTTGACGATCTCTTATTAATCCTCAAACCCCACGCTATTCCAAACATATTTTCTGGTTTCAACTCATACCATCCTCGAATCCGTTTTACCATTGAAATAGAATCAAATAATTTCCTTCCATTTCTTGATCTCCCCATTTTTAGAAATAATTTATCCAATTGGTACACCAAACCTACCTACTCCTAAACTATTTTTCCCAACATCCTTACCACCAAAAACTCAGTGTAGCTAAAAACCTGATACACCGCAGTCTAACATTAACCGACCTGCAATTCCACGACAATAACCTAACTAAACTACACAAGATCCGGAAATCCAATGCCTTTCCTGATCACATAATAAAAAACCTAATTAAAAATCAATCTAAACCTCATCTCCCACCACGATTAGCCAATTCAGATCCATTCCATACATCCCGATCCTATCTCAAAAAAGCTTTAACTTCCAAATTCCCCCATCTACAAATAGTTTTCAAAAATAACAGTAAATTAAGAAATCTATAAACCAAACTCAAAGATCCTGTTCCACTCCTATAACAATCAAATATTGTATACCATACCACATGCTCTAGCGCAAACCGCAATTTTTCTTATATAGAAGAAACCAAAAACTATTTTAAAAAAACCAATATATCAACACAAATACAGCATCTCCAAACGAAACCCACTCGCCTCAAAACTAGCCAAACACGACATAACCTTTAACCACACATTTGATTTTGAAAACCAACCATACTTGCCATAGTTCCTAATCACCAAAAATGACTACTTTTACAAGTTATATTCATTAATTTGGAAAGAAATAAGCTGGTAAACCACAAAGTAGATGACGAAAAGATCTGCAACACATATTCGAATATTTTCCGCCTCCTAAAACAATAGTCTATAATAATTAGAAACTGTTTTTCATTTTCCCCATTGAATTACATAGGTAATTACTTCTATGTTTATTATATTTATATACACATATAACGTCTATTCTGAATATAAATATATACCATAAACAGGCACACATATTTTTATACTTATACTATCAGAACTATGTAATCCTTAATATAATATATTGTTCTACTTATCATTTTAATCCATTACAATTGTCTGTATTATAAACATTATTTGGCTAACTACTGTATTCCTTCAATCAAACTATGTTATGTTTATTTGGTTGTTGGCCCCGTGTAGATAGATTCATAATTGTGGGTTAATGGTTGACTGTCATGAATAATGAAGAGAAGGATGGTTGTGGTGATCAGGCAGAAATAAATATTGTTATTTATTTTAACATTTGCCGAAGTTTCGACCTGAAGTTCAGGCCTCTTCCAATAGCTAGCTGGAATAGTCTCTATTTTAGCTAGCTATTGGAAGAGCCCTGATGAAGGCCTGAACTTCAGATTGAAACGTCGGCAAATGTTAAAATAAATATTATTATTTATTTTTGCTTTCTTATTTCTGCCTGATCACCACAACCATCCTTCTCTTCCTTATTCACGACAGTCAACCATTAACCCACAATTATGTTATGTTTATATTGATTGGCACCTCTCGCTTATGTTCATTTCATTAATAGCCAATAGTAATAATTCTGTAACTATTAGAAACAACCCAAATCTTGTACACATCTTGAATATTTAGTCAGCAAATTATTTGCATTCTAGAAACAGAAATGTTGCCTCCCTCTTTTCCTCCCCCCTCTGACTATGTTTATCTACCTTTTGCTATCTGAAAAAGGACAACTGGGAAATCCTCCCTCAACCCTTTCACTTACCTACCAAAGTGTCAGTACTTAAATATCTTCAATGCTCAAACCACGATTAGTAGTAAGAGAAAATATTACAATGTTTGTAAATTGATTATATATATAATGTTTAGTTTGTATAACTTTTTATATATTTCATATGTAATATTTTGTATTAAAATATTAGTTAAGATTCGTATATCATCAATCACTATATTTTTTTATTATTAACCATTATCTGTCGTATAATATTATATCTCTGATTGTATTTAAAAATTTTCAGTGCTGATAACCCACTTTAATAATTTGGGTTGAAATGTCGGCACTAATAACTTTATAATGACTGTGTCCTGAATATTTACCATCCGTGATATGTAGAACAGTCGACTAACTTTCTTCAATTATTTTTAACTTAACATTTCATATCATGTGCAGTCTAGTCTGAAAAACACTTCTTAAAATGTCATTATATCAAATACCAAAAGAAATTTGGTAATTTTTTTTAATCTCTGAAGTAAATTTCATCTAAAGGTTCAAAAATAAAAAATTATGCTGCTTTGAAATAATTTTATTATGCAAAGAACTTGTGATGAATCAGTGATTTGGAGTCTGTAAACATATTAAAATAAAATAAATTTGTTGTCTAATAAAATAATGTGAACATAATAAAGAGATAACAAAAAAGTACCAATGCCTAGCTGATTAAAAAAAGAAAAAAAGTGATTGCACCAACATATACCATATAAAACAGATACTTTACACCTCAAAGATAACATTACTCCAAAACTTGAATAATTCCTTTGATGATCAAGGGATCATCAATCAAAAATGAATAAAATGATAAAACCTGGGAATGGCTTCTTTGTGAAATTGGAAATCAGTTCTCTATAAAACAAAAAAGAAATCAAAAAAAAAAAATCTAGAAGGTGGAAACAAAAAGTGATTCTAGTTTTGGAGTAATATTATCTCCCCATGGTGTGAAGTTTTCCTATTTTATAGTATGATTTCTTCTCTAATTATCTCTACTGGTATCTTCAAACATATATTCAAATCAAAATACATTTAAATAAATAAATTAAATATAATTTTGTTAATACAAAGAATAATGGTATACATAATTATCTTGGCTGTTATTGATGAACAATACTTTCAATATAATAACAATAATTGTAAAATACACTTATGCGTAGTCTATTTTAGAGAAAGAATAAAGTTCTCAAACAAACATTTTAAAAAAATAATATTCTCCCTCAAAAAAAGAAAAGTTAAAAGATATTTTTCAGTAAGAAAATATATATGAAGTATTTTAATGTTGTAATCACAAGTATATGCTACACATTAGAACACCAATAATTTGGGTCAAAATTTATTTTCTAATCATACGTCATTTAAAAAAATAATTTATAAAGGCACCAACCAAACGATTATTTAACCACCATCAATGAAGGACTAGCCAATAACATTTATCAAAAATATTTTCAAACTCTTTATGATATTATGAAAAGTAAAAAGAGAATAAAAATTTACAGACATTTAGTAATTACAAATATAACAGCCTTTATTAAAAGTAAATAATAAAATTACATTACTACTTAAAGTAATTAAAAGTCTAAGAAGGTAACTAGAATGGGGAAGACGCTGAAAGAGGGTATTTGAAATCATGAATAAGGCATTCAGCTGTTCCAATCTGATTGTGAAAAACCATCCGGCAGAGAGGATGTGTCAGAATCGTTAGTATCAGAAGAGAAGTGAACAGCAATAAATCTCTTCTTCAGTACCTCGGTGAGGATGTCAGAGGGATCACTTAAGATCTTCGGTCTCTTGATAGGCCTTCCTCCAGGAGACCTGTTAAATTCATTAACTTCATAATACAGTTCATAATATTTGTAATCTAATAATAAAAACAAATTTAATAAATTTTTTAAACATATTTTGTTTATCAGTTATCAAATTAAATCTTGGTATATCTGTTAGCTTCTACTTCCACGAAAAAAAAAAGGCTGTTAGTGATGCCAAGTGGCAAAAGCATATGAGCAGTAACTTATAATTTATCTCGGATACAATTTTATAAAACACATCTTATAACGTATCCCAAGATAGTTAACCACAAAATAAGTAAAAGTTTCTGAAATAGCATTCGAGTGATAATTGTATCATAAAAATGCAAAAGGGTTTAGGTGCCTTCAAGAAAATAATTCGTTTCAATTTGGATAATATCAAAAGAACTTTTGGCACTGGTCAGATGTGATAGCATAAATAATAAAATGACACTTGATTTTATACTTTATACCTCAGAACATAAGCCTATAATCTGTGAGCAAAAAACATTTTGATTCCAATTTCGCTAGAAATGCTTAAACCTATTGCTTTTCAATCTTAAATTCATTTTAATCCGTTTTTATTTTTTACTTTAACAAATTATTTCAATTCTTAAACATCTGGTGAGTCTGTTTGTGTGACTTTTTTTTTAAAGCCTGAGACACGAACAAGGAAGAAAATGAAGGGGAAGAGAATACGAGTATGGACCAAGCACAATTAATAAAATAAGAAAAGAAAGACCAAAAATCATTAATACATGCAAACGAGAAAGACTGCAAAAATAATATAATCCAATACTTAATGATGATGAAGATGGTGGAAATAGCATGGAGAATCAAGTCAAATACCAACTCCTCCAGGTTTAAATCATGCGATCCTGGTCGTCAAACTGAGTGCAAGATTGATAGACTTGCATTTCAATATAATGAAAAACACAGCCTCCAACATCTCCCAGATCAAGGGACCAAGACCAGAGAGGCCTGTCTGGCCGAAGGATCACCTGCAGAACAACACAGACTCAGATGGAGCAAAAGCAAGATATACTAGAATATAAGTCTTTAGACTATGTCAGTCTTTACTAAGATGGGAAGCATGATTTCACATAATTTCGTTTTATAAGTTTAATCTCAGTCGGAACAGCGTCTAAAAGGCCAGAAACAATAATGTTTGGGACAATGGCAGCATGATTGAGTGCACCATTCAACGAGGCCTTAAAACATTTAGAGAGGGAGACTTCAGCGTTGAAAACAAAGATATTCGTAGAAAGACTTCTTTCCTTTATGATGGTGTTCTGGGGGCTTAGGTAAAGAAAATAAAGAAAGCGACCATTACTGACCACCTCAATGCAATTCTAAAAGCAGAAAAGCTAGAAACTTGAAGTTCTCATGCATTAAATCATTGCAAAAAAAGAACCTTCTGTTACGAAGTTCACACTGCACTTCTTTGCCATAACATAAACTCATTTTTTCTGGCCAGAATAATAAAATTTCTTTTTAAAGTTCACTTTTCCTCAAGCGAATTCTCTCAGCCAAATATAAACATTCTGAACAGGGGGTTAACAAAGGAAAAGCAGGACATTTTCCAAAGCCCCCAACACATGAAAAAAAGTGATGATTACTGTTTGGTAGTCTTCGTTTGTGATAACTCATGATAGCTTCTTGAATCCAGGTGAAACCATCAATGAGAAAAGGTAATGCTCTGTAATTGATGTAATGTACCAGAAATTGGTGCTAATAAAGCCATCTTTGGTTAATCATAAAAGGCCTATTATCCTACATAACAACATTCGGCCTTATATCTCATATGTAACATTACGAATACTGTTGGAGCTTGGTTATGAAACTCTGCCTCCGCTCATTCGGCTAACTCTCCAGGCCTCTTGCCTATCAACTACTATTTTTTGTGGCATCTGGGCCACTTTTAATAGGTGAAAATTTTATTGATCTAAGTTTGTTAGAAAATGAATTTTCAGAATTTGTTAAGCAATTCAACATTCTATTCAGAGGTAACAGAACCTATTTTTATTAATAACAATAGTTGTATTCATCTATTTTGTTTAAAAACTATAAACCTTCATTCATTTCCGTACAACCCAATAGTTATAAACAGTTATTAGTGAAGGTCACATTGTCTGCAAAAAACTTGAACAGCACGAGTCCTCATGAAATAATTTTCAAATATAAACTTAACATGATAAAATATATTATGACTTTTACATACCTTTCAATGGGCTTTAGTTTTGGAGGTCCATTCTTAATCTCTTTCAGAACATCACCTAGTGGATTGTTATTACTGACGTTATCATTTCTTGTAGTAAGTGGTTTGCGCTTAGGAGTGACAAAAGGTGAAGATATATCAAAAGGTGGCGGAAGAGGAGGAGGAGGAGGTGGGGGTAGTGCAGGCGCAGGCTTCTCATCAGCTTGAGCTGTAATAAATTTAACAAAATGAAAGATAATTAAAAAAATATCAACTAATTCATATGGTTATCTAATTTAGAGTTAAACAAAAAAAAAAAACTCTTAGTAGCAACAGTTTAAAAAAAAAAAGGGGGGGGGGGTGATTCAAGATTAACATCTGATCATTATTAACTGGGCACAGAATAAATATCACATGTGAATGACAACAGGCAAGTTATTGATTATTGTCAAACCTATTGTAAGAGAAATTATATCTATAACTACAAACTAAAAGCTTTATAAGATGATCATTCAAAACTTAGAGATATCTATAAATAAAGATAACTTACAAGAGGTGGATGAATTTTGTTTAAGTAAAATAGACGCTACTTGTTCCCGTAACTCTTTTAATTCATTCTGCAGTTGTGTCAGCTTAGTTTCATGCATACAACTGATATCAGAACTAAAACAAAAAAGAAGTAAACACATCAGTTTTGAAAAATATTAATAACTTCAAACAAAATTATAATTAAACTTTAACAAAAAAAGAGAAACTTTTAATCTTCAACAAACAATAGTTGGTAATTTACTGGTTCCTATTTTAACTGGTACAATTTTAGCTCATAAACAATCGTGCTAAGCCTTATATAACAATTAAACCTTCAACAGATAGGTATAAAGTTGGAGATTCATTTATTTCTTGGGCAAGTTGATATTGGTTGCTGTAGTTCACATAGAATTATAACAATGCAAACACTTATGATAAATTTACAACACTCCATTAGAACATGGCAGTAAATTTGAGCAGGTAGATATATTTTATTTTACCACATAAGACATATATTATGGATAAAATTATAGTAGTCACACATTCCGGGATGATATGTGGGGCATACTACAAACAGAGTGGAGAATGCATTCTGCTTTTGAAAAGTGGTTGTACTCAACCTTTTAAGGTATTAATCACCTTAGCAAATAACTAACCAATTTACTTCTTATCCGCCACTACATTCAGCTTGGAGGACATCTTGCAGCTTTGAATCCCAGCAATACCTGTTCCGTGCTGCCACTTTCCAGTACCGTACCATAAGCATAGATTGGGCATTTATAGCTATGTCATCCATTCACTGTAACCTTGGTCTTCTTTCCCTTCTTTTGCCAAATATTTCTTCGATTAGTATGTTTTTTGGAACCTAACCCTCAGATATGCTAATGATATGTTTAGCCCATCTGAGGCTGTTTACTTTAATAAAGATGACCACAACAGCATCCTCATACAGAGTATCATTAATTTGGCAATAGTCCGTTGTCTCCAGACTCTACGTACGCATATTGCTCCCAAGATTCTGCTATCTAATGTTAGCAGAGCAGGTCCTGATTCCTGGTAATGGCTCAGCATTCTGCAATAGAAATACTGGCCTTACCGATGCCTTATACAGGCGGATCTTGAAATGTCCAACTAGTCCATGGTAGCATTTGTTATCAACGTTTTGAGAGTTAGGTGTTTGAGTTTTCAGGATGTACTGAGGGAGTGAATATTTAAATACAAATGAACTTTTAACAATTCTCTATGACTCACCTCAACTGGGACAGATAAAATGGTACTTTTGTTTTAAACAAATTTTATCTCTTCAAAAAGTATAATAACAAGTGAAGGAGTAATCACTTATATAAACTAATTAAGTTTCATATCACGAAATAAAAAATTATTTAAAAGCCCTGAATCAAGGCAATATAAAATTTTCATGGATCAATATTATTGCAAATAAATAAATATTCAGTGGTAATATTAAATTTAACACTGCCAGAGAAAACAGCTTTGCTAGAAACACTGACAGTTCCAAGACTAGATAAAGGTGGAGGGTTGATGTGAGTTCGTCAGAAAGACTCAATGGAAACTGCAAATGGTTTTTGTATGGCAATGGTAAAGAGTATCCCATGGAGGCCTATTCGGATTCATGGAGCTAATGTCTTTGAGGACTAACGGCAGGAGTAGAGAGGGAAGCAAATTTCAAAAAGTTTTAGATTTAATAAGAAAATAAGCATGAGAATCACAACTTAAAATGTCAGGAGCTTACCACAAGCAGAAGCAAGCTGAGAAATTGAAAATGTATTAGAAAATGGCCTTGCAAGAAAGCCGATAGGGAGAAGTAAATCGAGGAACACTAAATAAATACATCTAAATTAACAGTGGTACCACAAAAAAAGCAAACTAGGAACATGCCTCATGAGTAAAATGTCGGCCAAGTGACACCAGAATAGCTTCCTCACCATTTTCACTGGTGTCACACCCACCTATATCTATAGGTCGATCATTTTTTGTTTGCGAAATAAAATCTTCGGAAAAAGCCGCATGCGAAAAGTAATTCCATAACATTTGCGGATTTGATGGAAACAAAATTGATATTTTCCAGCAATCAGAACAAAACTAATTTAAGAAAGAATTAAGAATATGACTGACTTTTACCAATTACATGAAAAGAAGCCATTTGCAAACTTAAAATTTTGGAAGTATTGGATAGAATTTGATTAACTTACCCTAACCCTTAAAAACCTAACTTCTCTCCAAATATGGAGCAAATCTAAAATGGAGTTTTCGAGTAATAGGCATATCAAGGGAAATCATTTTTTTTTTTTGTCCATCAGTAGCAGGTTATACAAACAGGTTATCTACACTTTGTTTCAGGTTGGAGGGAAAACTGAGTGTTCTCTGGTTATAACGCAAGGAACAAGATTTTTTGCATCTTGGCTGTAACTTTTACACCACATAATAATAATACTTTATTTATTCTGAAACAAGTCCCTTTAGAATTAATACAGGAAGATAGAAATATGGGCTAAGGAGCCTCAGAGATACATAAATAAAAATACAGAGTAATTGAACAGTCTTGGTGAAAAAAAAAAAAAAAAATATATATATATATATTATTTTTTTTCACCAAGACTGTTCAATTACTCTGTATTTTTATTTATGTATCTCTGAGGCTCCTTAGCCCACATTTCTATCTTCCTGTATTAATTCTAAAGGGACTCGTCTCAGAATAAATAAAGTATTATTATTATGTATATATATATTAATATTTTATATATGTATATATATATATATATATATATATATATATATATATATATATATATATATATATACTTATATGTATATACACATATACATATAAGTTGCTTTCCAATTTTGATCAGTTGATAATACAAAAAATAAAAAAATAGATAAAAAAAATTGGAATACAAATAATGAAGAACGAACTAATATTTTATGTACATATTTACAGTAGTATCTATATATGATTTTATGGGGACTGGATGGATAAGAAATGATTGAACAGGCGGGATTTAAAGGTAGGAAGGGTATTGGATTGAAGGACGTGGGAAGGGATGGAGTTCCATAGGAATCAGGATCGGATAATGAACGATTTGTCGAAAGCAGCGATAATGTGGGCTCTTATGTATAAATCAGAAGACTGGGAACGAACACAAAATCTACAAAAACATATTAATTTAAAGACTAAGTTATTCTTGAAGTGTTTTTTATTGGTATTCTTATTGTTTGGATAACCTCAAATTTACGATGTTCACAATAGGTATAACACATAATGACATATAAGGGAGCAATGACCCATTTGACCTAAGGGAGGGTTGACCATATTAAGAAGATTTAAGGGTGAGAAGAAAAAAAACACATAAGGATGAATATCATTAATTAATTAATTAAACTAGCTCCATAACCCGCAAACGAGTCTTGGCTTCCTACATGTGTACCTATTCTGTGCAGCTACTATCCAATTTTAACTCCAATGGATCATAAGTCACCTGCGACCACTCGTTATAGAGATTTGTCTATTTCTACGTCTTCCTTATTGTCCGCTCTACCAGATATGTCCATAAATTTGGCAGATTTTCCTTTCAAACATAAGCAGGTATCTTTTATCTGCCTTTGCAGTGGTCCAGATTTCAGAACAATAAGTCAAAACGGGGCAGATGAGGGTTCTGTAGAGGATGACCTTGGTGAGCTGCAAGACAAGTCTGCTGGATAAGCGTGAGTGGAGTCCATAATAACACCGATTTGCTGCGATCATTCTTTTCTGCCTCTCTGCCGAGATTCCATTGTCACACTTCAGTTATGCACCAAGGTATATAAACTTCGACACTTGTTCAAACTTGTAGCGACCAAAGACCACTTTGGTACCAATATGTCAGGGGGGATGATCAGACACCATGTACTTTGTCTTATCTTGGTTGACAATCAAGCCACGTTTTTCCATAGACTCAAGAGCCAGGAATGACTGAGATACAGCCTAATATAATCTGGTAATTATGTTTACATTATCAGCATATGCGAGAAGCTGAACTGTTCTGTTGAAAACAGTACTCATTATCTGAATTCCTAACAGCATTTTCAGTTTGGAAATTAAAGAAGAGGCATGCCAAAGCTTCTCATTGCCTCACTTCTCTCACAGTCCAGAAATTATGAGGTTTCTTAATAATTTGTTTTCGGAGAGTGGGACGGACTATCAATCCTCTCTGCGTATGATATTGCTTACGATGGTAACACCCGATATTGCAAAAGTAATGCTAAGAGAACAAATGTTATACTGTAAAACAGATTACAACATACCACTGGCCAGGACAGTTTCAAATGAAACGAAGAAACAAGGTATTGGTAGCTAACATAATATAAAAATAATGATACTGCTATATTATTATTCTTCCGCCCCTCCCCCCCCATCTGCAAACACATTTAACTTACCAATCACAAGGAATTTCATTTTCCTCTCTTGAAGAATTATCATCTATTGATAATGATGAAATATCACTTTGGATCGTAGTCTGTGATAATTTCTTGTCGAGGGTCCTCCATGGTGGCACATAGATATATACTCTAGGTGGGCTAGGGATAGGCAAATTAGTTCCTATAAATCTAACTATACTCCTTCTAGGTCTTTTGCCATTGACAATTAAAGGGAAGGTTACATCTTTTACCTACAACATAAAAAAACAAATCAAGTTAATTGTTACCAAAAACAAACTATTGTATATATTGAAATGAAGCTTTGTTTAATGCTTGTCATGAGATATACACCAATACATGATATTGTTTAGTTAGACAGTTATCTTAATCTTAACTGTACTAATCACCATTTAAATATAATTCAGCTCATCCTATTTGTTCAATATTATTAGATATAATGTTAATGTTGCAGTTAACTAATTACATTACAAAAAAAAATTAAAAATTTTAACAAAAAGGTTAGGTAATGGTAAGGAAAAAATATATTATTTTCAGTTTGGTATTTATTAATAGACAAACTGATAATTCTCTTATTTAATTCATGATGCTTATAACAGAAGTTAACTGATTCCACATAAAATAAAAGTTTAGTCAGCTTTTATAGAATTATATCAGAGAAAATAAACAAGCAATATAGAAAGAGTATATGTGTGTATATATATAGTATTAATATTTTAATATACAGTACCAATATATTTATACATAGTATTATCAAAATATTTGGAGCAATCAGTAACTGATATCAAGAAACAAAATCAATCTACAAGGACTTCAAAGGTCATAGTTGGTTTCTTATACTAGAGGTTGTTGGAATAAAATAATAAACTAACTTACCTTTTGTAAGAAATCGCATAAGGACCTTAAAAAATTTAAAATAGTTGACATTTTAGGAAAATTAACGGTATTACTAAAAGAAAAATCATTTTAAGTTGTTAACGAACCTCACCAGCTTCGGTTCGAAAAAGGCTCATCTGGGAAAACCACTGCCTGCCCTATTCGAACTGGTTTCTAGCATATAGCGAATATTTAGAATATAAAATTCGATTAAAGGGTAACAATTAATTTTTTTAGTATTAAATTCGTCTTTTAAAGTCAGTCCTCAATATTTATAGAAGTTAAAACTAATCTTATCTATTCTTCTTGGCGGCACACCCTGCAGCCTGCCATATCATTCCATGGTATAACCTTTCACTGTCTTGTTTTCTACAGTAATTTGTGCTTGTTTTCGACTGAATTTGTGGTATTTATCATAAACATTAAATGCACTCTAATTTCTTTTTATGTCCCTTTTATTTCTCTATGATTAAAGAATTACAGTGATGTTTTGATTTGATTTAATTATTCCAAATCTCCATTGCATGATTATGTATTTATGATTACAGGGCCTAATCAGACAGTACCAGAGTTATTAAGTGAACTATAGTTTTTGTTTTGGTATTTTGATTGTTAGGTAAGGTTACAGTTAAATAATGGAAGCCAACATATTTTTGAAAGATGTTCGACAAGGTATGAAAAATTTGACAGTGACAGTCATAGTACTTGATGTAGGGAATCCAACAACTGTCAAGGACAACAGGGAAGTCAGGACTTTAAAAGTTGCGGATTCATCTGCATGCATCAATCTTTCAGTTTGGGATGAACCAGGACATTACTTGATCCCAGGGGACATTATTAGGCTAACAAAAGCTAGTGCCACAATTTTTCGAAATTGCTTAACTCTATATTCTAGTAAAGCTGGAGAAATTGACAAGATTGGTGATTTTTGTATGGTGTTCAATGAACAATTTAATATGAGTGATCCGAATTTGACTTTTGAACCTCCAGCTGGTTCTATAAATAATGGTGGAATGAACAATGGTGGTAAAGTAGTGCGACCTCCTGGACCACTGATTTTACCTCCTACAGGTCCTTCTCAGCCTATGAAACCTCAGCGATTTCTGGGGCCTGAGGCTGCACCCTTAAGACCTGTTGGAAAGATGAACAATCAGAAGGGAGGTCGTGGTGGTGCTAAAAGTGGCATGGTTCGCCCAGAACGAAGATAGTACCTTGTTAAGAAAAAAATTTGGTTTTTCTAAATCAATGTATAAATTTGTATTTTTTTTTTTTTTACTGCAGTTGTTTTTGGCTTGAGAGGTATTAAGAAAGTGTTTTGAACTCATTGAGAATGGAGGTTACCTTATAGATAGTATTTATATATTTTTAGAAAATAAAATAGTTTACAAAAGGTAATATATTTTTCTTATGATGCTTTTAAATTTATGTATTTATATTAGTTATTTTAACCAGTATATCTCAAATTTAGTTCAATTTTTTTTGGTATCTCACTTGCCAACTGTTAAGTATTTACTATTTTAAAATGTACAATTATAAAAATTATAATTTAATGTATTAAATCAAAATTTGAAATAGTATAACATTTCCGAATTAAGAGAGGTGTAAGTAATAAGCAACTAGTATTTATTACCCACCACTTATTTTAAACTGTTTTATTAGCTAATATTTTCTTTTAAATTTGGATTTACTTGTGTTATCTTAAAAAATACTGAGTTTTACCGATAAGTTTAACTATATTAACTTCAAATGTAAACATAGTTTTGTGAAATTCATATGGATAAATAATATTAGTGTTAGCGATTACTTCACTACAAAATTTTAGAATTAAATTAATTTCTTTACTTAAAATTAGAAGTAAATATATTATATTAAATCTAATGGTTTATGTAGAGAAAAGGTGTGTATTTTGGACCACTTTTTTTATTTTGTAAATAACTTGAACCACATCTCTAAAAGTAAATTGGTAGAAATTTATTTGTATAGAATTGCAAACAAAAAGCTTTCTTTAAGATATAATCATTAATCTTATTTAGAAAAAAAAAAAGGAATTGACAAAAAACAAACATTAAGTAATCTATTTCAAAACTAGTTTCTCATTAACATAAAATGGATTAGGGGATATATTTCTGAATAATCCAAAACGGTGATCAATGTGGAGTGAAATTAATTTTCTAAGGGTTAGCTAAGACTTGTTGGAGGATTATGTTGGATCAGAGCTTGCAAATCATTGTTTTTACAAGGTTTGATACAAAAAATATAAGTAGGCAAAGATTGTGGATGTTACCAGCTTCCATGCTCTTAGCTGTATTATTGTTATCTGTTAGCAAAGAGCATTGAATTATTGAAAGATTCTTTTTATTAATGAAATGAAAAAAAAAAAAAAGCTTTCTAGTAAATTCAATGTAATGTCTAATCCATAAACATTTGTTCATTGCATTTTCTCTGTATGTTATTTTAGGGTTATGTTGGAAATTTTTTGCTGGTTTATTATGTCCAATGTCTCCTCTAATTATAACTATAGCTTTTCCTCAGTTATTTGGAAGGCCACCGGTGAATTTAAGTGGCAATAAGTTGAAACTGATGATTTTTCTTTCCTTTACTCTCTGCTTTTATTTATAAAATATTTTAAAATGTAGATACACATATATCACACGAGTTCAATATCATCTTGTAAATAAAATCTTTAAAAAAATAACAGAGATGTGTATTTAAACTTCATGTCCTGTCAGTTCACATTTGGCTACCACTTAATTGTGGGTGTGCTATAGAAGAACTGAATGAGTGTCTTTTGTTTTATATTTTTCATAAAAACCTTTTTTGCATATTTCCGTAAAAGAGTAATAGCTGAAATAAAAAGTTAAAGTACTAAAATAAACCAAAAAAATATGCTTATGTTTCCTAATACTTAAAAGACTGAATTTTAATATTTATAAATTTACTATTTTATTGAAATTTATTTCTGAGTTAAATGATTCGTCCAGAATAGATGAATCAAATTATTAGCTATTGTAAATGTTTACATTATTCCAGTTAATTTATTATATTTATCTTCCCATTACAAATAATTATGTTTATATTTTCTTGATTTGATCAAACTTGTCAAATTAAATGAAGAAAGAAAGTCATGTAATGTTTGAATGTTGTAAATTTGTTATAACAAATTTAAATAAGTATTAACTATTGTGTCAAAACATAAGTGCATTGTGATATAATTTAGCCCCATAGGGACATTTGATGTATTAAAAGCTTTTGACTGTATTTATACTGCATGAAGATAGTACTGCCCATTTATTTTAAGTTCTGTTTAGCACCTTAGATTATTTTGAAAAATTATAGTTTTAATTTTCCCTAAAATTCCAATACCAATTGATCCTCTATATCTGCCTTTCATGTTAGAGAGTTATGGTGGCTAAAAAGAACTTTTTATTTGTCATCAGTGTTCTATTAAAAGGGAAAATTGGGCAAGATATTTTAGGAAGCACAGTTGATTTTTTCCAATTTTACATGAAGGGGTCTGTAAGGAGGATGGTCATGTATAACTTTCAGATTCATTGGTTCCACACATCGCTAACTTTTTATATATTCTTGACTTTTCTTCATTAATTATTTTATGCTCACTACTTATCCATAGGTGTTTATTTTATTATTTACGTTTGGAAGTTTTGGGGATACTTAGTTCCTTTTCATATGCTTCATATCCCGACTCATCAGCATATAATTTTCCCCAATATTGCTCGTTCTAGGACCAACCCAATACTGGGGAAAATTATATGCTGCAGAGAACAAAATATCTCTAAAATGTCTACACAAAAATAATAATAAAAAACAATAAATTACGAGTGTCTATTTGTATATAATTTGTTAAATAAGGCCTATATGCAATAAGTTAGGATAAAAAAAGTTTTATGACGATTCAAGAAATACAAAAATTTCCATTTTTTTTTTTCAGAACACCCAAGATGTCTTAGGTTTTCTTTCTAGTTTCAAAACCATTTGAATTAATTTTTAAAATAAAATTAGCACTGTAGTCTCATATAATGGTGAATACAAGATTAACATAATAAAAGTCTTACAACTGAAATCAAAAAAGTTTTTTGTTAAATGCTGATTTTCAGCAAAATTGTCCTTTTTATTTCTGTTCCAGAACATATAATTAAGAAGAACAACACTATATCAAAAATAAAATCAGTTTTAGATCATGATTTGTCTTTATAAGATGACTAAAATTAGATTTAGCTTACTGATATTACAAATCTGTTGATTCTTGGGACCACTTTTAATATCTGAATTTTATTTGTCTATAGATTTTAAAATTTTGTCAACTTAGTTTAGAATGACCATGATATTTTTTTTAAAATAAATAGTTCATGAAACAATAGATTCGAGAGTTCTCTTAGCATCTGGTGTTAGTATAATCTGAAACATTACATCTAAAGACAATAAAAATAAAGGTTTATGATTATTTTAGTTACTTTACAAGAAAACTTAATTGAACAGACCCAATCTAACTAAGAACTTTTAAAAAACAGCCAAAATTAAAAAAGGGATTTATTGTTTCTAAGACTTTTAGAAACAGATAGGTGCTTTTACTTTTTTTTTTGTAATAAGAGTCAGACAATTACTTTTCTGTTTTGTTTGTTAATGATTGAAATAAATTATTTATCCATAATTAAGTAATAAAAAATTTAAGTTGGTTAAATAAAATGTTAACTTTAATACAGAGGGATATTTTTGGCTTACTTAAAAGCTCTTTTTTACTTTCACTTACCTATATATGTAATATATTGGAAGTATAAGTATTGTGATAGTGAAAATTTTTGGATCTGAGTTTTCAACGGAAATACATGTTTTAAGGTCTCCTGAGTCCAAATAACCAAGTCCCGAAAAATGGTCTGTGTGTATGCGAACACTCTAGCTCAAAACCGACGAATACAAAAACGAAACTGATATTACATATTTAAGATAGATATATGCCTTAGATGTCCTGGCAACTTTTTCATTAAAATCGGCTTACTGGAAGTGCCACTTTATTTCAACACTGAAAGGCATTTTTCTCAAAAACGGTGCTGACGCTTAAATGCCCAATGTTCATATGGTCTTCCTTTAAAGTATCTTTAATATGGTTTATTTTAAATAATCAACTATCTCTCATTATTAAAAGTTACGAAAAAATGCTAAAATAACTTTTGAAAGAATTTGATAATTGAATAAAGGAGAAAAAAATAAAAATGTTTATACAGGTTGAAAATGAATCTCCGGAAATACAAGTCAAAAGGTATACTTATAATATATCGGAAAACGGTGAATTTTAGAAAAAACAATATCTGATATAGAAAGTTGTAGAAGGTAACGGAGAGTGGCGAAAAAATTATAAATAATAATTTTTGAAAACTGATAATATTTAATGTAAATCACATGTTTTCAAGGAAATTAAATGAAATTTACTAAATAAATGGAAAATTTAAAAAATATTTTTATGTTTGGAGAAAGTATTTAAAACCCACCTAATCAAGGCAATGGCATTGTTAAAACAACTATTTCATTGTACTCTTGTGAAAGAAGAAGTAAAATATAAAATCATTTTATGGATGTATAAAGCATATGTTCATAACCTTAAATACATTTACTGTAGTTTAGTGATTATAAATCTAATATTATATTTAAATAATTAGGTATCTATCATCCGTTTATTCCGAAAAATCATTATGTAACCTTTTAGAAAATTAAATTAGTGAATAATTTGATAAATTTTCTATTTAGGGTATTCCAATAGAATCCACTTACAATTAGTGTGACAACTTTTGACCTGTCTATGACAGACAATGTAAATCTCTTAATTTCGTTTTAATAAACTTAGCTGTGGAAAATAACAATTTAATAACTAATAGTCGTACAAACCGGTGATATAATAAATAGAACTTTTGTTATTTTAATAGTTTTTATGATTTGTTAGCTGCAATCTTTTAGCTGTAGCTCAGTTAAAAATGCAATTCAGAAATTTTATAATTGCCCAACATGGCCAGAAAATAATTTCTATTCAAACTTGAGGGGTAAGTGAAAGTTGTGTTGTGTGGTGTGTGCACCAGATTTTTCAGATTATAATAAAACACATGTATTGTAACAAAATAGCACTAAAAGATACAATGAACTCTCCTAGTGCTATTTATTATGTTTTCTCTTGTGTAGTAACCCTATGCAGGAGTTTATTTGCAAAAGTGTTAATACACCATGCGAATTCGCACATTATATATATATATACTTACATTTCATCTATATTATTGCTATCTATCTATCTATCTATATATATATATATATATATATATATATATATATATATATATATATATATATATATATATATATATATATATATATATATATATATTAAAGTATAGAGAACAATTAAATAATTGTATACCACTTAAATTTGTGTGAGAATTGAATGATGAAATAAACAGTCGCCTAAATTAAACTAAGTTAACTTACAATTTTAAAGAACTTATATATAAAATAAACATTGAAGAATAAAATTAAATGAACAAACACAATAATAACATAAAAATAGCATATATACTAGATATATGCACAGAAATATTTAACATAAAATAAAACTGAAATAACATTGTAAATGAATATAAATAAAATAACCGGAAATAATGCTGTAAGATAAATAAATTAATAAGAAAACAAAAAGAAAAAAATGTAAATTTAATTTAAAATTTTTATTCATAATCCTGTACTAGTAGAGAAGAAAAAAAAATATGCCAACAAAGTAGATCAGTATAATGATAACAGTAAACATTTTTTGTTTTGTTTTTTGAATGTTCCTCTTCCGCCATCTTGATATTGTTTATATATAAATAAAAAAAGAATATTTTCTTAAGTAGGTAGATATGTATTTAAGCTTTGGAAATGTATCAAACTTTATATAGAGTCTAACTGTCAATTTGAATACCATTTTATTTAATTAATAAAATAAGAGATAATTTATTAATTTCAAATTTGACCGAACTAAATATTAAAAATTAAATTTCTGCAATACTTACCAGAACCATAGAGTGTTTATCTCTTCAAGGTGAAATATTTCTGGATAACTAAGTTTTTAAAACCAGCTTTGCAATACAAATTACATTCCAAAATATAGAAAGCTTGCTTTTCAATATTTTATTTTAATTAATAATAATACTTTATTTATTCTGGGACTAGACCCTTTAGAATAATACATAAGGACAGTAATGTGGGCTAAGGAGCCTCAGAGATACATAAAAAGAAATGTTGAGTAATAAAATAGTCATATTAAAAATTATATGTTACTTTCTAACTTAAATAAGTTAATAAAAATAACCGGATATATGATTCTATGATATGAAAATAGTCACGAGTTCGCGTCCCAGTCCCAGAGGGGATTTTAAATTCCCCGCCCTCACCCTCTGGTCCGGGAAAATCCCATATAGCCTAAAAGGCGAGGTAGGGAAGAAAAGAAAAAAAAAATAAATAAATAAGTTAATAATAAAAAATTTTAAAATAAAATAAAAATAATGAAGAACAATCTAATAATTTATATAAATATTTTCAGTGGTATCTATTTACAATTTTATGGGGACTGGATGGATAAGAAATGATTGAACAGGCGGGATTTAAAGGTAGGAGGGGTGTTAGATTGACGGATGTGGGATGGGATGGAGTTCCATAAGGTTGAGGATCGGATAATGAATGATCTGTCGAAAGCAGCGGTTCGGTGGGCCCTTATGTATAAATCAGAAGACCTGGAACGAGTATTGCGGGAGCGAACAGAGGATTTGAATTGGAGGAGCTCGGAGATGTATGAAGGTCGGTGGGATTGGATGACTTGAAAGAGGAAGGATTCCAGGAAATACTTACAACGGTAGGAAGGGTAAAGCCACTTCAACTCTACATAAAAACGGGAAACAGAGGCGTCCCTTGAGATCCCGAAGATGAATCGTACAAAGCAATTTATCAAGCGTTTTAGTTTCACCTCGAGATCCCCAGAGACACCCCCATATACCGTACAGCAATATTCAAAGTGGGGAAAAATTAAGGAAGTGACCAGGACTCTTCGGGTTTCAAGGGGAAATAAGTGACGGAAGTGGTTTAGGCGTTTTAAGGTGGAAATGGTCCGGCGGGAGATGTTGGATACATGATTTTTCCAGGAAAGCGTTTGACCGAAGGTTAATCTAAGGTTTTTGATGGAGGAATGAAATTTGATGGGATTATCAGGTAGGAAAAGAGGTGGAACAGTTTTAAGGAGGTGATTGGAGCCAATTAAGATTGCCTTTGTCTTTTCCGCATTCAACTTTAACTTGTTGGCTCTCACCCAGTCGCAAATCTTATCCAAGTCTTCTTGAAGTTTTTCTGTGGCTGAAAAAAGGTCAGAGGGCGGAAAAGACAGGTATATTTGGAAATCATCAGCGTAGATATGGTATTGGGAATGACGGATCAGGAGAGGAAGGTCATTAATGTAAAGAGCAAACAGAGAGGAATCTTGAGGGACACCATAGGAGAAGGGGAGGGTCTTAGAGGGAGTTGACCTGGGACGATTACAAACAGGGACCGATTTGAAAGGAAGGATTTGAACCAACGCAGGACACTGTTGGATAGAGGAAGATTGTGCAATTTCGTAAGGAGGATGTTATGGTCAACTGTGTCGCTTTGGAAAAATCTAGAAGGATGAGGATGGTAAGGTTTTGGTGTTCAATGGAGCTTTGGAGGTCATGGGTTATTTTAAGGAGAGTGGATTGCATTGAGTAGCCAGGTCGCAAGCCAGATTGGAATAATGGAATTTATTGATATAATGATGATGAATTGATTGATATAATGATTAATGATATAATTGGAATAATGGAAAATTATTGATGAGAAAGGAACTAAAAAACTTTCTTATTAGAAGAATTAACTATTTGATATATATGAAGAGAAGAATGGTTGGGATGATTAGTCAGAAATAAGAAAGCAAAATAAATAATATTTAATTTAACATTTGCCGACGTTTCGACCTGAAGTTCAGGCCCTTCCTCAGGGCTAAGAAAAGAACCAGATAATAAGGTATGAGAAACATAAATAATGTAGGTAAAAAAAATTAAAGTAAAATGAAGTGGGTAGAAGAATAATGACAATAGTAAGAACTAAGAGATAAATAATAATAACCGTTGATGAAGTAAATATAATCAAAAAGGTGACATAAGTATTAAAATGGGAATCTTAGAATAAAATTTAAAACAGAAGAAAGGAATATGAAGGTATATAAGAAATGAAAATAAATAGTAAAATTAAGATATTGCAAATAGAATAGTTATATAGAAAATTGAGATATTGTAAAGTCTATCAAAATGTACTGACAATGTATTGGTTCTTTTCTGTTATTCTGGTTCTTCTCTTAGCCCTGATGAAGGCCTGAACTTTAGGTCAAAACGTCTGCAAATGTTAAAATAAATATAATTACTTATTTTGCCTTCTTATTTCTGACTGATCACCTCAACCATCCTTCTCTTCATTATTCACGACAGTCAACCATTAACCCACAATATTTGATATATAGTTAATATTTTTGTTTAGTTCCTTCGGTAGTGTTTTATGCTTCACAACTCTTCTGCACCAGACCACTTCTTACCCACGAGTGATAACTAAATGTCTGTGCCTATCGAAATATTTTTAATAAGGATAAATATTAAACACAGGAAATGACTACTTCACATCATTCAGTGGTTATTAAATAAGAAACCCAGATTTATAAGATAAATATATTTGAAAGAATAAAACAAATATTTGTACAGAAATTATGAATATTTGAGTACAAATAAGGAAGTGATAAATTTAATACTGTAGATTTATTTACATTACAATATAAATCATATAAGGTAGCCAATAATATAATTTTTTTTCTTGACAAAAATAGAAATAAAGGTTAATGCTAAATTTATTATAAGGCCTGCAAATTTCAACAGGTTTTAAAACTAAACTATTTATTAAACATAAATAGAACTGATAATATGTATGCACAGATTGACATACTATTTTGCTATCTTATAAACAAAAAATTAAGATTTTCCATTAATAAAATAAATATCAAACATTCAGGAACAGAATTTTGTCAGGTACATTAAAAAAATCAAAATAGATTTATAACATTGATATACCCACACAAAAATAACAAATCAGGCTATGTATATACAATCACGATAATAGCTTAACAATTTTTTTAAGTGTGTCACTTCAAAACAATACAATTTATAAACAATACTACAAAAATATAATGTTCTATTTGATTACAATTAAAAAATTAATAATATAGCTGAAGTTGGTAAAAGATAATAGTTATACAAATGCTACATTTACAATGCTGAAAATAAATTTAACAAAATATCTATATATATATATATATATATATATATATATATATATATATATATAAAACAAGGAACAGATTAGTTTCCATCTTTAAAAGAAAGGTATATTTTTCACTTTACAGTTATATAAATTCATAATCTTGCAGAATTAATTTAAAATTGTGTTTTTATTTTATAAAAATAATTTACAATATTTAGATGCCACATTCCTCAGTATAAGTACAAAATATTACTCATTTCAACATTAAAGATTAAATGAGATGAATAATAAGTATTTAAAGCCCATTGGTAGCTCCTTACATATTACTCTTGAGCCATAACTTTTGAAAAAATAGATTTTTTTTCAATGGATGGAAATGTTTTCTATAGCTTGCGCACAAATCAAATAGCACTATATTAGAACTAATGGTTTTTTTGTTTTTTTTTTATCACCCTTCAATTATACTTTCAAATATATACATTTATTACAATTTAGCATGATCTTATTGAAGGAAGTTTATCGACTGATCTACATATCATGGGTGATAAATATTCAGGACAAAGTCATTATAAAGTTTTTATTGGTGCCGACGTTTTAACCCAAACATGTGGATCATCCTGCAGAGAAGCCACATGATGATGACCCACATGTTTGGGTTGAAACGTCGGCACCAACAAAAACTTTATAATGGTTGCGTCCTGCGTACAGTAGGACTCCTTTCACCAACCATGCATTAACTATCATTCACATTAACCGGTCTAGTGAAAAAAAGGCAATAGAGAAAAGAAATCACTTCAAATACGTCTTTTCTTATATTTCCAAAGACATAAATCATTTCATAAACAGTATATATTCCATAAAACAGTGCCATTCTATATTTCTGTTAATATTTTCCTTTGAAATGAGTACATATCATATTAACCAGCCAAAAACCGAAATCACCCAAGATTCTCAGTTAACAGTGTCCCTACTTAATTTATATTAAAAAAAAAAAAAAATCAAAGAATAAGGAAATTTAAATTAGTTTAACTTCTCTGCACGAGTTTGCCTCGGGGTGCTATCTAATTTTAGGCGAGCTGTAGTCACAATTTGGAGTAATAATTTTTAAGTAGAAATTTACTATAAGAATACAAATATGTACTAGAAACTCATACTCATATTTATATTTATTGTATGTTTATTCTTAATAACTAATTCATCAAATGTTAAATTAAACCAAAATAAATAAACCATATAGTTTAACACTAGATTAATGTGAAGGAAGAAGTACAAATATGAGACAACAGGCACAACCCCGTAGTATTGGCAGATACTTTAAAATACTCGTTTTTAGTTAAATTAATTTTTAATTGGATTTTACATAAGTAGTTTTGAAATTGAATTCAAGGGCAGCATCTATGGCTATTTTGATATGTCAGTGTAGTCTTTGTTTTAATTAACCTAAAATATGCATGGCAAATCTAGAGTTAAACAAATCTTTTGATGATAAGAAGAAAATTAGCAAAAATAATTAATATTTACTAGTGGTCTAGTATGAAAACAGTTTTTTTTTAATTGTTCCTTTTTTCCTAAATGTTTCAAAAGTTCTCCAATATTTCTTTCCATAATTCCACAAAGTTGAATTCACAATTAAACTGAATACAGAAGTCAAGTAATTTAATGAGAACATAAATAAATTTATGAATTAATTAAGTATTATTAGTTAATAAGTATACAACTTGAGATCATTTATTTATACTAAGTTACTTATTAATTATGTAAATTCATTACATAAGCCATATATATATATATATTTGCATACAATAAGTCATAACATCAGTTTAAATTTTAAAAATACCTTATTTTCAAAATATGTAGAAGTTTGTTCTTTTTCTAACCATTTTGTTAATTTTAAACTTTGTAAATAACAAGAATTTTGTTATATCAGGTAAATCTTAATATCATTACTGTCAAGTTTACTATTCATAGTAAAAATTTTCAATAGTGTTAGTAAATTAATAAGTACTAGTTTAAAAAATAAATGCATACTTTTTTAAAAAAAATTCATAGGTTTACAACATTAAGAATTCTAATCTATTATGTCCATTCATATCCATGATTTCTTAGATGATTTTATTTACATTTTGAGATATTAGATGGACAAATTCAGTAAAAAATTAATATTAAAACATTGGTAAATATTTTACAACTATGATGGTGATAACTTCCAAATTAATGATTTATTTTCAGGATCCCTAACATGGCGAGGTCTCCATGCACCATTTAACTCGCCATTTTTAATCCAAATTTCTCTGCTTTCCTCATTGGTACCTTTTTCTTTATAAAGATTGCGTAACGAATCACCTTTCGTCCTCTTCCTTAACTGTTTACTAGGAGATTTTTTCATTTTTTGAGGTTCATTCAAAGGTATTTTAGGTTCTAACATCCACTGAGGTATTATATCTGTTTTACAACAAGGAAATATATAATCCTTGTCATAATAGGAAGCGAATGGAACCTCTTTCTGAAGAAATTGCATAGAAGACCATACATGATAAAGTAGATGAGGAAAACGAGAAAGCCAATAATGTACATAGAGCTCAGGACTATCACCCAACAATTCTTGGGCTATTTTAGATAGATCCCTGTAATGATGTCTCTACATAAAAAAAAAGAAAAGAAAAAAAGATTAGGAGCACAATACAATAATAACGTAATAATAATAACAATAAGGGGCCAATACAGCAGAGTGGTTAGTGTTATATTAATAAAGCAAAGATCATTCATAGGATTGAATCCTGGCCATACTTCCCACTAAGGCTGGTCTCTGCAAGAAGTCAGATCATTACCCTCTTGATTATGGGAGGGCTACAGGTTGCAAAATACCTGTAAGAACAGGCTAGGGAAGAAAAAAAAAAAAATATCATTAGAATTACTATAAAAAAGAAGAAAAGGTGTATGGGAGATTCGAGGGCCACTAAAATATGAGGCAAGATTACTATTTTACTGATACTGGCCATGGCAGCAACCCTTATTCCATACTGTCCACTTTAAATACATGCATAATTTCTGAAATTGCTCCCCATAGCGGCCAACTCTTCCAAAATAATTTTATTTTGTACAAATCTTTCTTTAGCCTTACATTTAATGGTTTTAATTTTTACCTGCTGGGGTGAGCGATGTTATAAGACAACATAAACTCAACCCCTTTACAAAAGGTGTCAATCGTTTGTTTAAAAAAATAATATGAAGAAAAAATTGAGAAGGATAAAGACAGATATAATTAATTATTAACTGAGAAAAAAAATATTAATGCAAATCTTAAATTGAGATTTTTTTTTTTTTTTTATGGCACTACAACTCGGTTATAGGTCTTGGGCTCCTCCAACTCTTTCCTCCAATCGTCACAGTCTTGTGCCGAAATCATCTAGTTTCTAACTCCGAACATGCTGCGGACGTCTCCTGCCACACCATCTGACCATCTCAACTTTGGTCTCCCTCTTCTTGTTCCATGGATTAGCTGTGTAAGCAATATTTTCGGCATTTCTCTGTTTGCCAAGCCCAATAGTGCCTGTCTCGTCTGGTGTGGGAATTTCATCTGCTACCATATATTTTGTTTTTGACTCATTAACTTCCAGTCAAAGTAAGCTGGCAGGACCAGCCAATGGCAGAAAAGCATCAGTCATTGCCTGCAGAGAGCGTCCCACAATGTCTATATCATCAGTGTAGGCAAACAGTTGGACAAGCCTGGTAAATATCTTTCCTTGTCATTTGCGTAAACCAGCATCTCTTACGGCCTTCTCAAGCGCTAGGTCGGATCTGTCACCATTCACTCTAATACCATTTATCACATCCTACATTGTAAGCTTTATCAAGCGTATAAGTTTTTCAGATATTTCTAATTCTCTAAGGGCAGTGTACAGATCTTCACGAATTATGCTATCATACGCTGCTTTGAAGTCGATGAAAAGATGGTGAGTTTTGATTTTGTATTCATGGCCTCTTTCAAGAATGGTTCACACACAGAACATCGGGTCTGAGGTGGATCTTCCTTTCCTAAATCCACTCTGGTACGGACCGAGTTCACGCTTAGTATATGGTAAGACGTACAAATAGGATATGAGATAATATCTTATAGGTACAAGACAGTAGCGAGATACCTCGATAATTGTAGCCCTTTTTATGTATAGGACAGATAATTGACCTATTCCAGTCAGAGGGCATTACCTCATCTGTCCATATCACAAGGAGGAGATCCTGTAGTGCTTTGGTAAGCTCATTTCCACCGCATTTTAAGAATTAAGCAGGGAGTAGGTCAACAACAGGGGCCTTATTGTTTTTGAGTTTGCTGATGGCATCTGCAATCTTTTCTTCATCAGGTTGTTCAAGATCTATCTCTTGTTCTCCCACCTGTAATCTGTTGATTTCGTGCTCTTGATTTCTTGCTTCGTCAAAGGTGTCTTTTTCACTTGAGTTGAGAAGACTATTGAAATAAGTCCTCCATTTGTCAAGAACATCAGACTTGTTGGTCACCAAGTTACTTTCTTTATCCTTACAGGATACTAGTTTATTAACGTATCGCTTTCTTTTTTTGCGATGTAACTGCTTTTCTGCTTTCCTTCTCTGTCGGTATTCATCAACAGACCTCCATGTGGTTGTCCTAATCATTGTTTCGAATGCACTGTTGTTCATGACTTGCTTATTTAATGATGGCTGCTTCCAGCCACAAGAAAAAACAAGAAATTTTAAACATTATTTGAGAACAATAAAAAATTAAAATAAAAAGACTATTTTTTCATAAATTAAAATTGGAAGAGATGTTCTCTAACAAGTTATGAAGAGAGGTCCTAGATTCATTATAGGTAATGGAGGAGTTCCATTATAAATTAGTGAGTGTTAATGTAGATGGTGGAGCTTGCTGGCATCTAGCAGCTGATGCTGGAAGAGATCGACAGTATCAAGATGGGCTTGATGGGGAGAACACAAAAGGGTAGTCTCTTGAACTTGCTGCAGCTCCCACCTTCGTGGCTTCCGCAGGTAGACTAGCGAAGGGCATAGTGGGGAGCACTATCTATTAGCTCTTAATCCATTAAAATATAAACATTGCGTGCATAACTAAAATAAATAGACTCTCTCTCAATTCATTAGAATGAATTTTTAGTGGGCGGGGTGGCCGAACGGGCTAACGTAAGTGCACAGCACCGCTGTTGCCCGGCAACCTGATCTATGAGATAATAGATTTAAATAGTCACGAGTTCGTGTCCCGGTGCCGGGGGAGTCTTTTAAATCCCCGCCCACACCCCCTGGCCCGGGAAAAATATATATATATATATATAAAAGATTAATGCCTGAACATATACCAGGAGGGCAGAAATACATACAATGGTGGATTTTTGATCTTATTGTAATTAATTCTTTTTTTTTGTACTTTACCTGGTAAAAGTTGAATAATGAGGTTAGGTTATGTCTGTACTACAAAATATTAACCATTATATACATATTAATGCCTACCTTCCACAAAGTGATGGTTTCTTGTAATATTTTGAATGGAAAATATCAGCCTCATGATAGAAAAAATATTATTAGAACCATGAATGGGATCTCGTTGTTTTTTTTTAATGAAAACTAATGTTTTATTTAAAATATAATAGAAAAGAATAAAAAAATAAGTGGTAAAAAACATGTAACTCAAAGTATTGGCCATCACTAGCCAATACTTTCTCTCTACCATCTTTCTCGTAGCATATAAATTCCAAATTAAAAAAATGACTCGTCTTTTAAGGCTATCCAACAATCTACCAGTTTTTTGGTATCTTCATAGGAATGAAAATGCTGCTCAGCCAGACCATGTGACACCGAACAAAATAAGTGATAATCGAAAGTGGCTATATCTGATGAATATGGAAGGTGGGTAAGTACTTCCCATTTAAGTAGGTTTTTATAGGTTTGGCAACATGTGGTTGAGCCTTGTCATATAATAAAATCACTTTGTCGTGTCTCTGCTTGTATAGCAGACGTTTTTCACCCGACTATGGCTGAAACATATTGCAACTTCCGTTGTTTCATTGGGTTTGAGCAGCTCATAATGCAGAGAAGTTTTGAACTATAGATATTCGGCTTTTTAGATGATGTTGACACACGGCCTGGCCTACTCCATGATTTTTTAAGCTTGGGAATTTGATACTGTATCCATTTTTCATCGCCTCATGATAGAATGCAAAGAATTTAAAACTATATGGCACCCAATGTCCTTTTTCTTCTGGGTCATTCCTGATGCTTTCAAACATTTAGAAACCATTGGGTCATCTACTAGTAGTGATTTTCCAAGTTCAGCTTGCATCTGACATGGATCTTCATTAAGCGATTTCTCTAATTCTTTTTATACTAACTTTTTTTGTTCATTAGAGCAATCTTAAATCTCCAAGATTAAAATTATTGTTTTTGGAGCCTCAAAACCAGAAGAGATTGGATGTCCGTTCCAACAGAGCATGCTCATTGTAAGTATCAACAAGAATTCTAAGTGCTTCCCAAGGATAGATAAATTCTTTATTACATTCGATCTGATAGCATTGTTGTGTTTTTCTTCATCTGTTTTAATTTTCGATGAACCAAATTACATCACCTGTTTTTTCACTGTGGTCTTAATGTGTACTCAATTTGTATGTTTATGCATAAGTCTATTAATTGTCACACGATAACCTCTAAGGTGACTTCTTTATTTTTATTTATTTTTTTCAATTTGAATAAAAATCTCATATTAATTTATTGATATGAGAAGTGTTGTCTCTGGTCTCCACTTAAATGATCTTATTTTATTTTGTCATGGTAATGCATGAATTGAGATATCGAACTCTTTGTTTTAGAATCTTCCAACAATATCTTAATGTTAATAATGTTTTATTTATTTATTATTAACTCTATAATTAAAATATCAAAATTTTGTTCACAGACCACAAAAACAAAATTATATATTAAGACCATAAATATACAAACCTTATTCCTGAAAGCTCTAAGCAGGTCCCGAAGGCTATCTCCTCTGTATGATCTGTACTTGCCAAGGTCTTCGATGACCTCTGGATCGATGTACTGCCTCCAGTCATCGCGTCGAGCAGCCTCACCTCCCCGCTCCAGTTCGATCAATACCTCACTTTCTACACTCTCCTTTTCAATCCTATCACTTATGTCCTGTACAACAATAAATACAACACTAATCAATGAATGACTTTACAGATATTAAATAACTGAGGCATACAACTTACAAAGTAATTTTTCTAAATGCATACAAAAAAAATTAAATAAAAAAAAACTTACAAAACTCTTTCTTAAATTGAAATATCTTTTGTTTGGACTGGATTTAAATTTAGTTACAACTCGAAGGATCTTTCATGAATTGGAATAGGATTCAGATAATACTAAAAGTACTGGGGCAAACGAGTTATATAGTTTTTTTTATAAAAGTATTTAAAAAATCACAAAATTAGAGTATCAGCAATAGGTAGTTTCTCTAAAAGTCTTTTCATATCATTATATTTCTCTATATCACATTTACTTGATGTATTTCTTTTTTAATACAGTTGTAAATTTCATGAGTAAAAAAAAAAAAATCACAACATATTATTTCGCAAGAAATTATTCGGGGGTGCGGTAAAAATACTATATTATATAATAGTATATTTTATTATAATAAAATATACAATTATATAATATAGTATTTTTTTTACCGCATCCTCGATTAATTTCTCGTGAAATTGAATCCAGGGTCAACCATCTCCATATCATCACAACATATTATATTCCCATAAAGGCCAAATAATCCTGTAAGTAAAAAATACAAGTAGGCAGGATTCGTTTTATTTTTTATAGAAATAATTTTTATACTATTCCAAGCAAAGAGTTATAAAATATACTTTTTTTTTTAAACAAAAGTCACACAATAGTATCGAAACAATATAAATGCACAGAACATCTAACAACCAACCCAGATGATGATAATTATTATTGGTGTGTTGTGTTTCAGAAAGAAATAATAAAATGATAAAATTAGAAGAAAAAAAAATAATATGGCTTTTAGTATTTTATTAATACCTTGTGTTTTCTCCTTTTAAACTATGACTTCCTTAACTCTGTGACTACCTAAGGTTCCATATTTTTTTATTATACTATTACTTTTTTGGAAAAATATTATCAAAAGCACTGTTACTATAACTAATAAATTAACAGGATACCTGAAAAAATAGAAGAACAAAGTTCTTTGCCCAGAAGACAGGATGTTTTTTTATTACAGTAGCTGAAGGCCGATCAAAAGGGTTGTTGCTGATCATCTTCAAAATGAGAGACTTCCATAAGTCATCATTTATGTGTGTCATTCTAAAAAATTTACAGAATTATTTAAATATATTAAAAAACTACTAGTTGGCCTATGTGAATAATTCGCATAGTATATTGATCAGTGATCAATTAGTAACATAATAAGAAAAGAAAATACTGTAACCTATCATAAGATGGAGGAATCAATTCTTATTTTCTCAGTGGTTGTAATAAAAATACATCGACCAAGGACATTAAAATTAATTTAAAACTCATTTCATTCATATTTTAAGCTAACATATTTACAAATTACAATAAGCTGTATTTTTGCTAATAATGGTTCAATTTCGACGACTATTTTTTAATATTTTAAATAATCATAAATTTAGTAATCTTTTTGAGTTATTGGCAAATAAAGTTTCTTTCCGTCACAACTTTTTTGCCTGAAATTTGGGGCGATATGACTACTTTTCCCACTGAAGAAGGAAATCTTCAAAATGATGGATGGCCCAATCTTTGGATTTGATAAAGAATTAACAAAAATATCGAATACCACAAAAAAAAAAAAACACTTTTGAGAAATAATATAAACTCCTCTCTCATTCATAGAAGCCTTGTCGACAACGTGAGATATATAATCCATGATGACAGTATAATTAAAGCGAGCCTCTGTGGTACAAACGCTGTACCTTTCATTATCTCAAAAATAGTACATGACAGCATCAAAATCTTTAAATCCCAATTTGTCACATCTTGAGCCACCGACCTATCACTGTCCCAGTATTAAAGCTTAGTGAAATGTTTATACGGACTTTATCTATCTTAGAAACAAAAACAAAAAATCTGGTGCAGTGCGCGCGCATTACACAACTTTCACTTACCACCCTCTTCTTAGCAGAAATAAGTATTTCCAGAAAAAGGAGAAGTGATAGTAAAAATTATAAATGCTATATTGATTTATATTTCATTATGGGTATTTTTATTTGTATAAGTACCCTTATATATACAAATTTTAATATTTATATCACTGTAATCTATACAATTAAATGAGAAGGAGTTAGTTGAGGGTGCGGTCAAATAAATAAAAAAATTAAAATATATAAAATTTTAATTTTTGCCGACGTTTCGACCCACTTTGCAGGTCGTCTTCAAGGCGTAGGATGTGGCACTGCGGGAGGCGGTTGAAACACTGGCAGTGTTGGCAGGCCAGTGTTTCAACTGCCTCCCGCAGTGCCACATCCTACGCCCTGAAGACGACCTGCAAAGTGGGTCGAAACGTCGGCAAAAATTAAAATAATTTATATATTTTAATTTTTTTATTTATTTGACCGCACCCTCGACTAACTCCTTCTCATATTATATTAACGGTCAACCATCTCTACATCATTATACAATTAAATATTAAATAATACCAACAATAGCATTTATAAAAACCGCATATGTATATTTACATAATATTCTCGGAGTCCTTATTATATTAAGCTCATGTTACGTATGGAAGCATATTCTCATCTTTTGGACAAGCCCGGGTGTGCACTGGTATTCGTTTGGATTCTGAATTACAACTATTCTCCGTTACGATCTCTTACTTATCCTTTAGTTAATCATCAAATTCTTTCATATTTTATATTTAACTATCTTTTATATTAGATATTAATGTGCAATGATCAATTGTTTCAAATTAAAAAAATGAAAGGTAATTTAGGGGAAGCTAATACGGAAAATTAGTCATTTAAGCCCTGTTAGAGAACATTAATCAGAATAAAACCTACATTTTATTTAAAAATGCTTAATTTTACACTGAGAGCATGAAATTAATCAAAATCGTTAAAGCCGTTTTCAAGAAAATGGTAAAAAAGTGTTTAGTCCAAGATATAAATGCTACATCAGGTTAGCCGATTTTGACGAAAAAGTTGCTGTAACATCTCTAGCATATAAAAACCGTAAATATGCAATTTCACTTTCTAACGACTTTTTGTTTTTGAGCTGTTAACACACACACACACACACACACACACACACACATAGTCCATTTTGCGGGACTTGGTAATAACCAAGTCCTGCAAAATGGTCTGTTATATAGAGATGGACTCAGGGGACCTCAAAACATGTATTTCCGTTGAAAACTGAGATTCAAAAATTTTTACGATCGCAATACTTTCCTTTACTATACATATCATATATAGGTAAGTGAAAATAAAAATGGAGGGTATAATTCGCTAACCCAATGTGCAGTTGTGATTCCAACGGTACCCCATTCATGGCATTGAAGCATGACAGGAGTTTATATGTGTTACAAAACTGATTTCAAGTCTTATTTAAATAATATAAGTGAAGGTTGTTAGTTTTAAATATAAATATTTTTATTTTAAACCAAGGCTTAATCTTTTTGGCCACAAATACCGTAAAATATTTTTAAATAATTAGAATTAGACATTATACAAAATAGAATTTAAAAAAACTTAAAAATAATAGAACTGTTAGAATTTTTGTTTTAAAGAAAATATAACTAAAGATTTAATTGTTTACTTGTGTTCTCCAAGCAGAATATTACTCTGTCTCCTCAAAGGATCTCCGAATGGATGTTTTCCTATCAAGGTATAATAATAAACACAGCCAAGTGAGAATATGTCAACAGCTGACATCTAGAAACATTAAATAAGTAAGAAGAGATTTGTAGAAAGAATATAACTTAACTAGAAATTATATCTAAACTCACAATTCTCCCAGATGTGTTGACCATTTCAGGGGCTATCCATCCCTCAGTACCCGTGATGCCTGACTTCTTTGAGAAAGACATTCTACCATTTGCAAGTTTCTTACAAAGACCAAAGTCAGAGATCATCGCACGGATTTTAGGTTCAGTATTTTTGACAGCAAGCAGAATATTATGCGGTTTTATATCTCTGTGGACTAAGTAAATCAGTATAAATGAATACAAAATTCAACTGATTAAATTATAACGTATTGTGCTCACAAATCAATTTTGTTTTAAATGCAATATATTTTGTTTTACTATCTATAAAATATATTAAGACAAAAGAGCAAATTTGATGTTTGACATTTTGATATTTAATATTAAAAAAGAATCTCCATTCTCCCCTTGACACTTAAGGAGAAAGCCCTGATGATGGCCTGAACTTCAGGTCGAAACGTCGGCATATGTAAAAAATAAATATTATAATTTATTTTTTGCCTTCCTGTTTTGACTGAGCACCTCAACTATTCTTCTCTTCATTATCCACGACAGTCAACCAATTACCAATTATAATATTAAAAAACTTTAATTAGTGTTTCAATAATGAAAAATTTATTCAGTTAAAATATAAATTTTGTAATAAGTATTTAAAATAGAATATTAAAACTTGATATGTCCAATTAGATTTATAATAAGAAATTTGGTTCTCTATGGTAAAGGAATTCCTAGCAAAAACAAAATAATATTTATATATTTTGAAATGAATCAGTATTTGTTTTTATCTCAGTGTTTGTTTTGAACCACTTGTTTGACAACTTAAATATTTGATGATAATATTATTTTATTTTTAATGGAAAGATTTTTTATTTAGTTAGGTGAATTTTCAATTCAATTAATGAAAGTAACAGTGTACAAATTCTTCAAAATATATAACAAAAATCACTTTTAAAATATATTTTCCATCCATTTTTAATAATACATTCAATAAATTTTGTGAACCTGTAATCTTGCAAACTGCGAATGTAACTTGCGTTTCTAAAGTATTATTTTTTATTAAAGTATACAATATACAAATATCAATTTTTATTCTAATAAAAAATTATCATATTTGTTTTAGTATTGTTCAGAAACACTATTTGAGAATTTTTAAAATTAAGATATGGATAACTTTAATTAGCTGATCATTAGCCACTAAAATCACATTAAGAGAAGAAACAAAATAATATAAAATCATGTTTTGCTAAAATACAAACCTATCTTCAAGGAATGCAAGTGTTCCAAGCCTGAAGTGGCCTGTTTTAGGAGATCAACACAACTTATATCATCTTTGTGAATACCCTTTTCAACATAATCCTAAAAAAGAAAGAAAGAAATCAAGACAAAATATATAAACTTATAATCCAACGTGATAAACATTCATACAGTACCTGAAGAGTTGCTGAACACAGTTCAAGTGCAATATAACGGAATTGACTATCTTGTTCTGTCGAAAAATATCTTATAACATTTGAATGTGAGTCCGATTCCCTGAGTAACTGAACTTCCCTATCGGCAATGGTGAAACATTCAGGAAGCAATCGTTTGACAGCAACATCACGCCCATCAAATTCTCCTCTGAAAATATTCCAATTCCATTATTATAAATTATTGATATAAAACAACACAAAATAAATTATAGAGTTTTTTGTCATAACGTAAATAATATTTAGTAAGACAATATTTATTTTATTTAGTTTGCTCAATAACGAAAATAAAATAGCTTTGTATTCATGATGGAGTAAAACAAATATTTTATGCTCAGATTCGACAATTTTCACTTGCATTTTATTTCCATTTTTTGTAAATAGCTTTTATGAAAGCCAACAAAGTCGCACCAGTTTTATTTTTCAAGCGTTTGAATTTTGTTATATTATCTAATTGTATACAAATAATTTAAATACATATGTTTTTAAATTTAAATTAGTTTTTGCTCACAGATTGTAAAAAATTACATCTTATTTGTAATTGTTTTTTAAGTTCAAACAGCTTGTTGTAAGTCTTGATTCCTTATTAAACTTCAAAATGGTAAAGGATCATATTTCATAGCTTTTAGAAAAAGTTATTGCTGAAGGTAAGACGTAGGTGTAAACAAATTTCAAGTATGTAGACCTTCTTTCCACGTAATAAATTAACTTCACTAAAATTCTTATATTTCACCTTAAATTAGTTTTGTTCTGGCTGATGGAAAATGTCAATTTTGTTTCCAATCTATCCATTTTACAAGTGAACACATACCTAATAAGTAAATATGCATGTTCAATTTGTATAGACATAGACAATCTACTGAGAATGGTTTAAGTTTGTGATTTTTTTTTTAAATCACAAATAGTCAAATACGAAATTCACAAATACTGAACTCTTCTAAAATTTGTACTCATTAATGATTAAAACTTGAGGATAATAAAATCCACAAATGTTGAGGGATTACTGTATTTTGAAAATGGGTTCTCCTGAAAATTTTATTTTCAAATGAAAAATTATATACTTTTAAATGAGATAATTGTGTAACCAATGAAATTGATGAGGAAGCTATACTTATCTTACTTGGCTGATGTTTTCGTCTTATTTCTTTTATTTAAGCTTAAAACTAACCCAACTATATAAATTAAAATAAATTTAGTTTTTCAATGCTTAACTCTTCACTTCCTCTATGATTTTCAAAGAAACATAATTTTTTTTTTATAATTTGTATAAAAATAACACAAATTCTAGTTTGATCTCAATCATTATGGAGGATCATGAGGTATGTTTTCTTTTCAGAACACTTCAAGCTTTGGTTAAATGGCCACAATCTATTTTTTTTTTTTTTTAAATAATTTTATTTCTATTTATTTTCAAAATTTAAATAACAACATAAACAAACTAGGTTGAAAAGACAGATATCCTGGATGTGGAAATAGCTATACAAAGGCTTAAATCAAGAAAGAACCAAGTGATTGACAACCTTCCATCAGAACTGTTTAAAGATGGGGGTGAAGACCTAAGAGTCAAGTTACTATGACTAATCCAGAAAATATGGAAGGAGGGAAGTATACAAGAGGCTTAGAATATGGGCCTAATCTGCTCTATCCCAAAGAAAGACTCTCTTTCTGGCTGCCTACAAGATAATGAACAATATCCTACTAAACTGACGTATAAGTATTATGAAAATATAATAGACAACCATCAAACTGGATTCAGAAGAGGAAGAAGCATAACATCATAAGACCTGATCATCATCCTAAAACAAGTACTCGAAAAATGATGGGAAGCAGCTTAGGACGTCTATGCCTTATTTGTTGATTTCAAAGCAGCCTATTATTTTGTGGATAGAAAATGTCTTAGAAAAAAATTTAAAAGTTTACAATTAGGAGGAAAATTTCATTTAATTTCATTGGAAACATTTGATTTATGTTAAATAATGTTAGTTTTCTGAAATTATTATTTATATTTTTTTCGTCACTCTCCGTTACCTTCTACAACTTTATTTATTTGATGTAATTTTAATAAAATTCTCCACTTTCCAACGATATATATTTTACGTATACCTGTTAATTCAGCAGATTCATTTTCAACCTGGATAAGCATTTTTTTTTTTTTTTCTCCAGTTTCCAATTATCATATTCTTTCAAAATTCATATTTAGCCATTTTTTATAGTTACTGTCAATAAAAGAGAGTTATTTTTTTTTAAATAAACCATATCAAATGTACTTTAGAGGAAGACGTTTGTGAACATTGAGTATTTAAGTCCTGTAAAGTGACATCAATGAGAATAAGACCTAAATGATTTTAAAGACCACTAAATTACGCAATGATACACTGAGTTTAATCAAAATTGTTTGAGCTATTTGTGAGAAAATCGTAAAAATGTGTTTCACCGTAGATAAAAAGTGGCACTTCCGCTCAGCCGATTTTAAGGAAAAAATTGCTGTAACATCTGAGGCATACAAAAATCTTAAATATGGACTTTCACTTTCTTATGACTTTTCGTTTTTGAGCTAGACTGCTTACACACAAACAAACACACAGAGACCATTTTGGTTATTTGGACTCAGGAGACATCAAAACATATATTTCCATTGAAAACTAAGATTAAAAAATTTTCACGATCACAATACTTACCCTTACTATATATTTCATATATAGTTAAGTGAAGGTGATTATATATATATATATATATATATATATATATATATATATATATATTAACATATTTTATATTAATGCTGATCAAAAGTTGGTACACACCTAAAAACAAATGTTCCTTCACAGCCCTTCCCCAGAATTCGCTGAGTGTCGAAGGAAATCTTACCTACAGTAACTATTCCCTTTTGTATGGTGTAGGGCTGATAAATTCCACTACCAGAGTCACGATTGCTACCCTGCGATGATTGCTTAATCTCTCTCACCTGCAAAATAACATGAAAAATATAATCATATTATCCTAATTAGGTTTTCATATTTATAAAAGTAATACATATGCATACAATATGTTACCTACAGAACAGTTGAAAAATAAATTAATTTTATGCACATGTTGGTATGTGAAGTTATTTCATTCATTTTTAACAAGTTACGACTTTTCCAATTTGAAAGAAATTGAATTCCATTTTTCTAATAATATTATAGTGAAATCCCAATTATCCATGGTATTATATTAGAAAAAATTATTTTTTTTATATAGATACGTGCTGAAAATTGACACAGTACGGGTTGACAAACTTTTTTTGTACAAAAATCAATTACAGATTAAAAGAAAGTGATTTCTGAATTACATACTGTTGTGAAATAATGGCTATTTTATTGGTTCAATAACTTTTTGTTTTACATTTGGGTAATTCATACAACAAAAGAACATAAACAGAGGACTGATTATTTTCAGAAAAAGTAATTATATTTTATTCTTTTACATGCTAATTTAAAAAAAAAAAATTATTTTATTGTCAATTATTTTTAGATTTAATCACATACTGTTGTGAAATAATGGCTATTTTACTGGTTTTATAACTTTTTTTTACATTTGGATAATCCATGATTTTGTTTGTTGCACCAATCACGCCACTCAATTCCATGGATTATTAGGAATTGACTAAACTTGATTAAATCAAATAATTTATAACATTAATTTTTTAAAAAGATAAGATCTATTTATCTATATTGTGTAAATGTTCCAATATTCTAACCATATTACCAACCAACTTAACCAATATATCATGTTAACAGCACTAATCGAATTTGTAGAAAATATAACATTGATCTACTTAAAAGTATATCAATGTTGCATAATATAATTTATATAGATATATAAAAATATCTCTTGTAAATTAAAAAAAAAACTACACAGATTATAATTCATCTACTCTTCAACTAATTATAAATTAGTATTGTGATAGTTTTTCTTTTTTATTATCAAGTAAGATTGCCAATTTTTGAATGAATGATGAATGAATCATTTAAATAATCAATTGTTAGCTGCAATATTGAGTAAAGAGATGATCTTGGATGGTGGTCATAAAAAATAAAACTTAAAATAGTGAAAAATACTTTATTAAAATTAGTTTTTAATATTTTATAATTAAATAGTATCAATAATTTAACATCATTTTATTAAATAGTAGGGTTAATATTATAGTTTCGACTACTTTAAGTGTTGTTTTTTTTATGACCTGCTATCCCAGACCATCTCTTTCTTCAATTATCATTTAAACTCGTTCATTAATAAAGAAAGAAAGGAAGCTTTTTTTTTAAATAAATGTATTATATCATCAATACCTGTCTCATTATATAGACAAACATTCCAGTAAAAACAACAGTCAATATTATGATCACCAAAACTAATATTTTACTCTCACTGCTAAGATAAGGGTTCCCAATAGTATCATTACTAGTGACAACAGGCCTCTTTTGCTTTTCTGTCATGTTAGATATGGTACCATAAATAACAGGATTAGATTTACCAGTTATTTGCAAGAAGTGGTTCTTTTTGAATGAAGATATTTTGTAATGACCTGAAAAATAATGTTGCGTTATAAGCTGAAAATAATAGATGTTAAAAATAATTTTTAAAAATTTCTATTTAATTTATTCTTGTTCTATTAATTTTATTTTATAAAAAGATTGTTAATGTAATAATATTTGCATAACATTAAAATTAAAACTAATGTAATTGAGATATTTTTGATAGTGACTGAAAAGGTATAATTATATAAATTCAAATATCTCAAGTTAAAACAATATGCAAGAAGAGGGAAGCACAGTTCCATATAAGAAGCTTCCTCTTCAGTGAGCTATGACAAAATAGTGGAAATTAATTTTTAAATAATAAATATTACTCTAAAATAAAAAAATAAATAAACTAACAAATACCTGCAACAAGAGCATTGTTAATCTCCTCACTGTTTGGTCCGCTAATCAGATAACGAGATGAGAGAGTATTTAAGGAAAGGATTGGAACATTAAAATCTGCTACCGATGGCAGTGCATAGAAGCCATCATTATGTTCACCAATATAAAGTGTAGATCTGTCAAATTCATTATCATTACAAACAATTTTAAGATATAAAGATTAGGGGATTAAAAATGATAAATACAATTTAAAAAGCAAACAATATTTCAATTATATATTAAATGAAGAAAATCACCAGGGATCAGAAGTGCACTGTCATATGAGTGCCTTGTTGTATTTGTGTTGGTTTCTAGGTTTTATTAAATTTAATAATATAAAATGAATATTTTTTTATATTCTGTCAAAAACTGAATTTGAAAGAGGCTGTGATATATATATACAATGATTGTGATATGATCATTCTATTTTTTTTTAAATTTTGTACAGATTTTAAGTTTAATAAATTACATCTCCTTTTTAATTAACTGTTTTTATCTTTTGTAGCCATCTATATCTCGAGCATGAAATGCAATCTATAAAAAATTTGTAATTTACACAATGTGAATTGCAACAATAAAAAAAAATTTTAAATACGAAGGATGGTTCGGCTATGATAATAGTATTTTATGAACAGAGGTAGAAAAAAAATCATTCCAAATACAAATAAAAATATGACTTTTTTGATGTAATTTTATTTTAAACAATTTATTTAAACTCCCTAATGATTTAAAAATATATATATTTAAAACTGATTAAAACATTAAAAAATAAAAGTGAGCACCAGCAATAATGTCATATTTTCCTTATTTTTTATTGGAAAAAAGATGAAATTGTTTGCATTAAAGGTTACATGAAGAAATTAAATAAATTTTTTTAATCATTTAAACTACTGAATTTCTTTCTTATGTTTTGTTTTTAAACAGTTTATAATTTGTTTTCCGAATTTTAATATAATCTTAATTTTAATTTATAAAATGGCCCGTCATTAGGGATAGGGGAAAAAGTTAAGAGTCCAAAAGGAATTCATCTCATACCAACTCAATTCACATACAAATTTTAACCCTCTCAATATATTTGGAGGTGTTTAAAGTTAACTTAAAAACTGGGGGAGAAAGGATATGGCAGAGATGGGCGAAAAAAATCAAGAATATAAAAAGAAAACTTTAAACACCAACTCACTTTAGAAACAAAGCTCATTTGATAAAAAGGGACCCAGCTAAAATAAAATAATAATATTTATCGGACATCTCTGAAACTCCCATACCCATAGTCGAATACTAGGGGGTTCTAAAAAAAAATATAAAATGCACCCAGTCCCCTCTGATGACCTTCAACAGTGGAATAGTTTATTATTTTCTGGGAAAATAGGACTAAAAAGGGATATATATATATATATATATATATATATATATATATATATATCATAAAAAGTGAATATTTGATAAGTTATTACATAGTTATAGTGTTAAGATTTTATTAAAATCTTAAATACGTTTTTAAAATTAGTTTCAGTGCTGTGAAGAGCAATGTCTCCTCTGTTGCTCATCTTGCTATTCAACATTATTTAATTAATTATATTTAAAATCAAGTTCTTAAAATATCTAGTTTTATATTAAAGCTTGTTTGCTAACTTTATCAATTTGATTAATAAGAATTAAATTAATATGAAAGCTATTTGCACAAATGACTGACAAGATGATGTGAATATATGAATTTTTTTTTTTGGAGTTAATTCAATGTTAAAACTTCTATGACAGGAGTTGTTGAATCTTTTGGATAGCAGCTCAATGAAATCATTAAAAAAAATAATTTTCAGCATCCCTACCATTATTTTCATTTTTCTTTTTATTAATGAAATAATAAACTATGCAAGTACATAAAGTAGGAACATAAATAAACAACATAGATTTGTAGAAAAACTAAAATATATGTTTTAATTTTTTATTTTATTATCAAACATTAGCAGTTCATCTCAATTGTTAATATAATAATAAACATCAATACTAGAAAAAATGTTATTAATGGCTGAGTCATTTAATCAGGCGGAGCTCATTCGCGAAGGAATTCATTGTTGGCTTTAGTCGATTTGATGTGGTTTAAGGTCGATGCCCAACACATTGGTTAAACTATGTTCATTCTGCGACATTCTCCAATTTTAAGTGGGTCTTAAAAGAAATTTCCATAGAAAATAAATGCAAACATCTAAAATTTATTATCAGCACAATAATCCAAAAATAAGCAGTACATAAGATTCTTGTATTCTATAATTGTTGTAGGTTTATGTCTATAGTTCAAATAATATTCTTAGTTTATTAATTTATTTAAAATTATTTTCTACTCATAGGAGAGTGGTAAGTGAAAGTTGTGTGATGTGTAGCACACCAAATGTTTTAAATCTTTCCATTATATAAAAAAGTTTTTAGTGACTGTCATTTATTTATATTTTAGTATTACGAGAGTAGGAGGATTACAAGAGCTCAAATTTTCAATTAAGTCCTCTAGGCTCGATAGAGATGCTCCTCTATGGAGATTATTTTACAAATTATACAATTGTTCATTAAATTACATATACGTTGAACTCCTGTAACCTCCTATTCTCCAAATACAAAATTGAGAGATTTACACCCAGCGGTCTTTGTTATGATAAAACATATGTTTTGAGCTCCTGTAACTTCCTATTTTCCTAAGACAAAATAAAGAATTTATACCAAAAATTTGTAGGGGAAATGGTATTCATCTGGAGGTGGTAGTTTGATTTTACCTAGGTGACAACAGTTTTTGATCTACACATTTTCCCCTTGAATACAATATTTTAATATTGTATTATTATATAATTATAAATATTATTTATATTATATTGTGATATAATTACAATTATTATGAAATAGAAAAGGAAACACAATATAACGTTCAATGAAAATATTAGAAATGAAAGGCTCAAATTGATGTTGGCCTTATATGAAACTGAACAAGTTGAACATATATTATGATTTCAAATTAGGAATAAGAATAATTATAATTATTTAATAATATAAATTGGCAATAAGGCATGATGTATAACATGGATTTTTAAAGGAATTAAAAAATTGACAGAACTGGTTTCATTGATTATTATAAGTTGATAAAATTAAAATACAATCTGAACTATAGAATACATGTAAATTAAAATGGCAAAATTTGAGGAATGAGTAGTATAACTAAATGAACAGTTATATAATTTGTAAAATGAGGGATGGATCGTCATTAGGAGTTATCCCTCTTGGAATTTATTAGAAATGAAACTTTCTATAAATAACCTTCAACCATAAAAAAAATTGTTTCATCTAGTTCATAAAATTGCATCAAACAACTTACTGGTGCTTATCTCTATGTAAGATAAATGGTAGAGAGTCTAGTGAAGAATCAGCAGCTGATGTGAATGGAATGCTGTAAACATCCTGAACCCCCTTCCAATAGAGCGATACCATCGGAGAACCAAAATCTTTCTCCCATAACAACAGTCCACTATTCCTATCGAATGTCCTTACTCTTCCAGAAGCACTGCCTGATACATGGACATAACCTTAAACAAAAAATGGATAGAGTTTAGGATTTATGTAGATTGTAGCTAATGCATAGAAACAATATCAACTTCATAATTTGATTGAATAAAATTTATATGCTCTTACAGGGATTCACATTATAAACAAAAAACAAAGATGAAGTCCATAAATTCTTCAGAAGGAGTATTATCTTATTTATTTAATCAGTGCATTTAGATTTAACATATAAGCCACAAGGGCTCAGTAGGTTAGTGCAACACCTCAGTATATTAGGAAGCAACAGATTTGAATCTTGATTGAGAATTGACTTTTTTATAGAAATAAATTTCTCAGTCTAATAAACACTACAATAAAACAAAAAGGAACTAAGATGATAAAACTCGTTTTAATTTTTAATACAAACTTATATGATTGGTTCGCTGCGCAAGGTTATTTAATTTTACAAATTAAACCACAAAGTAATTTGATGAATTTTCCCTTTGTGAAATCAGAACATTAATGAGCTTAATGATACACTTAATGAACTTTTACATCAATAAATATGATTGTGATTCACCAATACATACTTTCAATAATAGCCCTATCAAAAATGATCTTACAAAATTTTTACAACACACCAATGATATATTTTAAGATTTTATAAAAACAATATTGTTAACTTATTTATGTTTTTTTTTCTCTCTTACCTCACCTTTTTGGCTATACTGGTTTTTCCCCAGGTCAGGGGAGAGGGTAAGAGATTAAAGCCAGAATTTACATGGTTGTAAGTTTGCCAGGCAATATGTGTTTTATGGTGTATTAGCCTACACGGCCATCCAACTCCCTTTTTCACTCATCTATTATATTAATAATTGGTAAATGGTTGGCTGTCGTGAATAATGGAGAGAAGAATAGTTGGGGTGATCAGTCAAATAAGAAGGCAAAAATAAATAGTATCATTTATTTTTGTCTTCTTATTTGACTGATCACCCCAACTATTCTTCTCTCTATTATATTAATATTTTGTTGCACACTCAAAGGATGTTTCGAGCGACAACTGCTACTTGGTCTACCCATCTATACTTTGGTCTTCCTCGTCTTCTCATTCCATAGAGAGGCTCCATCAAAAGCTTCCAAGGCAACTTCTCGTCGCCTCGGCCACATGCCCTGCCCACCGCAACAAGGACAGTTTAACTATCTGAACCGAACATTACAAGATTAAATACCGGTGCCTGACTTGTAACTCTGGCATTAATTCCCCATTATCTTATCTGACCCAGGAAAAACCCCATATACCGTAAAAGGCGAGGAAGGGGAGATAAAAAAAGATTAGATGTGTGGGAAAGGAAAAACTTGTGGTAACAATTGTTTTTAATGAATATGTCATACCCTCTATAAGTTTACTTTTAGTTGCTTTCTATATGAAAATACCTATTTCTATTAAAAGTAGGATGGGTTAATGGAAATGGTGTGATGCACGCACGGCAGCAGATTTTTGTCCATTTTCCTTCGGAAATAATAGACTATTTGAACTGTATTGAAAGTCATCAGTGGAAGGCGGGGTTGTGGTTTCTATCCATTTAAGGAACCTCTAGAGCACGATTCTGCAGTTTTTAAAGATGTCAGTTTCATGTATATATATATATATATATATATATATATATATATATATATATATATATAGTATATCTCCCTCTCCCCTCCCCTCACTATATTTCAAATTCAACAGCGGCCCCTGTTTGGACGAATAAGCTGAAATTCGGTATATAGAATTTGTTCCCAGGCAGAACAATAATATTAAACTGGAAAAATGTTGTCAAAATTTCGGCATGTAAGAACATTTTTCCATGTTTTTTAAAATATTGCGCATCTCCACAGCTCCTGCTAGCAAAGTTGGAAGATTGAAATTTGTAAATATATTAAACTGGTGTTGGAGAGGTTCCTTTGGATGTCTCATCACCAGCCGCCATTTTGTTTCATATACTGCAGCACTAAAATGGCTGTACGGGTATTGATAAAAACTTTCCTATAGCAATCCCCATGAAACACTATAAATTTATGTATATAACATACTTTTTTCTTATAAAAAGGAGTTTTGATGAATACTAAACTTGATTTGCAAATAACCCAAAAAGAGTGCATTTTTTACTTTTTTCGATTCAGAACATATTTTCAAGACATTTAAATTTTCTAAACGATAAAAAACATTCATCAAAATCCATCCAGTAATTACAAAGATCTGTCATACAGTTTCTTCAAAACAAAACAATAGTCAGTAAAATATCTTTTTACCAAATAGTCCGATTTTAATCATTTTTTTTTTAACTTACCATAATTACTGAGCTGATCATTAGAGAGAGGGCGGGCAGAATAGTCACTAAAAGTAATATTCCAACTATGTCTATTCTTCAAACTATCATAAAGTGCAAGGTTGTATTCTGAAATTGAATTAAACAACAATGAAAAATACATCACTATTTTAAAGTTACAAATTAGAAGCATTATAAAGATAATACCTGTCCTTCCAAGAAACAAAAAGTTTGAACTAGTCTCCTGAACAGGACAAATCTTTTCAAATTCTTCAGTGCTGAATAGCTCTTGCTTTTCTCCTGTGAGTGGATTTATAGAAAGCCAAGAATCTATTTTTTTACCCAAGTAAAAGATGCCATCACTGGTTTTTGTAGGAGAGTCAGCAACCAGTTGCTGAATTGAAAATGGAAGTTTAGCTAATCCATTTTTTTCTTCTGTATTCAATAAATACAATGAACCATCCCTCGGGTCAGGAAAAAATAAGGGGCTGGAAATAAAAACAAATGTAAATGCTTTTTGTCTAACAAATTAATTTGAGGTTTTACATTTCAAACTAGGTAAAATCCGAAAGTAAAAAAAGAGAATGGGAGGGGGGAGGGGCTAATATGTTTCCATCTACATCAATGATCTCCTTTTCTCTATCATGCACTGTCAATATCACCTATATGCAGATGACATCCAAATTTATCTTTCCTTCAACCCGATGGCTTCTTCTAATGCCATTCTGAAACTGCAACAAGAAATCAATAAAATAAGTCCATGGGCGATTTTTAATAAGCTGACATTAAATACGGAGAAGACAAAAGCAATCCTGATCGGATCCCCCTCACTCCTCAAATCCATTTCAGCACCCCCTAATCTTCTTCTGAACAACTCACCTATCTCCTTCCATAGCGCTGTTAAAAACCTTGGCGTTACACTCGATCAAACCCTCTCCTGAAAACCACACATCTCCCAAATTTCCCGCCGTACTATATCCACCATAAAACAGTTTAACCATCTACGTTGTGGTCAACTCGTCAATCAAAACCCGTCAACTTGTGGTCTCCCCTCTTGTTTTCCCCCACTTTGACTATGGCTGTATGGTGTATGGAAGACTCTCGGGAGAACTTGAAGCTAAACTTAAACGTCTAATGAATTGCTCAATCTGCTTTATCTTTGGGATACGCATATTATCCAGTTTTACACAGAGCTGAAGTGGCTTTATCCATCCGATCGCCGTCAATATTTCCTTACTACCTTCCCATACCAGGTCATTAGAACACGGCGACCCGCCTATATTCTACAGATCCTACAATTCAAATGCTCCTTTCAATCCCGCCCCACCAGATCCCGTGCGTAAGACCTCTATCCTCCTCCTCACCGAACTGCTGTGTTTGATAAATCCTTTTTAATTCAAGCAGTCTCCCTCTGGAACTCTATACCCTCAGATATTCGACACAAAATCAATCAATATCCTTTTTCAAGTCTCTCCTCTTATTACTAGTCCATTCCCAATCCGATTCATCACAAAATGCACTTAAAAACCTAAGCTGTAAGAATATCAAATTACACCCAGATACTCTGATTATTTTTTGATTCATTGACATTTTGTTTACTTAATTTACTTTCTCTGTTTATTATATATTTATACACGTTTTTATATATTTTTATTATCTATAATTTTATTGTATTCCTAATCATCCTGTAAATATTTAATTGTATTTTATGGACACACCAGAATATTAATATACTTTCTGTATTTGTAACTTGTTCTAAAGGGACACTAGTTCCAGAATAATAAAATTATTTTCAATCATTCATTATACAAAAGCTAATTGCCAAAAAGTTTTAAATTAAAATCAAGTTTGAAATTGAAATCTACATAGTCCATTTATTTGTTTGTTGGTCAACTATAACTTTCATAATAAATTGTTCTTGAAAAATGTTGATTGAATAAAATATTATTTTCTCAATTGATTGTTTTAAAACTACATCTATTATGCCCTCCTTTCATAACTGTTTCATTCCTTTCATTATACAAAAAAAAAAAATCAATGATAATTTATAAAGAAAATTATAATTTTTTTAAAGGAATTATTTGTAAAGTGCAACTAGGTACATTAAGCGAGAGTATTTTGTGTTTCTATTTAATTTTTTTAATATTTCAAATAGAAAATACTAAATGTATTTTAATTCTAATTTTTTTTTCCAGTATAATAGAACCAAGGATATGATGATTAGGTTAGTTATTATTAGTTCCTTACTGGCCAGACTGATTTCCCTATATCAAGTTGACTGATAATATGGGACTACTGTTCAATACACATTAAATTATCAAAATCTTTCAACCCTGGTTAGAAACAGATGCCAGAATAGTAACTAATTAATTCAAAAATGTGTTCTATTGTTCACTTGAACAAACAAATGAATTATAACACTGTGTAATATAATGAATGATAAACATAGAACAAAAGATGACAAATCATACCCAACTACTGGCTTTGTTTTCATTACAACCTTTACTGCAGGTTCTGAAAAAATATATACATATATATAATATAATGAAAAAATGAGATTTTTTTATATGTATAATTAATAATAATTTTAGATGTATCCTCAATAATAAGTTTGTATATATATTTTATTAAACTGCGGCAATAAAGATAATTACTGTTTTTTAATGTCCATCGTTCTTTTCCTGTCTTTTGGTCTATACCAATTAAAGAGCCATCCAAGGTAGAAACTACCAGGAGACCGCCATCAAAATCCAAATATTTGGTTACGGGACTTTGTTCCTACAAAAAAAAATATTTGGAAATTATGATGATATAGTTTCTGATAACACATCCAATTAAATTTTAACAAAACAAATCATTGATAACAAAACAAGTATTTTGGGATAAATCGTACTTAAGAAATGTAAACTTTATATTATAGACGTAATTATATATAGAAAATATATAATGAAAGGATAGTTTTTAAATATAAAATATTTATCTAAGTTTTGTAAATCAATCATGACATATAAAATCATTCAACTGACCCATTATTAATCACATTACAGCAAACTTGTTCTTTACTAGTACTTATTTTCCACATTATGAATGATTGAATTAACTAACAAGTATTTATACACTTTTTTAATTAATACTTAATAATGGGTAGAACTGTTTTATGTATGTATTACAATTATTAAAATAATATTCTTATAGGGTTAATTAATCAAGAAAATGTAAATAAATTACTTCAAGTAAATTAAAATGTAGAAAAAACTTCGTAATATTAATGATGTTCCAAGACAAATAACTATACAAAAATATAGTATTAAACAAAAGATTACTTTCAAATATTATAAGATTTGCATTGCATCGATTCATTGTTTTGAACATTGTCCATAGTAAAGATTTTACTACATAATAAAAAACAAATAGCTTGTATAAATGTGCAATATAAAAACAATTAAACTTTTAGTAGAGCTTTTTAAGAAGTATGCATGAATAGCTTAAAGCAATAAGGAAAAACTCATTGATACTATAGATTTGTTTTATCTCAATAACTCTTGTCTAAAAAATTAAATTCTAATCAATACATGTGAGATAAGGGTTAAGAATCAAGTCCAAATGTGAAATAACAGGATTCACAACATTAAAAACATTTAATTTTTATAGTATTATATTTAACAGAAAAAGAAAATTAAAGCTTATTTCCTCTATAATTAAAAATATGGCAATAGGTCAATAAATAGTGGTAATGAATAAGAGAATATTAAAAAACTTTTAAATCATGTTTGGCAGCATACATGACAACTTGCTGAATCATAAAATCACATTCAACACAAAAGCTAAGGCACTATTTAGAGCAAGGTAATTTTTCAATAATTCTAATATTTTAGACAACAAAATCAATTAGGATACTTTTATGATTAGGTTAACAGTAAGCATGTTAATACTATAACATTATTTTGGCTTAAAAAATCATAAATTTAATTTTTCAGAAGTGTAATTTTATAAATTAAAATAATTTATTGCTAAGAACATTTTCTTATCATTTCTATGAGTTGTAACAATATTACAATAAATCACTAAAGATCACATAGGTTTGATAAAACCAAATGCATTTCAATAACAATGCTGAATATATTATACCTACATTATTTTCCGATATATTGTCTTGCGAAGTGTATAATACAGAGCATGCTACAATTAATGTCAAATTTATTATTAGCGACAGGCCAAAATTCATTTTGTGAAATAGGTAAACGTTTTTGTTTCATAATTAAATCAATAGTTTTTTTCGCTATTCACAATTGTTTCAGAAATAAGCACTGTAAAATGAAATACTTGGTAGTTTCACGTTTACCACGAGTAGATTTCTACTACACAACATTCTCATTTCAAGATTAAACAACAAACTGATGATAGTGACATCTATCACCGGGTTATCCAAACATTGCCAAAGAGCTTCGTGTAACAAACCACATAACATACATTAAAAATTATCAACTTGGAATGCTTAATTAATAATTCCCCAATTATTAATAAGTGAAAATTATTGTATCTCAATATTTTCGACTAACAATACTGTTCATAATAGCTAACCTAAACCATACCTGAGATGAGGGAAGAGGCAAATCTTAAGATATAAAAAGTAATGAACCTTGATCGGTAGTATGGTAATAATCATCGAGTATAGGATGAACTAAAGTGGGCATGGTTAGAAGAGGCAAGGGTGCCCAAAAGGGGGTTTCATGAAGCAAATTTCACCATAAAACTTGTTGAAGTGTGTTCATTTTGATGAGTGTCCTAAGGTTCCCCATCCTCTGGTAAATAACCGATACCCTGAGGGGATTTCATCGATTCTATCGTGTTCATCACCTGATTTCTTGTTTTATTTATTTGTCTGTGGTAAAATATTGTGTTAACACGGCTTAATTGCATTTTATAAAATGAGTAGGAGCGCAGAATTTGGTTATAACAATCGGTAAAACAACTAATTAGGGGACATGTGATAAGATATTTTTTCATTAAAAAAGTAATTTACTACCTAATGGTTCAATGTTGTTATCAATAACAATCGTTACATACCTACATCCAGCCTATGAATTGTTTTTTAAATCCAAATCTATTATAATACATAATACAATATTTTCTACAACGATTCAGTCTACCTCTCGGCCATTTACAGATTTATTTAGCTCTGATTATTTATTTTATGATGTATCACTAATATTGATTCACTATATTAAGAGATGTGAAATCCTTCCTAACCACGGCCCATATTGATTTTTTTGAGGTAAGCCCCTCAGTACTTTACAGACCTTCTTTGAAGAACTTCTTTTCTGGTTTATAAGAAATCAAATATTTCTTACAAATTACATTTAGTCCTTAAGATAGATCTAGTAATATCTTCAAATTTACTTATTCTCGGCTTTAAACACTATAGTTTGTCAAAGACAGGTGTTTCTGAGTCCTGTAAAATATTCTCACCCTTTTACTCATCACCTAGTAACTGTCGTTTGGTGGAATTATCTAAAAATTTTATCGAATATTTAATAGTTGACCGTTGCATTATAAAGGAAGGAGATGGTCCGGGGTGATGGTCATAAACCTTAATTCTGCTAAATTAGGCTAAATATAAAGTCGGGTCGAACCGTTGGCTTTTAATAAAATAGTTTTTCCACTATTTAGCTTATTTATGACCGCCACCCCGGACCATCTCCTTCCTTTAATAATTTTATCATACTAATAAAAGTCTAAGATAGTTGACCATTGTAGATATATTGAAGAGAAGTTAGTTGGGGTGTTCAGTTGAAGAAAGAACAAAGTAATAATAAACAAATTATATTAAGCGCAGAAACGTCGGCACGAAGGAAATTAAAATAAATATATGAGAAGGAGTTAGTTGAGGGTGCGGTCAAATAAATAAAAAAAATTAAAATATATAAATAATTTTAATTTTTGCCGACGTTTCGACCCACTTTGCAGGTCGTCTTCAGGGCGTTGGATGTGGCACTGCGGGAGGCAGTTGAAACACTCATTGTTTTGACTGCTTCCCGCAGTGCCACATCCAACGCCCTGAAGACGACCTGCAAAGTGGGTCGAAACGTCGGCAAAAATTAAAATTATTTATATATTTTAATTTTTTTTATTTATTTGACCGCACCCTCAACTAACTCCTTCTCATATCATATCAACGGTCAACCATCTCTACATCATTATAAAATAAATATAATTTATTTAATTTTAATTTGTTCTTTCTTTAACGGAACACTCCAACTAACTTCTCTTCAATATAATAATTTTATCTTTATGACGTTTTTCAGCGGACAGTAACCCATGAGAAGACCCGTTACTATTCTTAATTTATACTTTATCAACAAAAATGATCCGGTATAGGTAGAATTTAGTCGTCATTTCTCTAATTTATGCAGAGTTTGGATATTTATTGGAAGATTTTAATACCTAATCTTCTTAATTTATCAGGATTCAATTTCTGTAAGTGAAACATCCATATATATTAGATCAGGACCCTATTTTGAAATTCGGATCCTCCTTCTTTACATATCTTGTCGGCGATACTTATTTTGAAGTTATTGAATTTTTGTTTATTAATAGGAATCGCTTAATGAGATAATTCATTCTCTTTCAGTGTCTCCTAAATGATTATTAAATGTCTTGTAAGTTTCCTGGTATATACTTTCGAGTATGCTGCTATTTGAGTGTTATTGTTGGTACATCCTTTATATTTATACATCCCATACAACGGTGTTTTACGAATCATTACCTCCGTGACTACTATGGATAAAGTTATAATTGCTCTTAAGATACCTTTTAAATTCTGTAAAGCTCGTAAAATCCTTGAATTGCATTGCAGAATACCAACTTGTCCTCTCTTCGTAGTATTTTTACCATTTCCCTTAATGTTCTGATTGTCGACATTTAAAAAAATAATGAATTAAACCTTCACAATTGCCTCATAATATTCGAAAAAATAATAGAATTGTTCTTGAGATAATATTACTCATTATCTGAAAATAGCTTTCTTTCAGTTCCATAATCAAAAAATCTCTGAATGCTCTTAAAAGATGATCAAACTCTTCTCTCCCGATTTGTGATTTGTTTAATTCAATAATAATGTTTTTTTCAAATACAGATAAGAAAAATAAATGTATCATTCATTATTCTATTTGAGAAGAGCATCGAACATTTTGAGTACACGTAGAATGAGTTGACAGTGACATTTCAATTTTGTACCGCATCTTACATTTGAATTTTTTTCAATTTATTGATATACTAATTTAACTATTAAAACATTAATAGTTTATGGAATTTAACTTCCTTTTTCTGAACCGATCGTTCTGTGAAGATCATTTTTATTTAAGATGATTTGATAAAGACCACATTACCGTGATAAGATTAGTGATAAACTTGAACTTCAACGAGTTGTGATGGAGTTACAAGACGTCTTGTTCAGTTTGATTCGTCGTTAGTTGTTTATAATGTGATAAAAATGGATAGCAAAGCTCATAGCAAAGGTAAGAATGGTTCAATAATAAAATAAATTTAGTTTGGGTAACTAAAACACACTTGTTTATTGTTGTAATTATTTTTTTGATTACATTACGTTTGTTTGACATTTGTTATCACAGAAGTGATTGGGGCAACAACAATTTTTGCAACATTTCTGAGAATCTTACTGTTGTATTGTGTTGGAGTAATTATTTTAATAAATATTGTTTTATATTCTAGTCTATGATTAGTATAAATTTTTTATATGAAAGTTTATTTGATCTAAGAATTTTATATTCTAAATTATTATAGTTTATTCATACAGTTTACAGAACAATTATATTAGAATATATGTAACACTCCTGCATTTATATTTCATTAGTTTATTGTTTAGTAAATGTGAATTATATATGAAAGATGTTTTTATTTTGTATTTTAACTTTTTTTAGGAATAGATTGTATGAGTTTTGAGTATTTGTTATTCTTTCTGGACATTTTAATTAATCAGGAGTTTGTTAATGAGGCTTAAACGTTATTAAAAACTCTTTTTGGTATTTGGTTGCCTTGCTTTACATAATGTTTGTTTTAAAAATAAAATTAGTCAATTGTATTATTTTCTTTTATATCAGGGTTTGTTGTGTTTGGTAACATTTTAAGTTTATTGAATTTTGCGAACTACTTATTTAGATATTTATGTCTGATATCATTTTTAGCCTGTTAATTTATCCATATAGTTTATTTTCAGAATTATCAGTTTATGTTTATAGCAAATAAATTTTAAATTATTGTTTCTTTAGTTTCATATTATAATTTTATCCAGCTTTTTGAATTTGAAAATGCTTATTTAATTTTAGATAATGTTCTATCAGTTTTAAACTTTTTTTTATTATAACTTTTATAAACAAAATTCAATCAAGATTTATTCATTTGATGGACTGGCCTGTCATCACCACTATTTTGCTATTGACTGTCACAGACCAATGAAATCATTAATAATATTATTATGAACATTTTTTTGATAATATTTTATGGTTGCGAATGTTATTCATTCCTTTAATTTTTCATTTTAATTAAGAATTACATAAATCGTGAATTTGGGAAAAAAGGGCACGTTCCTAAACACAGTGCTGAGTTTATTAATGACATCAGATTTATCTTTAAACTGCACAAAACAATACCATTGATGAGTTCACAGCTGAGTTTAGCAACTTGTCTATAGTAAGTTGATGGTAAATTACTGAAAACAACAATTTAGTAGATCTTACTATTAATTCATTACGAGTTTTAAAACTTTAAAATGATTTACTTTGAGTCTTAATGATTTCTATGGAATGCTTTTGTTGTACATAGTGACCACATATGCTACTACATGCATGGATATAATTGAATCCTTAGCCAAAGTAGGAAAAAGATAGAATAACATAATTGAAAAGTAAGGGGAAAATAACAGGACCTTTTTTTAATTTTTTTGTACTGAGTTATTGATAAGGAAACTTCTTAATAAGAGAAACTTTTTTTTTTATTTTTTTGTTTATACTAAAATTATGTATTTAAAGTTGTGGTTTACATTGTTTTTGTAATCATATCGGGTAAGTGATCTCCCTATTGTGAATACATTGCTGAACATACATTACCGAACTGTTTCCCATCACTATTTCCAGTATATTAATGAGTATGTTGGACGGTTCTTCCTGAATGTTTCTTTTCAGGTCTTTCAGAGTCTGTGGGCGGCTGGTATAGACACAGGATTTCAAATACCCACATAAGGAGCCATATCGGCTCAATGAGCCAGTAACTACTAGTTACCTTTCAGTAAGATTAAAGTGAATCCTGGGAAGTGATCTTACAACATAACCATCGATGCTGTTGAAGTATGAGCCATTGCTCTTCATGTCTTCTAAGCCCATTTTATCAAGTCATGGCAAAAAAAAATTCCTCAAGCATGTTCACATATGCTTTGAAGTGATTGTGAATCTGTTCATTTTCCTCAAAATTCATTGGCTGATAATTGCAGTTATAAAAATTGATACACGTTTATAATTGACAAAATTATTCTTTCTATTCCTAATAATTATGTTTAAATTAAAGAAATCTGCTGATTGCTTCAAATATTTTCTTCTTCCTTCTCTACCTCCTTTGTGCCTCTCAGCGTGGAGGTGCCTCGATCCATGAATCCCAAGCATTGCGGAGCCCTCATATTCCTTATCTACATACATCTTTTCTGCCTGATCTGGGAGATGTACTCCATCCACGACAAACTAGGTCTTCCTCTTGGGCGCTTCCTATAGGTCTCACCTCCATGAATTTTCATGGGTCACGGTCTTCATTTATTCTGCCATGCCCAAACCATCTCAGCTTCCTCTTTTCAATAGAATCCTTTTGTAGGACAGTGTCTAGATCCTCATTTATTTTAATAAAAACATAATATTAGGAATAGAAGTAATTCAGCAAAATATTATGACCTCTATATTATGGCCCAAGGTATTAAAAACCGTCTCAATTTAATTAACTATTTACTTTATTTGCATTCTTCAGTGTAATTTGGAACTACCATCATAATCCATTGTCTGGAATATTCTATTGGGTTAAAGCAATGAAAAATATAAAATAAAATCTGGGTGTCCTAATATTTTTCTATTAGTCGTATTCATCATTCTAAGGTTTAGTCCAATTTTTCTGAAGAGCTATGGACTCCTGTTTGTATCATATGAATTGATTTAAGTTAAATGTTAGAAAATTAAATAAAGATGGTTCTTAAAGATATTTAGTATTCTTCTTTAATACATAAATTTTTTTATCGCTAATAGTGGATAGGATTATTGGGAGGAAACTATTATAGGTATTAGGTATTAGCATGCTTTAATTTGAGGTTTATTTTATAAAATTCATGAAATGTTTATAAAATAATATTTTTTTATAATAACCTGGGCATCTATGACAGTCTGCAATCATCTTGGCATCAACCAAATAAGATTTTGAGTTATTTCTTGTCCAATTTTACACCATTTCTTTAACAAAGTTTCTTTAAATCATTTTTTGAAGTAAATTTAATTTTTATTTATTTCAAATCTAACAAATAGCATAGTAGTTCTATGAAATTTATGTCTGCGTGGCATTTTCAATTTTCTGGAAACTCTGTATAGCTTCCATTTTTTTGCTTTATTTGCTGTGTGCTTGGGGTCATTGTCCTATTGGAACATAAAAGTATCTTTGGTCCTTAGCTTTTCAGCAATATTTTTTAATATAGATAGATAGATAGAAAATAACTTTATTCTGGGACAAAGTCCCTCGAGAATAACAAAATAGTTCAAAATTAAAATATTACATCTGGCCTAAATAAAAACAATAGAAAAAAAGTAAAGAAAACATTAGGAAACATGCTATATACAAAGCTAATAAAACTATTTACAAAACACTTAAAACTATGACAAGACACTTAAAACTATGTACAGTGGAAAAACAGTATAAATATACATTTTAAGAAAAAATACATTAAATTCTTCTTTAAAATGAGGTCTGTGTTTCTGCTAAGAAAAAAGAAAGCCAAATTTAACAATATGAAATGCCTGATTACTTAAATGTTGAATAATTTGTAAATACATCATGATCATTTTTTAAACTAACTAAAGGTAAGAATTTAACTTTTTTGGTCCACTATATGATGGAATCATGTGATTCACATAACTTTGCCTGGATTCATATAACCTTGGGTGGGCAGTGAATCACATATTCTTTAAGAGACTTGTTTCTATTTCTTAAAATGTGTTCTATATGACTCCAATGTTTGTTTCAGCGAAAGCATTTTCGGCCTCTACTCCTTCATTTTCTTTTCGCTACAATGCAGAAGATGAAGAAGTTGAACAGCTCTACTATACACCTAGTGATACAGGTTATTAGTGCTATTTATTTTATGACATTAGTTTAGGGATTTTCTAACTATTAGATATTAATAATTTTTATTACTGGATTTAGTCAGATGATATTCTATTGACTATTTTCTTGTGCATATAAAACCTTATAAAATTTTAGCTTTATGATATGTATATATTTTTAGCACAGATTTTAGATAATGTTTATTAAATGTTATGAAGTCAAATATACCATGATACCATACCTACTTATGAGATATGCCCTGAAAGAGTGAATTAAAAAAAAAAATCTCAATTGAATAGAAATTGTCCTAATTCAAAGTTGTAAAAACATTTTACAACTTTTTATTTTTAGTTCTTTCTCACAAGTTTTCCTATATCATGAATAAAAGAAACAAAAAAAAAAAAAAAACTTTCCGGACATAAATAATCTATTAAACAATAATTTGATCGAATTTTTAAAAAATCGGATCAGGAAATTTATTTCTAAAAATGTTGGAAAAGGGGTTTAAGATAGTACCTTACCTGTCCCCTTGATGCAGTAGTTATATGAAGAACTGTTAATTCATAAATATTGGCTTCCTATTCTTGGATAATTTTCCCATTTATTGATTTTATAATTTTTTAAAAATAAATTACTAACTGAAGAAAATGTCTGTATTATTTTTAACAGTATTAATTCACTAGATTATAATTTAAAAATATAAACATTGTTTAATACGCTTTAATAATGTCCTTATTAATTGCTTATTGGTCAATTTTTGAGTGTTGCAGTTCAAGGGATGGTAGGTAATTTGTATTATAAAAATTATCCTTTTTTTTTTTTTTATGGTTTAAATACATCGGTTCTTATAAAATTAATTACATTTTAAAAATCTACCTTATGCTTTTATGTTCAATTAATTAAATCATCTATCTTTTCAGAATCTAGTAAGAAAATTGAGGATAGTTCCCACATATCTAATGAAGAAGGAATTAATGAAACAAAAAGCAAAGACTCATCTCCTATTCTCTCAAAGTCAAAAGCTTTGGGAAACTTGGATGAGAGTTCTTCGGGGGAGACATGGAGGATTCTCAGGGAGATGAAGGGAAGAATTACAAAAACTGTGGAAGACAAAATTGAAGAAATTAAAAGTGACAGAATGAAAAAAAAACTGTTGGCTACTTCCAGCCTTAGTGACTCCGAAGAAAGATCTGAAACTTCAAGCTCGGTTAAGGACAGCTCAGAGAAAGCTCCTTATCAAAACAAGGAAGATGTAGTTATAGCTGATTCAGATCTCGCTGATATCAGTGACACCAGCTTAACTCCTGATCGAACTACACCTGTCGCTACCGAAGTCGATATTTCTGATGTAACACCATCCAAGGACAATTTCATCACTACTTCTACTTTTAATACTTCTACAAAGAAAGGGTCTGTTCGTAGTGATGATACAGAAAAAACTTCCAATATTTTGTATAAGAAGCTGAAGGTTAGTTATTAATAATATTTTTAATCATTAATATTAATACATAGGCTTTACATTCTAATTTAATTATTTTTGCTGATATTTTATGATAGCTTTTCTAATAGGCCCTACCATACAATTCCCAACCTTATTTTATCTACCATGCTGCTTCCCACAACATCAAAAGGGTGTACAAATCTCATCGAATGATAATCTTTGATGTCCAAAAGCTGATTAATAGTATACTGGTTGATAAAGATAGTGGATAAATAAACTATCAGTTGATAAGTGTTAGCATCAAAAAGTCTATTGGTGCAGACATATTTTTTTGAAAATTCCTCTAGGATGGGTCTGTATTTGTTATTAGTATTTCATATAGACACATTTAATTATTATGTTTTACATTCTTTGATTATTTGTTTGAAAAAATAAATTGGAAGTAATTAGCTAGAGGTACTCCCCTAAGTCTCTCTTGTCCCATTGACATTTCACTATTTAGGGAACTAGTTATGTTATCCTGCTCCTTAGGCCCAAGTTATTCTAAACTCATAGTTTATTTCATTTCTTAATCTATTTTCTTCAGAGTAGCAAATATTTATCGATTTAGCTTTTAAAAGTGAAACAAATAAAAATTGATATGCTTCTTGTTATTAAATTATAATTTAAAAAAAAATCTATGCACTGTTTTGTTATTACTTATGATATTTTTGATTTTTATCTCAAATTTAAATGAAAACTCTTAACCAAACATTTATCTATATCACTATTATTCAATTTGTGTAATCATTATGGTATAACTGTCGGATAGGAAGAAATAAAATAAATCTTTGGAGAAGGCCATGATGGATGAGAGTGTTAAGGTATCATGACTTTAGCTACCTAGCAGTGCTGGTATAAATCCATCCTGGGTGATTTGAAGTTTACTTTAAAACTATGTTTACAAACGCTTGGTTATATTTTTAGAAGAGGATGGGATGGTCGTTCACGTTGGAGTGTAGGTCTGATTCCCACTGAACTCCGTTGGTTTGATTCCCACCTGGGTCAGTCAATTTTCATTTCTCGGTGACCGCAGGAAATAAATCTAGACATTTCCACTCTGGTTAGTATGCGGCAACAAACTCAAGGGAGCCCTCATGGGATGATGAAAATGACCATGTAGTTCACTTGCCAAACTAGTTCCCCCTACCAGTACCAGTCTATACTAGGGGGTAAATGGTACTTAGGGGGTAAAAGAAACAATGTTTTCCATTTCAGGCATATGAGAAAGGAGGGAGGAAGATTATTCTATAGCTATCTATAGAGTAATTTTCCTCCCTTCTTTCTCATATGCCTGAAATGGCACAAATTTTTTCTTTTTACTCCTACCTGGTTAAAAAATCTGGTGCGGTGTACACACAACATTCACTTACCATCCACTTATTATCAGAAATAAGTATTTTGAGACAAAGGGGAAGTAAAAATAAAAATTATAAATGCTATTTTAATTTATATTTCATTGTGGATATTTTTATTTGTATAAGTACCCTTATATATACAAATTTTAAGAAGTGAAATATAAAAATATTTCGTGGATATTGTTTATAGCCTTATATATATTTTCAGTAGTTTAATAACTCCAGAGATGATATATTTAAATAATCAGGTACCTATTGGCCGTTTATTCCAAAAAATCATCGAGTAACCTTTTAGAAAATTTAATTAGTGAATAATTAGATAAATTTTCCCTTTATGAAAATCCAACATTATCCATCTACAATTAGTATGACAACTTTTGACCTAACCATGGCAGGTAATGAAAATCTCGTAATATCATTTTAGTAAACTTTACAATGGAAAATAACAGTTTAATAACTAATAGTCCTACAATCGATAATCATTTATAGATTAAATAAATTCAGATGTATTTGCAAATCTCTCTAGGTATATATGAACCTTTCGGTTGACAGAATGACTAACTCCAATTTCAACGTACTTTATTATTAATTTTAGCGACGTTTCTAGTGGCAAAATTTATACCTTTATTCACAGTTCTATATTTCAACAATGCAATCACCTACTCTGGAATAAACTTACTCACTGTTTATATAGATACAACTTTTCCAACTAGAAATGTCACTAAAATGACATTACTAAAAAAATGTTAAAAATGTTGAAATTGTAATAATTGTAATTTGTCAACTGAAAGGCTCAGAGATTGAAGTTGTGTGGTTTATAAAAGCAGATGGAGTAACTAGATTTTTATTGTCTACCGATGATGTAATAAATAGATTTTTTGTAATTTTAATGGTCTTAAAGATTTGATATTTGCAAGCTTTAAGGTTTATTTCAATTTAAAATGTACTTCAACAATTTTATAATAGCCGATCATTGCCAGAAAATAATTTCTATTCAAAGTAGAGCGGTAGGTGAAAGTTGGATGTTGAGCGCAACATCCAATTTTAGAGCGGTAGGTGAAAGTTGGATGTTGCGCGCAACAGATTTGTTTTTTATATATTATCATTATTGATAGCATCCCAATCTCTGAATCATGGAACAAAAGTTGCTCTTGTTCTGCTTAACAACTAAGCGCACCAGATTTTTTATTTCTGATCCGGTCTCTCCTGGTTCGGCCAGCTACCCATCCAAGATATTTCATTTCACTTGTAGTAACTCTGCTTAGGTGTTTGGTTAATGGGACCCAGCTTTCACTCCCTTATATATGGGTTAGTAGATATACTGCTTTAAAAATATAAATTTTTACATTTCTCTCAACCTCCCTCTTTTCAATGACTGTGTATTATAAACTGTAATACACATCATTGGCCTGTTTAATCCTATTAGAAATTTTTTATTTTAGGTTCTTGTTTGTTACTGCATCTAGATATGTGTAGTTCTCCACCATTTCCAGTACCTCTCCTTTGCAATAAATTTCAATAACCTCCTAATCCCATCCAATTTGCATTAATTTGCTCTCTCTGACATTAATTGCTATATCTTTCTCTTTACTTCAGCCTCCCATTTGATCAACGCTTGCTGCAGATTTTCTTTTGAGTATGATATGAGAACGATGCCATCTGCAAAGACCATTACTTGCGTCAATATCGTTCTTAGGTTCCACTTTCCTTTAATTGTTCATGTTATTCATCATTTACAAATCTTTAAAATTTCGTCCATATATATAATGAACAGTAGGAGGCTCAAGCTGTCCCCTTGCTTTACACCTTTACTCATGGCAAAAAATATCAGACTCAATTCTATTTATCTATCTATGCCCTTTGAGTCCTGATACGTGGACCTTATAGCATCCTTCAATTCTCGTGGATTATTTTTTTCCATCATGGCCTACTATAGTTCTTTTCTAGATAGAGAATCAAATTCAGCCTTTATGCCCAAGAATGTAAGAAATACATTTCTGTTCCGTTTCCAAGCCTTATCAATTATTGTTCTTAAAGAATATATGTGGTCTTGAGTTTGGCGGTGAGGCCTGAAAGCAGCTTGCTCCTCTTCCAAGTGTTCCTCCACTATTGCTCTAAGTTTTTTCTCCAATATTGACACATATATCTTATAAATAATTTGTGAGAGATAAATAGGTCTGTAATTTCCACATTCGCTTGTATTTCCTTTCTTATATACTGGAATAATTACATTATATTTCCAATCCTCTTGAATAACTTTCTAGTCAATACTTTTTGAAAGAGGCATTGCAGGACTTTCATTATTTCAAGTCCTCCATATTTAATAAATTCTAACTCAATACCATCCCTACCAGTTGCATTTCTGTACTTTAGTTTTTCTACTGCACTTTCCACCTCCTTCTCCTAGATTATCTTGTCAAATTCTTGTAGAGGAGTTTCACATATATTCAATGTATTATTGGCATCATTGCTTGAGAAAACGTCCGCTTAGTGGCGTTTCTATCTATCCAGAATTTCTTACTTTTCTTTGTTTTTATTTTAATTTTTTTTTTTTCAGAAAACCTTCACATTTTCATGGTAGTTGTTCTGTAGGCTCCTCCCGAATTCCTCCCAACTCTTCCTCTTTGCCACTGTAGCAACTAATTTTGACTCATTTCTTCTGCATACATAAAGTTCCCAATTTGCTGGAGTCTTATCTCTAATATAGTCCTTCCAAGCAGTTTTCTTCCTTGTGACTGCCGCCTTCACTCTTTCATTCCACCATTCAGATCTTTTGCTTGTTCGTGAGATTTTTGTAATCCCATAAGTCGTGGTTGCTGAGTCCATTATTGCATTTTTTATTTTCCCCCACAGAACTTCCACATTTCCATCCATACTGATTTCCTGAAGATTGCTATTAATAAGTTCTTTATATTTGTTTTCATATGTCTGGAGTTTCTTATTGTTAATATTCATATAGCTTCTGGGTCACTTCTTTTTGGGAGAGGGAATTTGAGTATCTCCTATAAGGAGAAGGTGTTCTTCTGAGCCAATTTCGGCACCTCTGATTACTTTGATGTCTGTAAACAGTGTCTGATCCTTCGACTGTATATAATGTAGTCTATTATACTATTTACATTTCTTTCTTCTGCAGAGAACGTTATTTTTTGGATTATCTTATGTGGATAAAAGGAATTTCCAATGAGTAGGTCATAATCAACACAGAAATCTATAAGCCTTTTCCCCGTTTCTTGTGTGCTCACCTCCATGATAACCCATGGCTCCATTTGTGGCTGTCTAGTCCCTTCCAATTTTGGCATTGAAGTCTCCCATTATAATTATGTCTCTGTTTCTGTTTTTTTGTGACTTCTTTTTGTAGGTCTGTATAGAATTGGTCCTTATCTAGAATATCTGAATCTTCTGTTGGTGCGTAGATCTGAATCAGAGCTACTTTACAATTGACAATTCTATATTTGCTACTATTATTCTGGAAGATGTTGGTTTTCAGTCCTTTACTTAATTTTTATTATTATTTTATTATTTGGCAAACAGGCTTTCTTTCATTATAATCCCCACTCCCTCTTTTGTTCTAAAACCTGCGAGAACTCCAGAGTAGATGAGTATGTGTTGTTCATTCAGACGTGTTTCTCCATGCCCTTTTTTCCTTACTTCACATATAGCCATTAGATCCACAACATATGAGTTCATCTCCCTCATGATCTCTGTTTCTTTGCCATTCAATGTTTTAATATTCCATGTTCCAATTCCGATGTCCCTTAGAGCGACATGTCGAGTGCCAGCCAATAAAATGTTTAACAGATTATAATTGTAAAGATTCCTGAATTTGAAAGGATGATGATTAACTTTGAATCGAACATATTTTTTAGAATTTTGGAAATAAAAAGATAATAAATATGAATGAAAGAATTGACAAAAAATTATATTTACAATATCTTTTGTTGGTAGATATTGTATATGGTTTAGTAGACAGTTCCATTATAATTTAAGACTTACACAATTTTTTTATTTTAATTTACCTTCTATATTTACCTTTCTATATTACCAATGCAAAGGTCCCGAGTTCGAACCCCGGCTCATGGCAGAAAATTTATTTATCTGTTTCATTGGCCGTGGGGCGACCTTGGGTCAGGAGTCCCTCCTGGGGCACACCCAGCCTCTATAAAGTGGGTACCCTTAATTAAATAATTAATTAAGGGGGAAAACCTGGCGGTTGAGCGTGATCTCGGTCAAATCACCTCCTTGCACAACCGTGGACCTAGAAACAGTGCTTTCCCTAAATAGTACTGAACCCCAGACCCTTCATGGGTTGTAGTGGTACAGGTTATTACCTTGTATATTTACAATTTTCATTGGTTGATTTTATGTTATTTGTAGATGAAAGCATCAAAGAGAGTAGAGTTGGGAATTGAAGCAGTAGAAGAATCAGTTGGTAAAGAAGAAGGGAGACTCATGGAAAAAAAACCTGTTAAGGATCATGCGAGCTCTCACGTGTATGTGATGCCAAATATTTCGGTCCGAGCTGCTGCCTTTTTTGCTTTGCTTGGAGTTCTTTACACATTTGTTAATGTTCCTCAGTTTTTGGTTAGTTAGTGTTTATATAATATTAAATTATAAATTTACTGGATAATATTCAGATATGTTGCTGAAAAGTATGGTCTGAAGAAGTGATTAATGCAATGATTAATATGATAATTTTATAATATAAGGAGTTCACAGTAATTTTTCTTTATTTGATTATGTATTATTAAGAGAATAAAGATTTCTCTGATTGCCTATTATTAAGTTTACCTCTTTAATTACCTAATGTAAAAGAATTATGACAATAACGCAGAAATATTAACAATTTTTTTTATTTTTTTTTATAATTTTCTTCTGGAACAAACTATCGATTTTTTTTTTTTAATCAGTGCTCAATAGAAACTTGTATCTAATTAGAGCTTGATAATTTTATTTATTAAATAAATAAAATACAGAAAAATTAATGTCTAGGAATCCTTTCTTTGTTACATATTAACTTGATATTTTTCATTTGTAGTTTGGAGTTATTGTCGGCGTATTTCTAAGCTTCGAGTTCAGCTACTGGGCCAGTTGTTCCCAATGGACTAACCATCAAAAAGTTCCTGCTGAGTATTATAGCAATGATTACCCAAGTGGGCAGTTTTATCCACCATCCTTGGAAGAGCACCAAAAAGTAGTATATGAGGTAATAAAAATTGTTATAATATTTTGGATATCATCCAGAGAATGTGTGAATCTAAAACTAGTTTCATTCCTTAATGTTGACAAATTTATTGAATAATAATATGTTCAGCTTTGTTATTAAAGGTTAATTTTTCAGGGTTGGGTTAACGAGTTCTGTTTTGAATATCAACCTGAGATCTACCATGTCACTCAGACAGAGACAGTCTACGCTCGCTTAGAAGGTAGTGTTTTGAAACTGGCTTCTCCCAGGCAGAAGATATCTAAGAGGGCTATCTGGAATGAGCCTCAATATAAGCTGAGGTTTGACAGAGAGAGGACATATGACATCAGTAGCTGTCAGGTGGTACTGCTACCTGATAAGTTGGCACATAAGAGGTTAGTTATCTTGTTTATTACAATAACTTGCACCTAATTAGTTAAATTAGGGTTATGGGAAATGAGGTCACTCCATGAAAGGAGAGATAACTCTTCCCTCTTTATACATTCAGTTGATATGAACAGTTTAACTCTAAATCATTTATCCTTTTAAATTTTTTATGAATTTGAAAATTTGTTGAAAAAATTTTGATTGGAAAAAACAAATAAATAAAAAATAAACAAAGTAATAAATTACCGATTAAATAGTAATTAATTTATTTTTTTTTAAATACAATTTCATGGGAAACATTTTCTATGCACATATTTTTTATTTATGCATATTGATTTTTTTATCACTTTTTTTTTATTTTCCCAAAACATTTTATCAATATTTCAGTTTAAAAATCAAATTAGTCGAAAGTTTTCAGAGTTTGAGTCCAAGCCGAAACAAATCCCTGCATTGATTATTACTGCATCGATTTCATCAATAATATGGTCTGATTTACATTATTTATCTCTAATACCTTTAAAATGTTTACACGTTTTCCCACTGTCCTGTAGAGTATTAGTACCAAGTGAGTTTGGGGTCAGGTGATCCTCCTGGGGCACACTAAGCCTCTAGAAAGTAGGTACTCTTAATTAAATAATTGATTATGAGGGAAAATCTGGCAGATGAGCGTGATCATGCATCATGACCTATTTCATCTCTCTCTCTCTCTCTCTCTCTCTCTCTCTCTCTCTATATATATATATATATATATATATATATATATATATATATATATTTTTTTTTTTTTTTTTTTTTAACTCATCCATTATTAATTCTTTATCAGCCATTTTTTTCTCACATAAAAAATCTAAATCTAAACACCTTCCCTCTAAATGAAATAAACAACTGAAGAAATATCATTGTGGTGACTGAAATGGCATTTAAAATTCTTAGATTGGATTAGGAATACTTAAAAGGTTGAGAATGCCTGCCTGTTTTATTGTCCAAAGGATATACCGATATAGGAAATTTGAGTTGAATCCAATCTTGTAGGTTATCGGCTTGGACAGAGTTCAGTAAAATAACTTATTTAGGCTAAGATTGTTGGTGTTATTAATTATTATTAACTATGTTTGACATTCTAGAATAACTTCTAAGTGGTGTGTTAAATTTTAAAAAAAAGTTAAAAGTTATAGTGTATAACTTTAGTTGTCCAATATAATATCATAAGAGTAAATCATTGATGTGAATAAAATATTGTTCTTAAGCTTACATTATCTATTAAAGTGTTTAACTAGTTGCAGTATTTTGTTTTAGAATTTGGAGTAAAAAGTACCCAATTTGTATTATTTTGAACCCTGATTCACATTTGGGTACTCGTTACCGTGAGAGGGGGACTTCCTCTTTGGATTTTGTCTCTTACAAGAAAAGTCCAAAGAAAGGAGAAGGTAAGACTTTTTAACATTTTAGGGTAAGAAGGTAAGACTTTTTGCAAAAGATGTTTGCAAAGTAATTACAAAAGAAATTTTCTTATTCTTTAGAGAGAGAATATATTATTTTTGAAAAATTAAAACATCTATTAAATATTATTAGTAATAAATTATAAATTAAATATGTTAATCAATAAATTAATTGAGTGACAATTTATCAGAGACAATAAAGTAAAGAATTTCTCTTCTATTTTTGAGTTATTCAAGATGTATGTTTTTTTTTTATTTCTTTTTTTCCATTATAAATTCATCATCATACAACCATGCCATTAGAAAGAAGATTATAGTTCCTTGTATTAGCTTAATGTTCGAATATATGTATATACATTTCTAATAACAATTAATCACTATTCATGGTAGAGCTCGTATCCATTGTTGGGTAATTTACTTTTTTGATATTTTGTCAAAAGAAAAACATGCTTTTTCACTCCCAGGCATAGATTATAAAGTTATAAGTTTATTCTTACAACTCAAATCTTGTGTGAATATTGGCATCTCCATTTATAGAAATTAAATGTAGATTTTATTTAATAAATGACTTAATTTATATCAGAGCCGGTTGCGTGGGTTGACATTGGTTAGACTTAGTTTTAGATTACGAAAATATTTTTTAATTAGCTCTAAACTTTCCTACCCTCAGCTAACTGTCAATTTCGGAATAAATATGTCCTGGGAATGAAGTTTCTATTGAATTTAAATTTACCCAGAACTAATTTATTTCTAGGCTGATTAGGAATCAGCAATATATTATCTTAGTCTTGGCATACTTTAGTCGTGGAGTAGGTAAATCTATTAAAACTTAACTTTAGTCTGTAACTTAACAATTGGTTGTTAATGCCTTATTTCTGTATTGACCTAATTATTTGTTTATCATTTTATGAAATTCTTATTTGTATGATTATGTATTAATGCGAAATAATTAATACAAATATAGATTTTCTGTGCATGTTCATTAGCCTTAAACTTAGCCAAAGTATACATTTTTTTGTGTTTTACAGAAGAAGAAAAGGTTGATGAAGAACAAGATAGTGGAGAAGTAAAAACTCCAAGCAAGGTATTATTTTTTAGCTATATAACGTTTTCCATCAATGTTGTATCTCTTATAGGTATACTAGATTATAGGTATCTGATGAAAGGGTTTTTCAGAAATCAGAATGGGTTCCTTATTGTTTTAGATTTTATTTGATGTTTTGCTAGCCTATAGCCTATAACTCTTCCTATTTTTTAATTTTTATTTCTTAAATAAAAAGTTCTTTATTCTTTTTTATTTGTTTTGTGCTGACAAAGATCCTTCAAGTTGTTGAAGGATCTGAGGTGTTAGAAGATCTTATCCAAGAGATTTATGGGGTGTTAGAATTGGTAAATGAATTGATGATGTAAGGAATTCTGTTGTGGTGTGGCTAGTATGGGATAACATATATTAAATTTCAATAAATAAAAAGTATATTTATTCACATGAAACCTATTAATCTTTCACTTCAAATTATATAAGGATTATTTTTTTCAGTGAACTGAACTAACTAAAAAATATTAATAAATGCTTTGAAGAATAAAGTTGTATATTAAGTGTAAAAACAATTTTAAAAATTATTTTGTAGATAAAAAAAGGTGGAATTTGCCTTGATGAAGATGAAATGTCACTATGTACTGATGAGGAAGATGACGATAATGGATTGAGCAGTGACTATGTCAAAGTTCCTACTTCACTCATCAACAAGAATAATATTTATCTCTTTGCTAGGACAGATAGAGAAAAGGACATATGGTAATTTTCTTTGCCAATTTGCTCAATAAATTTATTTATCTTGGAGCCAGGATCCTGCAAGAACCTTGATCTTTCTTGACGCCTTCCTCCATTCCCTTCTATCCTAATCAACTATCCCTCATCTTCTGATTCCCATCCTGATTATTATGATGTAGCTGTTGTTTTGTTATAGTAATTGTGTATTTAAAGTTTAATATAAAAGGATAAGCATTTAATATAAAAGGATTGTTGGAATTAAAATGTAATCACTTGTTTTTTATAATAGGGTGTATAAAAAAAACGACCATTTTTCAACCAAATATTTGTATTATTATTTCTTTGATATAAAATACAATTAATACTCAAATTATAGTCCATTGTTATCTGCTCTCATTAGCCATCTGCTAGCCAATTGCTCAATCCCACACTGATACCATTCTTTGGGATGGCTGTCAAAGAGCTCTTGTACCGCAACTTCAACTTCTGCAAAATTATCAAATTTTTCCCTTGAAGAAAATGGACCATGGGTCTAAATAAGTTGTTATCCGATGGTTCAAGGTCTGAACTATACGGTGGATGAGACAGGGGTTCAAATCCATGAAGTTGTTTAAAATTTTCTTTGGTTCGATGGGAAGTGTGAGAACGAGCATTACCTTGGAATAAAATTGATAGATCAAAGCAGGATAATGCTCTGACAACTTCACGTACAATCATTTCAGTTGTTTACAGCAGAGTTAAGAATTCATAGAGCATCAATCAGGAACAGATTCGTAATGAATAATACCTTCAAAATTCCAAAAAATGCAAAGCATGGATTTTTTTTTTCAAATCGCCTCCTTGCAGCAACCGGAAATGCAGTTGATGACCGCGATCTAGCCATTGCTCACAGGTATTCGGATTTTGCCAGTAAACCCACTTTTCATTACAGGTGACAATCTCCAGGTAAAATCTCATATCAGAAGGGTTTTTCAATAAATGTTCACAAATTTCTAACGTCTTAGCTGATTGCTGAGGAGTAAGTTTGTGAGGGACCAGTCTACTTCTCCTATTCAACTTCCTTTTGGAAAGTAGATGGCGACTAACAGTATCTTTCGACACACCACTCTCCCTGGCAAATTCGCAAGTACTTGTGGACGGATTCTCAAGGGGCTTTTTTCCAGAATAAAGTTATTTTTTATCTACCTATCTGAATTGAAAAGCTAGGGACCAAAGATACATTTATGTTCAATGGCTCCAAGTACACAGCAAATAAAACAAAAAAATGTATGCTGTACAGAGTTCCTAGAAAATTTAAAATGCCACCACAGTCACCGGACATAATTTTTCATAGAATACCTATGCTACTTGTTGGATTTGAAAGAAATAAAAAAATTAAATTTCTTCGAAAAATGATATAAAAGAAAATTTGTCAGAGGAATGGTGTAACATTGGACAAGACGTAACTCAAAATCTTGTTTGGTTGGTGCCAAGATGATTGCAGACTGTCGTAGATACCCAGAGTATTGTGTATAATTTTTTAATTAAATAAATTTAAATCTTCTTTACCAATGATCTATTAAAGTATGAATGATTGCAGACTGTCGTAGATGCCCAGGTTATTATAAAAAAATATTATTTTATAAACATTTCATGAATTTTATAAAATAAACCTCAAATTAAAGCATGCTAATACTTTCTTGACTGGTTTGAAATAATTTTCTGTTTACTGAATTTTATAATTAAGTAAATTTAAATCTTCTTTTCCAATGATGAATTTTTTTATTTTTTTTTTAAACTTAACTTTTTAAAATGTTTTTAACCTTTTTTTTATTAAATAAAAATGTTTGAAATATCAATTTTTTCTTTTTTCCCGACAAAACCTAAAAAAAGTTAAATGAGCCAGTACTTTTTTGATCCAGTGAACATCAAGCTATAACTAACATAAAAATATCTTTATCTGATTAAGAGAATGGCTTTCTTTGAAGCAAAATAATAGTTAGGTTAACTAAATAAGTCTGTAATCCTTTTTTAGCAATAATTCTAGCATGCCTTTCTTTGTCTTCATTAAATATATCAACACTTAATAAAAAAGATTTATTATAAAAGAACTGTAAGCTTCCTCCCAATAATTATATCCACTATTAGCGATAGAAAGCTGTATTTATTAAAGAAGAATACTAAATATCTTTAAGAACCATCCTTTCAAACCATCTATATTTAATTTTCTAACATTCAACTGAAATCAATTCATATGATACAAACAGAAGCTCTTCAGAAAAATCACTAAACCTTGGAATGATAAATATGTCTAATAGAAAAATGTTAGGACACCCAGATTTTATTTTATATTTTTCATTGCTTCCTTCCAATAGAGTATTCCAGACAATATGGATTATGATGGTAGCTCTAAATTACACTGAAGAATGCAAATAAAGTAAATAGTTAATTAAATTGAGACGATTTTTAATATTAATGTTAATACCACTTTAATATTAATAAACCACATTAATAGTATTAATGTTTATATTGATATATAACCCTCGGGCGGGCTCATTACCGCGTATGGGGAGCGTCCCACGGGTGGCGGATGTGGGGATGGTCGTTGAAAATTCCTTGGAAGTTCCTCCTGGCTAGGTCCGATGGACTCGCTGACCAACAATGAGAGGGTCCCTCCAGCCTTGCTGGAGGGAGGGGATCTCCAGACTTGCTGGAGGTAGGGGCCCACCAGACTTGCTGGAGGGTGTGACGTAGGATTGAACGCCCTACTCACATATCTTTAGTTCACCAAACACCACAAATAGTCATGGATCTCCCTAAGGTAAAACGCTCATTATCCGGAAGTAAACTAGTCCCCCGTTCGGGTCTCCGGGTGGGGACTGCTTTAGGGGATTCATGGCGCAAGATGAAATATAAGGATTTAAATATTGGTACGTGGAACGTAAGGAGTTTAAACACAGCAGGGGGGCTAAAATCGGTCGCGAATGAGGTGAATGGATACAATTTGGATATCGTGGCTCTGCAAGAGGTTCGCTGGCCAGGGGAGGGCTCGATGAGGGAAGGAAAGTACACTATTTGGTACGGAGGAAGCGGGAATCATTGTTTGGGTACCGTGTTTCTAATTAGGAGTAGATTACTATCCGCTTTGAGGGACGTACAATTTTTTGGTGATAGAATTTCGGTCGCTACATTTCAGGGACATTGGTTTAAAATCGCATTAATAAACATACATTGTCCGACCGAAGACAGTGATGATGAAGTCAAAAGTGAATTTTACACAGTGAAAATAATTATAGGTGACGCAAACGCAAAGGTAGGAAGGGAAGAAGTTTATATTCCGACGATTGGTAAAGAAAGTTTGCACGAATATAGTAATGATAATGGGATCCGTCTGATAAACTTTGCCATCTCGAAAAACCTGATAATTAAAAGTACGACGTTTAAACATAAGGATATTCATAAATATACTTGGACATCACCGGATTCGCAAACACGAAATCAAATCGATCATGTCTTGATACAACATAGCTGGCAAAGCAGTATAATTAATGTACGGTCTTATCGCGGAGCAGAATGTGGGTCGGATCATGAATTAGTAATCGCGAAACTTCGACAAAAACTTAATATAAAAAAGAGAAAAGAAAACCGTTTCGATTTTGAGAATTTTAACTTGGACAAATTAAAAAATCCATCAGTTAGAACCCAATTCAAGCTAGATGTTAAGAATAGGTTTGAAGCTTTAGAGCTTCCTGACGAGGACCACGAGGATATTGACAAGTTATGGGTAGAGATCAGAGATAATATTAAAGCGGTCGGTAACTCGTGTCTAGGAAGAAAGGAAAATAAGAATAAAAAAACGTGGTTTGATGAAGATTGCTTTAACATGTGCGAAAAAAGAAAAGCCGCTAAATTAAAAGCTCTAAATAATCCTAGCGAAGACAATCTGGAATACTTCCGAACCTCAAAGAACGAAACAACAAAATTGCTCAAAAATAAAAAAAGGGAGTATCTAAAAATAAAATAATTGAAATAGAAACTAATAGGATCAAAAATAACGTAAGAGACATGTACAAAGGTATAAACAGATCACGTAAATGTGTAGGGTCCGTAACATCTGGAATTAGGGATGATAATAACAATATTCTGACCGATCCGGTTGACATATTGAATAAATTTAAGGACCACTTTGACAATATTTTAAATACGGGAAATTATGATCTGTGTCCTCCTTCTGAGTACCAGAGTGCTGAACCGTTATAGAAGGACCGAGTAAAGAGGAAGTTGAATTAGCTATCGGAAAATTAAAATCTTATAAAGCAGCGGGAACCGATAATATTCCTACTGAACTAATTAAGGCATGCGGGGAAGCCGGAGTTTCTAAAATACATCGGTTGGTTAAAAAGATCTGGGTGAATGAGAAATTACCTCAAGAATGGAAAGAATCTATTCTTATTCCGATTCACAAAAAGGGCCCGAGGACGGATTGTAATAATTATCGAGGAATTTCACTCCTTCCGGTATGTTATAAAATATTCACTTTAATCTTAACAAGTCGAATCAGGGAATACGCCGAGGAAATTATCGGAGACTACCAATGCAGGTTTAGACGGAATCGTTCGACTATTGATCAAATATTTTCTTTATGGCAAATATTAGAGAAAAAATTGGAGTACAACGGTATTGTTCAACAGCTGTATATAGATTTTAAAAAGGCTTACGATTCTATTGACCGCCAGAAACTGTATAATATTCTAATCGAGCAGGGGATTCCTAAAAAATTAGTAAATCTAGTCAGGATGTGCTTGACGGAGACACTCAATAAAGTTAGAATAGGTAATAATCTGTCCGAAAAATTTGAAGGTTCGTTCGGGTTTAAAACAGGGGATTCTCTTTCGCCTGTCCTGTTCAATTTGGCATTAGAACATGCCATTAGGGAGGTAATGCGTACCGAGAAAGGGTTGGATCTGGGTGGGACAACATCCGTGCTGGGCTATGCGGATGATCTGGTACTGTTAAGCGAAGACCTTGAAACTATAAAACTAAATACGACAACGTTAATGAAAGCCGGTAAAGAACTAGGACTCGAAATAAACGTGGATAAAACAAAATATATGGTTAGCTGCAAAAACGGCGATACAACTGGTGATATCGATATAGATGGTAATATGTTTGAACAGGTAGATAAGTTTAGGTATCTAGGTTCTACGATAACTAGAAAAAGCGAAATTGAAGAAGAAATTAAGGCTAGACTGAAGGCGGGAAATGCTTGTTATTTTTCTGTGACAAAACTACTTAGTTCGCGCCTCTTGTTCCGAAACTTAAAAATTAGAATTATAAAACAATTATCTTGCCTATAGTTCTTTATGGGTGCGAAACTTGTCCGCTTACATTAAGGGATGAGCAGCGTCTTAAGGTTTTTGAAAATAAGGTATTGCGTAGAATATTCGGACCGAAGAAGGATGAGTTAACCAGAGAGTTCAGACGGTTACACAACGCCGAATTGCGTGAACTGTATCCGAGTAATATAATTGAGATAATTTCATCGCGGTGAATCAAATGGGCTTGTAAAGTTGTTGGACTTAGTAACGAGAGAATTCCTAAAAGGTTAATATTTTCTGTGCCGAATGGTAAGCGTCCGAGGGGTAGACCGAAGCGAAGGTGGGAAGATTGCACTAAAGCCGATCTGAAGGGATTGGGTTTGGACGACGAACAGTGGAGGGAGGTGTGTAATAAGCGATTGGTGGTGTCGGCATCGAACCGTCGGGTTCGCTAAGCCTTTTATTATTATTATTGATATATAACATCATATATATTTATTATTCTATATAACATTATATATATATATATATATATATATATATATATTATTATCATTATGTATATATATTGATATGTAATAGTCCGTGGTACAGACCCCTTTTTATTGAATTATTAACATCAAACTTCATAAATGGTTTCATCTCATTGTAACCTATAACTATTTAGTTGTAGGTTACGATGAGATGAAACTATTTACGATATTTCAGGCTGTTTAAAAAGTTCAATAAATCGATAAAAAGGGGTCTGTACAACGGACTATAACATATATTAATATCACCTCTATTCTGTTATATATTTTGTTTAACAAGCATTTACACAATGAGTGAATTACTCCATTCAGACTTTGAATTTTTAATAATTTGGTCAAATAAGGATGGAAAAGTATAAATGAGAGAAACTTTTGTTGTAGTAAATGTTAGTACACCCTGGTTTTTCGAGACACAAATCTGTTGTTTGCCAAATGATATTTTGCTTATAAATTTTTTTTTTGGTTTAGGATAATATTTAAAAGTTTTTAGTTTTTCTTCAACTAAGTTTGTAAATATGAAATTGAAATTCATCCCTAGATGCCTCTAGTTAATGTAATTGTCCTTAAACTGCATTATTGACCCATTTTGTTTCTTCGACTGCTGACAAAGATTTTCTACTCATAACAATAAAAGTTTCATATATCAGCATTGTTTCAATATTGTTAAATATGTTGAGTTTTGTGTCTATAAACTATGGCATGAGGTTAGCATGAATTTTCTGTTACCATTTAAAAAAAAACTGCTGCAGAATCGCATTGAAAGTTTGTGGAAACTTATGTTGACATGAGAAAAGAAGAACGTGGAACATGGGTGTGATCTTTTGTGATCTGCTGAAACTTAGTGAAACCATTATTATTGAACGCGATTGGCAACAAATGACCCATTTGAATCGAGTATTACGTAAAAAATGACCATAGTATAAAAAAAACAAAACACACAAAGTGAGTTCGCTTCATGATAATTCACCATCATATACCACAAAACTAGTGAAGGAAACTATTAAAGCATTCATTTGGAAAATATTAGAGCTGGCCTCTTACTTAACAGTCTTGCCTTCGTCCAACTACTATTTATTTGCATCAATAGGGGAGCAAAAATGCTCCAATAGCAAAGTTTGCTCAATAGGAAGTAAACTAATGAGGGCCATGCACTTGCTCAGCAGTGAGTGGATTGCCTTTTTTAAGCAACAGTGTTTCTGACATGACATTTATAAATTGCCGAAGAAGTGTATAGCTAATGATGAACAATATTTTGAATAAAATATTTGTTTAAATTTTTATACTATAAATGTATATTTTCCATGTGAAAATTCCATTTTCATATTTATAGACCTGGTATATCTTGAATACTATTTTTTTTTTTTTCCCAGGAAGATTTTACCCAATTCATACCTACAACAAAATATTCCTCCTTTTTTTTTATAATATAAAAGTAGAGGTAACTCATGATTTTCTTTTCTGATCCGAGCTATAATCTTCATTATCCTAGCTAATTACTTAGTGACTTCCAACAACAATTAACATTTTTCTCCTTGGTTTATATACAGTTGGGAAGATCATATTCTTGCCCTTTTGCGGTAACTGCCTCTTACTCCTCCTTCATGCCCATCTTATCTTAGATCTTATGGTACTTACGAAGTTGATGAAGTTATTTCTTCATATTTCAGGTTCAGGAGACTGGCCGCAGCAGCAAAAGAGAAATCTTCTTCGATAGAAGAAGAAGAGCAGAAAAATGACGTGTGCCTGTCTGAAGGTGATGACTCTAAAACTCCAACAAAGCCACAGAAATTTGATGAGCATTACCACACCTTTATGGTGCAGTACATCAGGAGAAAGATCAACATATGTGTAAGTATTGGTATGTTGGTCCATTAAAGAAAAAAAGGAATAATACAATCACTATCGTCGACACCATGTTAAAGAACGAATGTGGGCCTGTTTAACGTTGCAGATTCGTTACTTTAACATTTTTTTTTTTTAAGTATGCCTCTTTATTCCACCATCAGAGATCTTGTAGCCCAGTACCATTCCGATTTGGATGACATGGTATCTCTTGTGTTCACCAAACTGGAGAATACACCTAAATGTGCTGCATCCATATGTGATCCCAAATTATATAGGTTACAATGTGGAGATTCTGCCACTCCTATTCTACGCTGGTGCTTCCTAAGGTTGTCATGGCCTGTTATCATCCAGAACTCTGCCACAGCTTCCTTTCTCGGCAGATTTGTGCGAACTCGATCAGCTTCATTTAACAATTTTCTCTAATGTTTTTCAGCAATACAGCTCTTTACGGAATCCAGTTGTAGAGTCTCAGTTGCCTTATTTATTTTTTTGGTCTATGATATGAAATTCTATTTTCTGGCTGGTTCAATGTAGAGCCCTTCTTCGCGAGTTTATCAGCCATTTCGTTTCCATGGAGACCACAATGACTTGGTATCCATTGAGTAGTTCCTCTATGATCTTTTGATTCTTCAGAATATCCTGAACAAATGAGTCATTTGCCCGTGACGGAGCGAGAATAGCCGCCTTAGAATCCACAAACAATACAAGATTTTTGACATCTAAGTGTGACAAGGCTTGTAGTCCAATAAACTTGCTCTTATTTCGCTGTCGAAATTCGAGGCCCATTTCCCAGTTTCGAAATAGCAAACAGTTGATAGTATTATTTTAACATCTATCTGTCTATCTACGTGACGCTACAACCCTGGGTGGGTCTTGGCCTCCTCATTACTTTAACATGATGCCGACAATATAATTAAATGAATTGATATAAGTTTGAATCAAATATTGTATCTAAGCATCTAGAGTTGGCAGGACCGGAGCCCCACTTCTATATGCTTGGGCGGGGCCGTTAGGAGTGGGGAGAGCTGGTCATTCCATACTTCGAACTTCTTCGTCAGTAACACTCATGATGTTGGAGCAACAGCTGCACAACGCATTATTATAAAATTATCGTTATTATTATAAAATGTATTTTTTTTTTCCTTTCATGGCAAAATGTATTGTGACCGTAATGTCCTGTTGTATGCCTCTTTTAATGTCATTCCTATTCAGAGCGTAATTCCTGCAGTCCCTACAAACTGAAATAGGCTTGTTGGATTGTCAAGCTCTTTTTTTCTTGGGTTCAATCACTCTTATCATTGCCGAATCAACAAAATCTTAATTCAGCAAACACGGCCTGAGATTAAACGATGTCTTATTCTTGAAAAATAAAATGTCTTACTCTTGAAGGAGTTCTTACGACTGAAATTTACATAGTTTACTAAACATAAACTGTCAAAAATGCCCGTGTTTGTGTTAAAGGAATGTAAGAGTTCAAGGAAGAAAGAGAATGTGCGGAAAATTGATCCAGATGGGTTCCTCACCTTTTGACCGCAAAATAAGAAGAAACTAAAAGAAATGAATTCAACTCAACTTTATCTGGTTTCCATTTATTTGAACTGCTTAAAGAAGCCCTAGAATGGCAATCATTTGAAGATGATGAGGGCTTGGAGGGATTCATACACAATTGGATCTTGATATATCTACTAGCTTCATTCTAAGATGCTGAGATAAATAACTTTTTTCCTCGTTGTATTTCTAAGATGGAAAACTGTGTAAAAATTATAATTACCTTTTATTTTTCAGTAAATTAATGTAAATAAAATAAAATCCTGTTTCTATTTGATTCACTCTTATATAGCGGAGTTGTAATTGATAAGGTTGCTCAGTGACTGGATTGCCTTCTTTTTAAGCTCTGAGCCCTACTTATCAACATGACTTTTCAGCAAAGGAAATTAAGACAAATCAAAATACTTTTTTTTGTTACTTTATTATTATTACAAAAGAAGTATTTTAATAATGAAATGAAAGTAATTTAAAACATCTGGTGTGTCCACTCACACGACTTTCCTACCTATTTCAGAATAGTTTTTATATCTTTACATATGTTCAGGAAGAAACAAAAAAAAATTGAACTAGATTTATTTTCCTAAAAATTGATCAAAGAAAAGATTTCAGTACGATTTATTTGATAAACTAAAGCAATGTAAACTGGCTTAAGGTAGATCAATGTAAAAATTTCAATACTCTCTAATATTGCTGGTCAAAGACTTTTTGCCATAGCTTAGTATTGTAAAGTAGAGGAAATAGTGAAGCTTGTGTGATGCGGGCAACAGATTTCTTACTTTCACTTAGTCATCTTTTTTCTCTCATTCATCCCCTTCTGAACCAGGATATGAACTCGTAATCGTACATTGGAAATTGAATAGCTGTAACTTCGTTAATAGTTGTTCTAAATGAACGATTTTTATATAGTTATGTAGGGAATTTAATTACCTTTCAAAATTTTTATTATAAATTTTACTGTATAATATATACTTAAGGAGTTAGGCCCCATAACATTTTTCTTTTTTTATAACTTTTTTTCATGAATTTTCTTGGGAATTTAGTGCATATACGAAAATTGAAAGAACAATTATTAGAACATTATAAGAAAGTTTCATCAAAATCATTAGAGCCGTTTTTGAGCTACAGCCTATAGAAAAATGTGTTTTTCATTTATTGCTCGGAAGCTATTGAGCATGGAGCACCGAATTTCTGTCACAGGTATTAGTAGTCAAACCATACAAACTAAAAAAAGAAGCAACAAAATCAGTTCAGTAGTTCCCAAGAAAATCTTGGCACAGACAGACAGACAGACCAATGGCTAAAAATGTGTTTTTCGGACTCAGGGGGCTCTGAAACGTATAGATCCGTCGAAAACCGCATATCGGAAATTTGACCCAACTGCAATACTTTCCTTACCTAGTATAGATAGGAAAGTAAAAAACCAGTTTCATACTATATTATAATATTATATTTCATCGTTTGTCGTCTTCAAGACCTGTTCGGGTCTTCAAGTATAATATTACATTTTGATACCCTTAATTGTATATCAATTATTATGATTTTCCAGCAGTTTTGATTTGAAAACAACTAAATATTACAATTGATTGTTTGTTTTTATCAACGAATTACAATTTAATTTATTATTTTAAATTATAGTTGTTACTAGAGTCCTTTTATTTAACATAAGTACAATAATAATTGACAATCTGACCTTAAAACTCAATAAGGACACTCTTCACAACTAATGATCTCTTGTAGCAACGATGTGATTTATAGTAAATCATTGATTGATGCACTAAAGTATTTTTATAACTGTTCATTCATTACCTCAACTACTGGACAACCAGCATAGCAAGGGTTATATAGCCATCCCATGAGACGATCTAGACAGTACTAAACAATTCCTTTGTATCTCATTGGTCAAAAGCAGCGACCAACTCTAGAACCATCTAGAACTTTCTATCTATTTTTATAACTTTTAATATCCATAAAATCATTTTAGTACTAAACCCGATGTTACAAATCAAGAGTTTTTAGAAAACATAAGTGAAATCATTGCAATGTGTGAAATTCAATGTTGAGTGATTTTATGATTTTTTAAACAACTTATTTTATTACTTTAGGGTGGTGAAGAGAATGTTGATATGCCTGAAGAAGAAGATGAGAGTTTAGTCTGGTTCAATATGTTTCTCGCCAGGATACTGTATGATCCTATGCATGACAGCTATTGGATAAAGCAAATTCAAGAAAAAATACAAAAAAAACTTTCTGCTATTAAGGTAACCTCCATTTTTAACAAAAATTAATTTAAATCTTCTTATATAATTTTTAATACTATTAAGAAATAGAGGAGTGGGTTAACCATTCGACTCTCAACTTCATGGTGGGGGTTTGAGTCTGGTTATAACATGTTGTTTATTTCTTCTACTGTGTCTGCTGTGGGTCAACTCCAGGGGCAGTGAGACCCTACCTGGGCACACAGGTTCCACAAAGACCACATCAGCTTATTGTGTAACTGTTGGTCAAGGAACAGTATTCTCTCAATCCGTATAAGTAAGGCTAGGTAGGGAAGAAAGAGTTATAAAATAAAGCAATATGAATTGTAGTGATTCAGCTTTTTTTTTTTTTTCTTTCTAATGAGGCTATACAGTTTTATTTATTTTTTAAATAAAATTTAATAATCAAATATAAATTTTTTTTTCCAGGTACCCACATTTATGGAAAGTCTATTGGTATCAAATGTAGAGCTTTCTGAATCTGTCCCAGTAATTGAAAAGGGCTGTTTACCTAAGCTCAACTGCGATGGGATTTGGGTTGATCTTGATATTAATTATAAGGGAACATTTAAAATGACAATAGACACAAAGATTAATCTAATCAGGTTAAAGAATTACTATGGAACTATACAAAAATCTGAAGGTGGTGAAGTTCCTGAAGTATTAGAGTAAGTGGATTTAGCATTTCAAATCACCATCATCATCATTTATTTTGTTGTACATTGTTTTTTTTATTTTTCAGAAAAAGTCTTTTAAAACCTGCCATATTTGATAGCGAAGTTGAAGATAGTGCTGAATCTTCTGGTGATGAGGTTGGTCCCGAAGATTGCCAAACATCCAATAATAATCGAAGGAAAACTTCACAGAAAGTTATGCAAATGGTCGATAAGATAGCTTCTTCAAAATACTTCCAGCAGGTAGCGCTTGTTCTAGCTGTATAAATCTCTTATTAATGATCCTCATATTCAAACTTTGATATGTTATATATGGGGGAGAATGTAATGAAGCTAGAAGCTGTTGGTAAATTCATTCCTATTACCAAAATACTCTAAAATCGTGCGTGATAAAATGTTTATAAATGCAACGAAATAGGTGAATTATGTAATTTTAATTAAAAAAAATTATATTAATTTAAAAAATCTTTACTAATAAAATATATATAATAAATTTCAATAAACAATGAATTCTTAGGGTAAGAAAGAGAAAAATTTGGTGTCCGCAACACCCAACTTTCACTTACCATCCTACTTTGATTATTTTTATTTTTTTATTTATTTTCTTTTTTTCTTACCCTCCAAAATGTTTATTGAAACAATTTACATATATAGTATGCAATAATACAATATATACATGTAACAAATTCCTTCCACTGCCCGAGGGCATTTTAAGGATTGGGGATAGCTAAGGGTTACATATGTGGCAGAAGGCCTTGTGACTTTCATTGAACGGGGAAGGACCGTTCTGCTAATTTTTTATTATTTACAATATATACAAATTAATGAGTTTGGACCGCAGAGACCAGACCACATCCTTCGACGAGTATGTCCACCAAAGGGAGTTTACCTTGCCATCTCCCAGGTCTGGGTGGTGGTGAGATCTCATTGAACAGTGGGTTTGCACAGGCCTTCAGCCCATCAAAAAATTTGATGTGCCTCCGCCCTATGAACTCAGGTACCGAGGGGAGCTGGAGCTCCCCGCATATTGTTTGATTCTTAGCCCTTTGTAGGGTGGTGCCACGGACAATTCGCTGAAGGATAGAGTTCTGGAAGCCCTGTAGACTCGTAAGCGTGGATTTATATAGGTATCGCAGGAGAGGGGACCCGTGGAGCAGTGTAGGTCTTATAATAGCTTTATAAATTTGGATCTTGAGTCTCAGCGAGAGCTGCGGCGACGTCAGTAGGTGGTAGAGCCGGTGTGACTTCTTTCGTGCCAGCTTGATCCTCTGCCTAACGTGATTGGAGAAGGTCAAATGTCTATCCTACTTTGATTAGAAATTAATTTGTGCTTAAATGGGGATAATTAATATATCTATTATTGGGACTAAAGATATTAAATTATTATCATATGTTTTTATTACCAATAACACTCCGTGTATTATTTTCCGGAGCATGCACTTCTTTCTTTCACAATGTACAATAAAATATTTTTTTTTTAACAATTCCAGCAAAACAATTTTGTCTTTATATATTTTTGGTGAGCTTAAATAAATATTAAAAGTTTGTATTAAATTTCTTTAAAAATTCCATATTTACCATGGAAAGATTCAGTTTCTGCTTAATAATATAAAAGAAAGAAATTATTTGTCATTAATTTTTCATCACTCTCATCTTTCATCATTCACAGTATTAATTCTTCCAATATTTTCAGTTTTATAACAATATATTATCCATACATATACAAAAAATATTTATGCATATGAAATTCCTGCTAAAACTGTGGATAACAAATGTTTCAACGATTATACTTAGGTAACTGACAACAAGTATGTGAAGAAAGCCTTGGAGGGTGTCTCAAATACTACAATATCTTTAGTGGTTCAGGTGAAAAGCTTGACTGGAACTGTGGTCATCAATTTCCCTCCTCCGCCATCTGACAGGTTATGGTAAGTAGTTATTTTCCTGTTCTTTAATCTTTAACATAGCCATCATTTTTCATTTAGCTTTAAAAACATTTATATAACATCATAATAATGGTTATATGTAACTGTTCTTTATTCTGTACATTTATCTTTTCATTTAAATAAAGAACCGAGATTTTATTAAAATTATCCCATTATTACAATTCTTCCAATAGATTTTAAACCTTTGATCTATAAACTGAAAAAAAAAATTCTCTAACTAATATTTTCTGAGATTTTACTGAAAGTAAAGAACAGAAATTTGAACAATCTTAAAATCTCTCTAAAATGTTCTCTGTTTCATCATATTTTTTTTTTTTTTATTATTGGCATGATATATCTATCAGTAATGTACTGAATTCAGGAAACCGGGGATCTTTAATCCCACTAGTAGAGCACATCTATCTCTTGTTGGCTTAAAAAAAATTCTAATATTAATAAATTAAGAAATAGCTCCGAGGCAGATCTGCCGTACAATTTGTTTCCACGTATCCTGATTCAGCACTAGCTGTTTTCATCCAGTTATTCCAATCCTTTCCATCTTAGGAAGACTTCCTCTTTTTATTTTCCCGAGCAAGTTTTCTCAAATTATTTTCTTTTTCATCCTATCATCTTCCGTTCTCTGCACATGATAATTCCAGCTAATTCTTCATTGCTTTATTAAATCTTACATTTTCTGATTATTTCTAATGTACCACACTCCCTGGATGCCAACTGGACCAAAAATATCCCTCAGAATCTTCCTTTCAAACACACCTCGCATATGTCGATTGGTAACTTTCAGCATCCAAATTTCTACATGTAGCAAGCAGGTCTGACAAGTGATTTGTAAAACTTCATCTTGGTAGCTCAAAAGAGATGTTGATTTAAAGAGGTTCGCAAGACTGTAACATGCTTTATTCCCTACCATGATCCGTTTCCTTATCTCTTCATTCACCTTGTTTTCACAATTAATATTTATTCCTAGATACATAAAGTCCTCAACTACTTCAAAGATACTATCATTAAACTGGAAATCGGCAGACGTTCTTGCTTTGAGTGTAGACACCATCATGTACTTTATTTTTGTTTCATTTATCTCTAGACTAATCTTTTTACATTGGAGCTCTAGTTCAGTGAGAAGTTTCCTTATTACTCATTCACTTCTTCAAACAAATATTATATCATCTGCATATCTCAGAATCTGTAAGGTTTGGGTTGCCAAACTTTCCTCAGTTTACTCGTTTTAGAGCTTTATGCAGAGCTAAGTTAAACGATATGGTCAACAGAGCATCATCATGAATGGAACAGCATCATTTTAATTTAAAATGTGCTTATACTTAGAAAGGATCTATCATCCGAATTCTTGAAGTTGATGTCCTTACTATTACTGTTTACATTCTGATTCATATAGTAATTTAAATATCTTATTATCAGCCTCTTGATCAAAATTGAATATTTAAAAGAAATATTAATTAGTTGATATAAAAGTATGGCTACAATAAAATAAATTTATTAAAATATAGTCAGTGTAAGACAAGTGAATATTCCTACGAGTGTCTTAGACAAACCTGTTACATTGTGAATTAAATAATCTTTGTTTTTATTTTTATATACCCTTCTTTTTGCTTTGGCATTTATTTCAAGTTTCATCCTAGGTATGGGTTCAGACCAAATACTAAATTGTCATTATCTGCAAAACCGAAGGTTGGCCAAAGAGGAATAAATATGGTCTACATTACTAATTACATTGAAAAGAAGTTAGTGAGAGAATTTGAGGTGAGTGTTAAGAATATTCAACTTTTTTTTTAATAATTAGTATTAACTTAGACAATTATTCAGTGCTGAATTATATGAACTGTGATCTATATAATTGAAGTGGTAGCTTTGCTGCGAATAAAATGGGCCTGAAAATTGTTAAGCTTAGTAATGAATGAATCCCTTTAAGGTTAAATAGTTTTAAGCCAACTGGTAAATGTTCAGGGAGTATACCAAGGCTTAGGTGAGAGTGTGCGTTAATCCTGCGGTGTTAGGTAAGACAAGTGGCCAGTGGATGTAAAGAAGTTGAGAGCAATTGGTGATATTGGTATTGAACCATTTTTTTATTGTTATGCTCTTATAATATAGAAAATCAAAATATATTTAATTGCTTCTAAATTCTAAATTTGGAATTTAAACAATGTAAAAGTGCATGAAGATTTTCAAATTAATTTTAAATTATTGTCTAAAATTTTGCTTCCTTCATTTTTTTATTTATAACTTACATGCGTTTTTTTTTTTATAAACATAATTTTAGGTATGATAACCAATTTAATTACTAATAAACAGTTTTATTTTCAGAAACTTTTAGTCATGCCAAATATGGACGATCTCATTATACCTTTAATGAACAAAGAAAAGCCGTCGTAACATCACTAGGATTTCAATGATAGCTTAGTATCATTAGATGGAAAAAACAGTGTGTGATATTTTTATATATAGTGTTTAAGACCTGTAAGAGACAGTATTTCTATTAACATTGAATCACGCTGCATCAGCTTTTTGCCTGTTTTCAAAAATTCATTGAGATACCATGTACTGAGACGGCACCTATATTGTGATATACTGCCAAATACTATTTAACAATATTGGTTGAGTATTATTTTTAAAGTAATTATGATTATTAAGGATGAAGAAAAGAGAAGCAAAGCGTAAGTTTAAACACCAAAAGTAGTGGAAAGTTTAGAAAAAAGTATTTTTATTTTAGTTACATTATTGTTTTAAAATATCATACATCTGGAATGAAGAATATGCAAGAAAAAAATGAACTGTAGACACAGATTACGTTCTATAGGGTTCCACAGGTTCCTTTAAGTTATGTTGCTGGTAGATCACCTGCTGTGTCTATTGGCTGTTCTTGTTATTTCAAGGCTGGAGTTGTTCTTTGGGATGATAGGGGTCCAACCATTAAAATTTCTGATGTTAGAAATTTTGGAGTTAAAGTATCTCTTTCGTTCTGGATGAATGATATATTTTTATAGTGTACCATTACTATGCTTATCAGTTTATGATAGTGGTAAATTCAGGGCTTTATTTATTATATGTTCCTAGAATGTATATATATATATATATTTTTTTTTTTTTGTGATTATTATTTGAAAATCAAGCATAAAAATAATATTTTAAAATTATTTCATTTTCATAGATCATTTATTTATGAAAAAAAAAAAATTCCAGAATAATGGTTACTGATCCTCACAACACACATAAACATTTAAATTATCTACCATTACTGCTGACTGCTGTAGATTTATTGTGATGCTACGATTAAAGTTGTGCCCTGTATCGAACGAGGAACTGATTGTCAGTTTTAGTCTTAACTAATCTCGGAAATACAAAACCTCCCAGTTACATTATAACTTATTACTAGAAATTCTTTTGTTAAATGTAAAATAAATCTAACTTTTATCTGTTAAAATTCCAATGAAGAGAACTCTTTAACGAACTTTAAAAAACTCTTTTGTGCATATATAAAGCTATTTAATTTCATAGAAATAGTTATTCAAAGCTGTTGATCTACTCTTGCTCAAGAGATTCCCTAGGCATGGAAGGAAAAAGGAATTCTGTAAGGTAGTGGTTCCCAACATTGCTTAGTGTTCAATATTGACACTTAGTGACCAGACAATAGCAATTTGTATGTCACATTATTATTTAATAAATAACAGCTATTAATTGTTTTCATTATGAAGGTATATGAGGAAGTGATCACCGAGCATGTTGGGGTGGGGTGAGGGTTCCAGAGTGGCTGGTTCTGAATGTTGTGGGTTTGATTCCCACTTGGCTCCGTTAATATTTATTTGTCAGTAGGCTCGAAAAATGAATATTGGCACTTCCACTGTGGTTATGACTTAATCTCTTGTTATAGCAGCAATCTCTAATTAGCCATCAGGGGTTGGTAAAATAAACCAAAAGGCCCACTTTCTGTACTAGTTTTCTCCATCTGTCACAGCACAGTATTCTATGTAGGAGGTATATTCTCAAACTTTATAAAGAATTGTTAATGTTATTATAAGAAAGTGCCCATACTTTATAGATGTTAAATTATCATGAAGTTGGCAAGATAGATGATTGAGGTTGGGAGTACAGTAGTGGCACACTTCACTATAAGGAATTCTTAATTGTGGCTTACATTATAAAAAAATGATGAACTTCTGCCATTGAAACTTCTCATTCATATTTTAGGTAGTAAAAAAGTTAAACTTTTATTTAAAAAAAAACAACTAAAGAAAGCAATCTATTACTATAACAATGTAGAGATGGTTGACCGTGAAATAATATGAGAAGGAATTGCGGTCGGGGAGTGCGGTCAAATAATTCGACCGCACTCCCGACCAATTCCTTCTCATATTACTATAATAATAAATAAAATAGATAATTGATTGAAAGAAAAAATAATATGTATTAAAGAATGGTGGGAAAAAATAGGTTTAAAATGGCAGGTTTTGTTTTAGCATCACTAAAATATTATAGTCTGAAATCTACAGCAATGAGAGTTCCAGTTTTGTACCACAGTAAAATTCTCCTAATTTGGCTCTTCAGGACTTGAGTAACACCAGATTATCGAATGATGTAAGAAAAACAGAAAAATACAATCGAAGCTTACAAATAATTTAATTTGAAGTTGGCCAAAAATATGCTCCTTGTTATAATCCTCCTTTATAAATGCTGATATCCTTTATTTGGTACTATGTTTTTTATCATGCCTTCTAATAGCAAGAGCAAACTGAAAAAAGGTTTTATGATTGATTTGTTTTGATGTTTTGTGATTTTTTTTTTTGGAAAGTACTGCCTGATAACCAGGTATTTTGAGTCGTAGAATGCCTATTTAGACACTTTATTACAGGAACCAGAATTCTGGAGTATTATCAAAATTATATTGATTGCTGTAAATAATTCTTAAATGAAATGCGAAAGGTGAAGCATTTGTTAAAAATATAAATATTTCAGAAAATTTTGATTTCCTCTTATTATTTATAATATGCTTTTGTTTTAAGAGTAATATAATTTATTTTATTTGTTATTTGTCACACCTTTTCAGTTATAGTACGGCTAATTATCCAGATAGTTATTCAGTTTATTATTTGACATCAATTGTTTGTAGAAATTTTATTCCATCCATTGATAGAATTGGAAAATATTATGTTTTTTCCCCAGCATTTTTTTATTCATCTGACTCTAAATAAACGAAAATGGTGCAATTTTTAAAAAATATATTTGTGTTAACCTAAGCTTTATAATTGTTTGGGTAGTAGAACTAATTTGATTTATATATGTTGCTAGTGATTTATATTTTTTATGAAATTGTTTTAATTGTTTTCATGGTAATTTTCTTATAACTAATATCTTTTAATGTTTTTATTATTTAATAATAGTAATAAGAAAGGTTGCTAAAACTCATTATACCATGCGTGAATCAACATTGAAATAGGAAACACCTTTAGGAACCTTTTTCGAACATTTGTTCGATGTTACTTCGGAATGGTGAGATGCTTCTCTAACATGTTAGTTTTCCATGTCTAACTATGGATAAAAGGATTTAAAAACATAGTGAATTTCACACACATATATTTGTTTTATTTTCACTTTTTCAGTCAGTTTTTGCCTCTCTTTGAGTGACAGTTTAAGCTTTTTGAGGAAATTCGATTATTTTTACAAATCCCATGTTTTTTAATTTAAGTATAAAGTATATAGAGTTTCCAAAAATTATTTAATTTGTTATGCTTGTAGGAATATTTAGTTTTTGTTTAGTAGTATTTGAACTACCTTGTAGTGAAAGTTTGTGAGAATAATGTTTATATTTGAACACGCTTTTATGAATTTTTATTTCATTTTAGTATCAGTATATATCTGAGTTTTACTTACCATTTATTTTTAGAAATTTATTATTAGAAAACTAATTAAAATAATTATGAAATACTAGAGTTTGAACCTTTCATTAAGTATTAGTACAGAAATTTCCTATGAAGCTTTTATTTTAAAACAAACAATTTTATTTTTTTGTATAGGGTGCTTTCTTATTTAGTTATTAAAAGTTAATAAATTGTTAAATAAAAGCTGTACTTTCTTTAGAGTTGGAAACGTGAAATAATTGTCTAAGTGATCAGAAGTTTACAAAACATGAATAAATTATAAAAAAATTAACAATGTTTGGAATATATCTCTTTTTTTTTAATCATATCTTGTTGATCGTGAACATCTAATGGTCTTATAATAAACTAATTTAAATTGTTTAACATTTACAGTGCAAATTAAATGAATATACTATTATTTTAATGCTGCAGTCGATCATTTAAAAAAAAAAAAAAAATATATATATATATATATATATATATATATATATGTCTTCATTGTCTTCATTGGTTTATTATTGCTGAAATAGTTTTCATTTCTGGTCATGAGTATTATGTTAATTTATTATGAGCTCTGAGTGATGGATTATTTATTTTAATTGAATTTTACGTTTAGTTTGTTGTTAAATATATATTAAAATAATAATTTTATTTATACATTCATAGATAGATATATATATATTGATTTAAATGTATAGTACAATTTATTTGTGTATGTTTTATGTGGTCTAAATGTTAGTTAATATTTCTGTTTTTCTAGAAGCTGTTGTACTTAGAACGATTTGTAAATGTTTTTCCAATAAATTAAATGTTAGTTTATACATAAAATAATATTAATATATTAAAAGATTCAACAGTATATTTTAAATTGTTATGTGTTGATGTACTATCTCTACTTGGCTTGGTTAGTATTTTTTAAATTGCTGGTGTGAGATGTGGTATCTCTGGTCTAGATTTTTTGTGATCTTACGATGCCTGAATTCAAAAAATGTCCACTGGTAAGTTATTCACTGTTATTTGAGAGAATTAAGGCTTTAAGTTAAAATCTTTCAATAATATTAAATAATAGTTTTCGTTCAAATTATTTTTTTTTTTTTTAGTTTTTGCTCTCATAAATTAAAATAATACTTGGGAAATGTTCTATTAAAGTTCTTTATAGTATTTAAATTGAAAAAAATTAGAATTTAAATATGTCTACTTCCTGATGTTACTTGTGCCTGACCTATGTAGGGATCACATCTTAATGAAAACTGTAACATAGTATAGTTTTATATAATTTTTAATGAATGTTGGTATTATGTGAAAATTTCTGATGTCTAGTTTATAAAGATGTATACTTTGGAAAACTGTATTTGACTTGTTATTTAGAATACTGTATTAATTCTCACAAAATTTCATTTTGGTGTTAAAATATATATGTGATTTATTTTTATAGTTGTCCCTGTTTGGTTTGATCTTGTAATGAATGGATGTGATACAATGTCCATATTTGTAAGTATTCCTTGGTAAGATAGTTGTTCTATTGTTCTCGTTCTGGTCACATACTGTATTTATGACTGAAAGAGATATTCACATTCTGTCTCAAAATAAGCATTCCTTCAAAGTAATACATGTAATATATATAATAAGTAAATTTGATCTGCTTTTCACAAAAAACCATTGTTGCTCCACAAATTCCTATTTGTTTAGAGATGTTTTTAGAATTTATAATATTCTTCCATTACTATTTTTTCTCTTTTAATTCTTGTTGATCATCTGTTTTTTGTATTTATTTATTCTGTGATATATAGTTTTTATTTATTTAATGAAATTAATTTCATTATCATCTTATTCTTCTCCAGATGATATCGTAATGTTTCAAAATATTCTGACCTGCAGCACACCAAAAATAACTAATCAGTACCAATTGCTCGGCTGTTATTTATTAAAATACTTTTTTCTTTTTGTTTTATTTCATAAATAGTAACACATAAAATATTTTTTTGATTTGGTATGGGATGTATAAGCCACCAAACTGAGGGATACCCTTGTGGGAAGAAATTAGGAAATATGGTCATACTGAAGGTGGAGGGTTCCCCTCTTTCTTAACAAACAGGTGTCTTGTTAAATAGCCACCATCTTGAAGTTTTCTTTTAAAATTCAGATTTTCTTTGCATTTCAATTGTGTGTTCCGATTCATAAGTTGATAGTAAATCAATGAAAAAATTATAGATTGCAACTACTTCAGTTAACTTCAAGAAAATATAGGAGGTAAAATTTACAAGTCAATCACTGTAGAGTTTAAAATATTTTCCCTCAACTGGTACATATACATACATACATATATATTTTTTTTTTTGCACCTAGCATATATTTAAATGCATCTTAATTATTTTGGTTCGATATGGATTATTGTTGACGAATCTGAGACATCTATTTTGGAATACCTGTTATTTTTTATGTTGCTTAAATTAGTGAAACATCATATAACACCTCGGTTGTGATGAATTTATTTTTTCCCTAGCACTTCTATTTTATTTATTCTAGTTTCTCTAGGCTATTTATCCAGCATTTTTATATCATTTCTAAAATCAACTGAACAACAATTGCTTGAAATTCTAAAACCTTTATTATTAAAATCTAAAAGAAGAAATTAAAATACCTAGTTTGTTAATTTAACTAATTGACATGATTGAGGTGCTCCTCTAAACTCAGTGATATCTGAACCTCTTTCTCCAAAACTGCTTTAAATTTTGATTGTATATCATATTTATTAATATGAGCTAATCGTATTTATTGAAAATTGAGAAATTTTTTTTTATTCGAAAATTTCATGTTACACTATTATTGTTCACTCCTTTCTTTGAAATATAATAAAATCAAAATGAAGTTAAATAACTTCATATACCAAATAAGATTAGGAAGATGTTCTAACATACCACACTATATTTTTAGGAAAACTTTTTTAATTCTCTCTTTGTTTATTTTAATTTTATTTATGTATTATTTATTTGAACCCTACCGTGCCATTGAGGCAATATGGGTTTTGCAAAACTGGGGTATTACACGTCACTGCATAACTGCCTGCTTCTGCAACAAGACTAATTTTCATATTTAAATCTGCTGTTTATGGCTGTATTCCGCTCCTTATTCCAGAGTCCTTCCTGGCGCTGGTCCTCTTGTGAGGTTGAAGTGTGTGGGTCTAAATGCTTCTTTCCACCTTTTTACCAATTCGTTGTAGTACAGGTAGTTTTCTTCTGTAACTAGCTTAGGGAAATCTGTCTCTGTGAGAACATAGATACCGGTTTCCCTCACCAATTTCAATCTCATACCTCGAAGGCGGTGCAGTTTATGAAAATGTGCTCAGCAGTCTCCGGGATCTCACAGTTAGGGCATAGAGGATCGACATCTGTTCCAAATCCATGGAGCTTGTCTTGAAAGCCCTCATACCCAGTAAGGAATTGTGGGAGCCTCTCTTCCTTTATGAAAACTTGTTCATGATGTGATAACTTTTCGCGATGGTTCAATTAACCCAATTGTTTTCTGACTGACATCCTGTGACAAAAATCCCTTAGGTTTTTTATTAATTGAGCAAGCCTAATAAGCAGGCATCAAATATTGTGAAACAAAATCTATTGTAAACAACCTCATTATAATTGGTTCCTGATTCTTCACTTGGTGGAAACCCTGACATATGAGTATGATCTTGACTATATCATCCTTTTAAAATTGCTCATAAAACAAAGTATGAATCCAAGACCGTTCATAGATGTACTACTGCTTTCTTTCTACTATGAATTATACAATTGAAATAAAAATATGATAACCAAATCTGAATTTAAAGAAATAACAATTTAATGAAGGTGGATAGGCAGATATATTCCAGCAAATCATTAAAATATTTTGAAAAGTTGTCTGGAAGTTTTACCAAGTAATCAATTAGAATTTCATGTGGTGTGGTGTGGGCCAGCTCTTAGTATTAATCTACATTTTTTTAATTTCGATAACTTTTAGTATTGAGTTTACTGTGATGTAAATTTGATAGTTCTAGAGTTTATTTTGAATTTCCATGAATCATTATTACCATTAATTAATTTTTAGAATTATTTTGTTTTTATGCTGAATACTATCTCAGTGGTGTAAATATTAAATTGTTGCATTGCATTTGATTCTTGCACAATGGATTAAGTGTAATTTAATGCACTTATTTAATTTTTTATAAACTTCATCCACTAAATGATCACCTACTATTTATTAATTATATTAATGTTGAATGGTTATTTAAGATATTTATCTATTTTAAGACTTTATAATGTTCAAATAGTCTGATTATAATCTTTTACAATTCTGTGATAATGTGAACTTTAAGGTATGTTTGTTAACAAATGGTTCATATTTTCATGTATGTTCTTTATTGGAATACATTTTTTGTGTGTGTTGTTTGATTCTATATTATTCTCTAAAACTTATTCATGTTTGTAAATTTATAAAAGATTTTTTATTTTCTGCTGTAATTTTCATAAATAAACAATATTAAAATAAATTCGAGATGTGAATGAATTTTTAGTACTATTCCAGTATTTAGCTTGTTACTTGTTCTACACCACAATTCTCACTCCTTAACCCCAGACCTCACCAGAGGGTGGGTGCAATCAGGACTACAGCCACAGGTATGCCAATATACAGGGCCCAGGTATCCCTGACCTTGCCTATAAGGTTTTTAATTTCTGAAATTTAAAATAAGGTATATTTTATCACCAAAGTTAATTGCCTGTACTATACCAGTATAATTGGAGAAAAACCTTATCCAAAGTGGGATATATTCCAGTGCCACAACTGTCAGCCCTATGGTCACACAAAACACTACTGCCATCACATATTTCGCTTTATTACGTGTGGAAAACAGCACAAAACAGAGGACTGCAGGAAGCCAGCATGCCACTGTGAGCACCATACCACCAAGGACACCTGGCCAACTATCAGGGATATGAAACCTACAAAATCTTAAAATCAAGGATGAAAACAGCTCCTGGGACGAAAGAGACTTCTAGACCTCCTAGACCATTCAGACACCCTTTTAGAATAGTGAATGAACATTTGTCCTACTCCCAAGTGCTAAGAGATATAGAACAGCCTCCACAACCTCAGGCCTTGCCGTTGACGCAATCCCATGATAATCAACCTCTACCACCTACCCAAAACCTCAGTTACCAGCAAATCTCCTACGAACCCCCTCCTAACAATGCAAATGACCTCACCAGTCTCCTCACATCATTCTTCTCTGAGTTCAGATCCCTCATGACCCTACTTACAAACGTTGTGTCAAATCCAATCCCACCCCTGAAAAAACCTTAAATGACCACAAACCAATCCCTTTTCATTCTCCTTTGGAATGCGAATGGTATTCGAAACCACAATAACAAACTAACAATTTTACTAAATGTCGAAAATATTGACATAGCCCTAATAACTGAAACCCGATTGACCAGTAAACGACTATTAACTATACCTAACTACCACATCTATCGAACGGATCACCCCGATGAAACAGCTCATGCTGGTACTGCTGTCCTCATCAATCAATACATTTCCCATCACTTGGTCCTCTTACATATCCATGATTTCCTACTGACCACTGCAGTCACAATTCAAACTCCATTATTTTCTTTAACAATTGTTGCAGCGTATTCCCAGCCTAAAAAATCCATTTCCAAATCCCAACTAAAATCTTTCCTTAATTCCTTAGGACACCATTAGCTTCTAGGTGCAGACCTAAATGCTCAACATCAGCAATGGGGAGCCAGAACGACGAATACCCGAGGGTGGGCATCACCAATCCCCAAATCACCTCCACTTTCATTCATAACGGGTCCAGTTAACTGGAACATTTTCCAGCAAATATTAAACGCAAAAATTGACCTCAGAGTATCCCTAATAACTCCCCAAGACCAAGACAATGCCGTAAATTCCTTCATGAACTCAATCCAACAAGCAGTTTGGACTGCTACCTCATATCTGCCTTCGCTGAAATACCGCAAGAAAGATCCTTCACCTCGAGCAGACCTCATTCATGCCAAACGATGTTCCAGGACCCACTGGTAAAGAACCAGGCATCCTGACGACCGGAAATTTCACAACCACCTCTCCAAACTGTTAAAAAAGAAATTGGCTACCTTCAGATCCCAATCCTTCGATTCCCACCTCTCCTCGCTCTCTGCTTATGATTATTCTCTCTGGAATGCGAAAAAAAAAAAAAAAATCTTAAAATACCACACCATTTCTCATCCCCTCCGGGGTGATGATGGCTCCTGGGCTTCGGCAGCAAAACATCTATCCAAAACATTCATTTCCCACCCTGAACAAATCCCTCTCATACAGCCAAAGCTAAGGAATTCCTCTCTTCCCCGATTCCTCCCTCCTTACTTCCTAAATCTGTTAACCACTCTGAGGTCAAATTCCTCATAAATAAACTGAATTCCAGAAAATCCCCTTAATTCGATATCCTCACTTCCCAGATCCTTCAACAACTTCCTAAAAAGGTATTATATTCCTTACCTACCTATATAGTTGTATACTTCGTACCACCCACATTCCTCTGATATGGAAACACTCCATAATCATCCTTTTCCTTAAACCAGGCAAATCTCCCAATAACACTTCATCCTATAGACCAATAAGTCTTCTCCCAATCCTTTCAAGAAGTATTTGAAAAATACTTCTCAAACGTATCCTACCCATATTCGAATCCCAAGAAATCCCCTCAAATCAGTTTGGCTTCCGCTCAGGACACTCCACAGTTCAACATGGCCTTTGCGTTGTTGATCACATATGCGCTGTATTTGAAAGCAAGCAATATTGCACCAGTGCTTATATTTAATCCTAAGATCATACCTTTCCAACCGTTCCTTTTAAGTACGCTGGGGCACATAAATCTCCAACCATTATCGAATAGATGCCGGTATTCCATAAGGCAGTTTCTTGGGTCCAGTTCTCTACATCCTCTCTACTGCTGACATCATTACAAATCCTAATATCTTGCTGGCAACATTTGCTGATGATACCGACATCCTTTCCACCTACGCAGAACCTGAAATGGCATCCCTAAACCTGCAAAGTCATCTTTCCTTAATTGAGCAGTGGTGTAAAGTAAATGAATCAAAGTATAAGCATATCACTTTCACGCTCCGACGCAATTCCTGTCTGCCAATATTTTTTAACTCCATACCTCTTACCTTCTCAGACACAGTTCGGTAATTGGGGTTCTTCTAGACAAGGGACTGACATGAAACTCTCATATCAAACTCAAAAATACAAGAGCTAAACCGACGATTTGGACAATTATATAGACTACTCACATCTCTCAACTGATAACAAACTACAAGTCTATAAGACCATACAAAAACCCACTGTGGGAGACAACTAAATCTTCGAACATCAAACGTATCCAATTCTTTCAATCCAAAGTCCTTCGAAAAATAGTAAATGCTCCGTACTGCATCACAAACAAAACCTTACATCATGAGCTCAACATCCCCTTTGTCCTCGACGTAATTCCACCAAAATTCTCAAACTTTCATAAAAAACTTATCCATCGTCCCTTAGCACAATCTCTTTCCAGCTCCAAACATCAATATAATCCCCCACGAAGGGTGAAACGGCAATGGCCCCAAGATCTATTATAAATATTCTATTGGAGTTCTGGCACTGGTCAGCTTTTCCACTCAAGTCCTGAGCGAATGTGGCCTTAGCGCTCTTACTCAGTCTCCACTGGTTTTAAACAGTGATGCGGCTCGGAGAGAACCGCTGGGATCTCTTTGAGCCCTGCCTTGCCTTTCACGTGAGAGCGGCAAGGCATGGTTCAGAGTTCCCTAGGCTGAATGTAAATATTGTACATAGGAATGAATGTGTGACAAGAATTTTTATTTAATTTTTTTTATTTCCTGCTTTGCTATTCTTTCAATGTACTTCTTTTTTTTCCTTCTTACATTTTTTTTTATTTTAATGTTTATATTTTTACCTACTTGTTTTCTTCTTATTATATTTTTTCTCAATTTATATTTTAAATTGTTTATAAAATGTATGATTGTAAACACAGATCCATAATACTCAATGCCTTAGATTGTGGCAGATTGCATTATTTTTCTTCAATAATAATATAAATAATTTTAGGTAAAGCTTCAAAACTATTTGATGTGACTGTTGAGACTTCATTTAACTTTTTAGCTTTTCCTGGGTCCCTATTATTGTCCATTTAGCGTTTTCTTCTGGTAACGAGTTTCAAAGAACTTTCAGTAATTTCGTTTGAGTTTAGAATGTCCATACTATCTGTAGAACAGCCAGACGTCGATGTCTGAGTCATCGTTTGCGGCGAAACCGCTACACCGAGTTGTTGAGTTCCTATTTCTTGGAACTAATTGTTTGCTGTTTAGAATGCAACTGTCGAGAGCTGCTTATCTAAGTTCGCATTGTTGATGCGTTGTTACTATTTGACCACTATTGTTGGGACTTAATAAAAAAATCCGAAAATTTAACGAGGTATCATTATTAAAATATATATTGATTAGGAAAAGGATAAATCCTGAGCATCAGAAAATTTAATTTGCTACTTCGATTACCGAAATTTCGTCATCTTCAATAGGTTTTATAGTATTTTGAAATAGAATTGCCCGATTGTGTACAAACTGCTGCAACAAAACATTTAAATCCTAAAAAACGTGTTTTAGTTGAAGTCAAGAAAAATTAGAGGTCAAGTATATCATTTTATACGCTCTCAAAAATACATCTTTAGAACTAAATTATCAATCTTATTTCTGCTGAATACTACGTTACCGGAATATATTTGCTCCAGATTATCATTATGTAAAATTAATTATTGCAACGAAAAATTTGGACCAAGTTTTTAAAAACTCGAATTCGAAAATTTTCACGATTGCAATACCCTTAGAGAACAAAATATAGAAATTGAAGAAGAGATAGTGATGATATTTTTTTTTTATAAAACCATGTATTTGTTGAATACAATTTTTAAATACCTCGAGAATATTACAGCAATCAAAACAAAAATTACAAAGTAGGATTTCTCATGTATGAAGAATGCGATTTATACAAAAATGTCATATTACAAAAAAAAATATTAGAAATCAGACGCTTCTTCAATTTTAGTTTAAATTTTTTTTTTCAATAAAAAGTATAAAAATGTTCGGGATGTACACTCTAAAATTAAATTTATTGAGTTGCATATTAATTTTATAAAAAA